TTTCTTAGTAATTCTCTCAGAATCGCACTAAAAAAAAATTAAAAAAAAAAAAAAAAAATCGAGTTGAATGGGGCCCGAATTTTTTTTTCCTCTCCGCGATGTTCGCGCGGCGAGTCATCGAACCGGGGGCACCGGCTCGGAGCCGGCGTTTCCATCGTGCAACATTCGTGTATAATTTTTTTTTTCTCTCTAATAGTTCGCCGGTCGCGCGAGAGAATTTGATCGAATCGAACGCGGAACATCAGCTGTTCCGTTTTGGAAATTCGGGCCCCACGAAAGGTGCTCTCTGATGACGACACTCGTCGAGTGTTCTCTGCGCGAGAATCGCTCGTGAGCTATCCTATACAATTTTTTTTTAGTCGTTTTTTTGGTGAGGTTATGGGTTGATATTGGATTGATCTATCCTGTTCAGTTGTTGGTATATGTTTCCTTGGTTAGGGAAATTCGGAGGTTAGCTTCATATCTAAGTATAGATTGAGGTAGTGATTGAGAGAGTGTTTGAGTTATCATCGATATAAGGTAGACTGGGGCAAATGTAATATTTTTACCTATTATGTTAATGTTTTTTATTATTTTTTATAGTTTTTTTGTGCATTAGACAGGGTTTGTTTCATATTTTTTCTTTATTATTTTGTAGCTCTGTTATTTTTTGAAATAAATAAATAAATAACATATCAAATTTTAGAGGAACCAAATATGTATTTACAATTGCCCCATATGTTTTTCTATATAATTGTATGGCACTTTAGAATTGTCAACATTTGAAAAAATACGTAAAATCATTTTCTTCCTGTTTCAAAAAAAACTTTTTAATACCTCGATTCTTTAGTTCAGGAAGTTGTGAATTTAATGTGGTATCAGCATTTCTAATAAGAAAAAAAATAAAGCCACATTTTAGGATTTAATTTGAATAATTCAAATTTTATAACCGATTTGCCCCATTCTACCTTATCGAATTGTAGTTTGAATAAGGTTTATTATATAACGTAACGGAACGCTATCTGTTATCAGGCGCCGTTAAAATAACGAAAATGCAACCCGATTAGATTATAATTGTTATCTATTTTTTTTTATTTATTTATATATGTCTGCTTTAAAGATAACGCGTTACCTGAACGGAAAAATTGCGATACCTATCTGTGGGATTATCGCCCAATAAAGCGCCATCTTTGGCTGGTATCGTACGCGATAAAAGACCTTTTAAAATAAACAACAATGTGTTTGTCTGATGTATATCGAATAGGTGAGAGAGAGACGACTCGCAGTCAAAACAAAAACACGATTTTTATAATTCGATTTGAACGGTGTTTGATGTTTGAAAGGTTTATAGTTGAACGTAGAAATTTGGAATTCGCGTAAGATTATAAAGAAAAGTTTGCTCGAAAAAAATTCTATAACTAGCTCGGTTTTCTAGTTAATCGAGAAATGGTATTTTCCATCAGTTTTTCGCCGATAACGGCTCGAGATAAAACCGCCAAATTCGCATCAACTTATAGAAAAAACCTTCCTCTACAATGTAGCATTAATCGAAAAAACTCCCGGTTGTCGAGTTAGATCGGAAATTAGGTTAAAAAACCACAAAAATTGTGTCCGAGTCGACCGGTCTGGTTCCCACAGTATAGTTTCGACATCCGGACCGATCTCTCTATCTCTCTCTCACCCAGCCGGGCCCAGCTGATGCCGCAATGACGTCACGACGCGTCGGCGTCGGCGTCGGCGTCGGATCGATGCGACGCCCGCATCCGTCGACGTCAGACCCTCCGTCCGGAAAGGTTAACGGACTAACATCGGGTCGAGAGTCTCCGATATACTAATTTATTATACATTTTATATACTTCGTCGGTTTTTTTTTTCTCCCAAAATAGGGACGTATGCGCGGTCGTGACGCGATTGAATATCGCATTGCGCACGCGACCTTGGCGTCTTCGGCTATACGGCTCGATCCGTAGTCGAGGAAACGAAATCGTCGTAGTAGGTTTAGGTCGGGGTTTTTTTGAGCGTCTGTTTAGGTTACGTAGTGGTTTTTTTTGTGTGTGTTTCGAAAAAGTTCCAAAGCTTTTAAACCTGATCGAGTGAGCGGCAGCTGTTTTTGGGGGGGGGGAAGGGCCCCCCCCCCCCCTATCGTGCGTTTGCGCTGACAGGTGAAAGACCTTTTGCGATTGAGAAAGGAGCGCTCGAACGGCGCGAGTTTCACGGAGACGATGGTTTTGTAAAACGAATCGTTCTCGTACGGGGAGTTTAGATAATTTAAATTCGTCGATTCGGGTCGTTTCGAACCGGTCCGAACGGTTCCGAATCGTTCTTGGCGGTTTTGGAATCGTTTAGAATCGTTTCGAACGGTTCTGTATAGATTCAGAATCGTTTCACGTTGCTCTGAACAGTTGGGAATGTGTTTAGAATCGTTCTAAATGGTTTAGAATCGTTCTAAATGGTTTAGAATCATTTCGAACGGTTCTGTATAGATTTAGAATCGTTTCACGTTGCTCTGAACAGTTAGGAATGTGTTTAGAATCGTTCTGAATGTGTTTAGAATCGTTCTAAATGGTTTAGAATCGTTCTAAATGGTTTAGAATCGTTTCGAACGGTTCTATATAGATTTAGAATCGTTTCACTTTGCTCTGAACAGTTAGGAATGTGTTTAGAATCGTTCTGAATGGTTTAGAATCGTTTCGAACGGTTCTGTATATATTTAGAATCGTTTCACGTTGCTCTGAACAGTTGGGAATGTGTTTAGAATCGTTCTGAATGTGTTTAGAATCTTTCTAAATGGTTTAGAATCGTTTCGAACAGTTCTGTATAGATTTAGAATCGTTTCACGTTGCTCTGAACAGTTAGAAATGGGTTTAGAATCGTTCTGAATGTGTTTAGAATCGTTCTGAATGTGTTTAGAATCGTTCTGAATGGTTTAGAATAATTCTAAGTCACTGAATAGTAAATTCCCATAGGATTTATATGGGGGCATGAAATACTCGTTGGAAAACCAATTGGTTTTTGACGCGATATCCGGTACAGCGCGGTTTTATAAAAATCACCAATTTCGCAAGCTCGAAAAATCACATGATGTTTCGAGTTGTTGTATTTTATTTTATTTTTTTTCCGCATCTAACCTTGGCAACGATTCGATGTTTTCGTTCGAAATTAATCGGCGCCACATGTCCCGCCGTTAACCATTGTAATTTTCGCCGGGCGATTGTGTGTGTTTGTATATATTTTTTTTTATCAGCTGTTTTTATGAACGAAAACGCGTACGCAGGTGACGCGATCGTACGATCGAAATGCAACATTGTTATGCGGTCGAATATATATTTTTTTTACTACTTTTCGAACGCACCCCGTAGTATTATTTACGGATCGAAGTCTGCGTTGAAATTTCCACGATGATAGTAGGCGCTGGAGTGAGGCGAAAAATCAATGGACCCGCGCGCCCGTTTATTCGCTCACTCGCTCTTTCACCGAGACCTCTTCTTCTCTCTCTCTCTCTCTCTCTCGCCGGCGAGAGGCCCTTTTGCTCTTCGATTATCCGGCCAACGCTTTGGGGTTTTTCTTTTGGGGCGTGGCACACGAAAATTGCGAACAATCGACTGTGTAAATTAGCCTGGCAAAATTAAGAAAAAAATACTTCGAGCATTAAGTGTTGCCAACATAATCGAAACCCTGCGTAAAAGTAGCTTAAATCAGTGTTACCAGTATATTTTTATTATCAAAGAAAAGTGCTGATAATAGTATTGTAATAACTTCCATTAGACTTTTTATAAAGCAAAAAGAAAGAGTGACATTTGTGTCATTGCAACTTTTCACTCTGACAACTGTCATTTTGTTAATCTTTCTTTGTCCAACTCATAGAAATGAACCATATTGCGGTCTGAATTGAAACAATTTGTATAAAAAATAGGGTAGTAAATCAGTGTTGCCAACCTATTTTTTTTTTCTTTGTATCGATGGCGAATACGGGATTAAATCGAAAATGCATATCGGCGGCATTTGAAATTCGATCGGGCGGATCGGAATCGAGAGTCCCGGCGTGTTTGCTTTAGTTCGACATTCCGCCGTCGAGATGGCGACACCGGTCGAGCGCTCTCTTTGCTTGTCTCGTCGGGCCGGCGATTCTATTTTTAGCGGGCCCGGTTAACGTTTTGTACCGGTTCTTTTTCGCGGAATAAACGCGGCGAGAGAGAGAGAGAGCAGTGTAGTCGCTTTCGATGATATTAAAAACTACTATTGTAATGTCGGGGACGGCCAGGAATGAATGCAATGCGAATTCTCGGCTCAGTCACGGCCGTTCATTGGCGTATCGATCGACCGGTAAAAAAGGGGTACACTGTTGATGGTCTCGATTCGGATGGTTTACAGTACCGAGTAGCCCGGTTTTTATTTTGACCCGCTATATTTCTAAGGTCTGGAAACAGCCTCTGGTTATGCATTAGAGAATGTGTCCCGTTGTTTGAGGATTTTTTAAGCTTCACGGAGGACCAACTTGTCTCAGCCAATCAGCGTAGCCCTACATAAAAATCGCGGTTGTGTGAAACGACAGTTCGAGCTGTCAAAAGTGTCAAAAATTATCATTTGATATTTCGAAGAGAAAATGGAGAATTAACGTTAACCGAAGATACGTGAGGCATGATGTTAACAATAAAATCATCGATGATTTAAGTATATTTTTATATTTTCTATGTATTTTTAGTTTGAATATAACCTTTCTTAATATAATTCGTACGCAAAAAACCGTGGTCCTTTACAACATCGCCTTCTAGCGACCGTTTTAGGAACCCCGTTTAATCCTCAAATAACGGGACACTTTTTCGACCCATGTTTTCAAACCTTAGAAATATAGGACCGTGTATTAGATATCCATTAATTTTTCCCCCCTTTTATATTGTACTTAGAAGGCAAATTAGATAGGATGACTTGCGGAACTAACCCCCTCTCACGCGCGCCCTTCCGGTTCTATTTAGCCCACTTGACGTGTAAATTATACGTTTTTTTTTCTTCTTGTTTTACAGGCCGCGATTCTCCAACAAACGGCCGAATACATCTATTCGTTGGAACAGGAAAAAACGAGGCTGCTGTCGCAAAATTGCCAACTGAAGCGATTGGTCAACCAGCACGAGGGCGGCGAATTGCCGCCCAAGAAGAGAAAGACTGAACTGATTATTCCCACCATCACCACCGATTCCTCCGACGAGGGCATCGGTAAGTGCATTACAAATACCAATCGAGCCACCAGAGCAACTCTGAACGGCGCTAAATATATTTTGAATAGGTTTTTTGGAACGGTTCTGAATTCGTTTCCAGGTTCGCCGGAACTGATAGTGGTGAGCAGCAACGCCTCGGGCGACGTCGCCGCGGCGTCGGAGCTGAAGCAACAATTGGAGAACGAGCGCGCCGTACGATTGATGCTCGAGAACCAAGTGCGCCAACTCGAAGCGCAGCTATTCCAACAACAACAACAACAGCAGCAGCAGCAGCAACAACAGACGCAGATCTTCGAATTGGAAGAAAACGGCGAAACGGTCGGCATGCAGCTGATAGCGGCCGACAGCCTGCCGCCCGTCGGCCACACCCAAACGGTCGTGTGCACCGGCTCGCCGCCCACCTCGAGGAGCCCGAGCCCGGCGTTGCTGCCGGTCGCGCCGGAACCCCAACGGTTGCCCAGCGTGCTCGAGGCCGCCATCAAAGCCGAACCCAAGGTAACCTATTACCTCTTCTACTACCTACCTTTATACCTACTCGGTCTAGAATCTTGGATCTATACTTCATCCATCCAACCAACGGAGTAACTAACAACAAGATTAGACGCTGGATCAACGCGCGATCACCAGTGTAAGGAGGTAGATCCGAATGCTCACTCTTCTAACCTCGTTTTGTGATTACTCCGTTGGTTGAAATAGATGAAGCTATAACTTTGGATATTAACAATGGAATTGTAACACTTTTTAGGTGGAAGTGGAAAGGTTGCCGTCGCCGCACGGTTCGCACGAGGACGCCAACGGCAGGGCGTACAACATGTCGAACACGTCCAGACAGAATCTCGAGACCATCGTCGAGGCGATCAGACACCTCGAAGGCAATCACATGTTCGACGACGAACAGGACGTGCCGTTGGCGCTCACCACGCGAACGACGTCGGGCGACGGGAGTGGGCTCGAAGCCGACGTGCGTACGGTAGGTACCACTTTCTATAAAGCATTCCGAAGGGGTTGGGAGCGTTTCGGAACGGTTCTAAAGCGTTTTAGAACGTGCTTGGGATGGTTTTGGAAGCGTTCTAAAGCGTTCTAGAATGTGTTGGGATCTCTTGAAACTGTTCTAAAACGTTCTAGAATGGGTGGAATCTTTAGGAACTGTTCTAAAGCGTTCTAGAACGTGTTGGAATCTTTTGGAAAAGTTCTAAAGCGTTCTAGAACGTGTTGGGATCGTTTTGGAGGAGTTCTAAAGTGTTCTAGAACGTGTTGGGATCTATTGGAACTGTTCTAAAACGTTCTAAAATGGATTGGGATCTTTTGAAACGGTTTTAAAGCGTTCTAGAACGTGTTGGAATCTTTTGGAGCAGTTCTAAAGTGTTCTAGAACGTGTTGGGATCTTTTGAAACTGTTCTAAAACGTTCTAGAATGAGTTGAGGTCTTTTGAAACAGTTTTAAAGCGTTCTAGAACGTGTTGGGATCGTTTTGGAGCCGTTCTAAAGCGTTCAAAAATGGATTGGGATCTTTTGAAACGGTTCTAAAGTGTTCTAGAACGTGTTGGGATCTATTGGAACTGTTCTAAAACGTTCTAGAATGAGTTGAGATCATTTGAAACTGTTCTAAAACGTTCTAGAATGAGTTGAGGTCTTTTGAAACAGTTCTAAAGCTTCTAGAATGGATTGGGATCTTTTGAAACGGTTTTAAAGCGTTTTAGAATGTGTTGGGATCTTTTGGAACTGTTTTAAAACGTTCTAGAATGAGTTGAGGTCTTTTGAAACAGTTCTAAAGCTTTCTAGAACTTGTTGGGATCGTTTGAAACGGTTCTAAAACGTTCTAGAACGTGTTAGAATCTTTTGGAGCAGTTCTAAAGTGTTCTAGAACGGATTGGGATCTTTTGGAACAGTTGTAAAGCATTCTAGAACGGATTGGGATATTTTAGAACAATTCTAAATCGTTCTAGAACGTTTTGGGATCTTTTGGAGCAATTCTAAAGCATTCTAGAACGGATTGGGTTCTAAAGCGTTGTAGAACCTGTTGGGATCGTTTCGGAGCGGTTCTAATCGTTTGTGGTATCGATTTTTTTTTGCAGGCGTATTTGGAGTTCAACGCGACTTCGGTGCAGCAATACCAGCACTCTCGACCAGGGGTGATTGTGGTGAAGCAGGCGTCGTGATCGCGGATCATCCGTTTCGCTAGTTTGTCCGGCGACGGACGGACGGGGCAGGAGTAAAGCGAGCGAGCACGGGCGAGCACCGAGCGAGCACCGGCGAGCCCCCCCGAGCGCGCGTTCCGGCGTTCCGGAAGGCGGTTTTTGGTTTTTTGGTTTTCTATCTCTCTATCGTCGATGTGCGCGTGCGTGTGGTATCCGAAAAAAAATCGAACGCGCCGATTATTATTTCGTCTATTTCCTTCTACAATTCTTTTCTTGTACGGTTTAGCTATTAGATATGAGATAAGGTTTCAATAATCCCTTTTATTTTTTCCTCTCTAATTTATTATTTCGTCGGGAGTCGTCGCGGTTGCGGTTCCGGTTCCGTTTCGGAAGAGGCGAGGCGAGATTAGGTAGTTTTTTTTTTTGGAAAATTCGAGCGATGATTGTGCGTGTTGAAATTTTTTGATATATTATTTTTTCGGGGTTTATCAATCGGTATGAAAATTAGCGAATAAAATTGTAATGTTTTTTTTTTGTTTGGGGTATCGAGCGCGGGGTTATTTTGATGTGTACTATCTCGCTTCGCCCAAAGCACTACTAAAACTTAATTTAACATAAAACTCCAGTTTTAGTGGGTCTTTTATTAATTTATTTTTTTTTGGTGTTTGTTCATTATAAATCGGAAATTTTATTGCATGATACAAATCCAACAAGTTTTCTCTACTAATTCCGTTTACATTATAAAATTTTCTAGTTGTATAACGAACGAACACCTTAGATGGGCGCAATTGTGCACGTTATATTTGAACAAAATTTTCTCGAATAGTTCAATTGCGCTCGAAAGAAAATTCGAACGGAACCGGAATCGTTTCTCGGAGAAAAATCGGATAGCTCATTTCGACCATCATTAATTTATTATTTACGTACTGAAAAGCGGAATCTAATTAGGCGAAAAAGTTTCAATCAATCGATTCGATCCCAGTGAAACGGTGTGATAGAATTGGCTATATTAAATTATTAATTAAATCGTAATTGCTCGATTGAAGTGATCTTATCCGATTTTTTTTTAAGTACATGACTAATTTTTTTTGTTACTTAAAACATTAAAGTTTTATTTGAAACGCCAAAAATACATATACATATAAAATATATATTTATCATTATATTAGAAGATATAGTGAAGAAAATGTTTTGTTCCTTTTTTTTTGTATATATTTATAATATTAAATTTGGGTCGCGTAGCGGCGACCCTCTTAGAGTTAGTTTGTGTTCAGCGCACGATCTGAATGCATGGGGAAGTTTGTCTATTTTTTTTTGTATTTTGTTGTTTTTTCATTCTACATTGGAATTCTTAAACGGATTCTCGAGGATGCCAATCGTTTGTTGGACAATTTCTTTTTTCATGAAGTTAAATGTTATTGAATTAAGCGCGGTAAAGTGATGTAATTACCGGCGGTTTTTTTTTTCCTCTCCTGCAAGAGCGTCCGTTTAAGAAAGATTTATTTATCTACATCTTGTACATAACTTTGAAAAATTTGGTATACGTACGATGAAGTTTGAAAATAATTATATTGTTTTTCGTTATGCCATAGGTATGTAGTTTATATGTTTTTTTTTTAATTTAATGACCAGAACACACTTTAGAAACTCGAAATTTCAAACTGAAGTTGATCGTGTATTGTTGATTCGATTCGATTCGAACGAATGGAAAAAAGGCTGTCAACAATTTATTATTTGCGCAATTTTTATTTGTAATTTTTATTTATCTTAAATAAAACTATTCATGTAATCATGCCTGATACGAATTTTGTTTTTTTTTTGCCTTTTCGTTTCGCTTCTTTTTTAGTTGAAGGGGCCAAATTTTGTACTAGGTCAAATTATTAGATATAAAAATAAAAACCACAAGTTGGAAAGATTGTTGTATGTTGTTGAGGTGTATTTCCAATGCGCGTTCTAATAGAGAAAAGCGCTTTGGAATATGTTCGGTTTTGATGGTTGAAACACCAGTATAGGAAATTCGGTTTTTATTATTACTCTAAACTTAAAGCCCGATGAGTGTCTTCTGGGTCTTTTTGTGTGTCGTGTCCCCTTTTAATCTCGAGCATGCTTAGTCAAATTTTTTCAACCCTAGTAAATTGAAAATTTTACAATCATTGTGATGCATGAATTTTTTACATTTAAATTAAATGTTGCAAACGTACGTAGATTTAGTAATGTTATTTATATTCGTCGTCTACAACAAAACAGAAACCGCCGAATTGTTGGGGTGAAAAGTATATTAAATTAGGCAATTGAATCTGATAAATTCCACACAATTTGTGCCAATGAAAATCGCTCTGTTACATCCCTATAAAATTTCGAATAAATTAACATATTGATTTCGCGCATTACAAATTTTTAGAACACGCTGTATATACGAGTTTGTGTTTTGTACGTTTTTTTAAACCAAATTAGATGCAGCTTAGTTGAATTAGATGAATTAGTTTTGCATGGGCGAAAAAAACATTTTTATTAGAAGTTGATATTTTCAAACTATATGTATTTTAAAAGTTGTATTGTAAATAAGTATTTCGATAAATGCAATTATATTTGAAGGATAAACGATTTACCCTGATAAATGTAATGGTTCTTATACTATAAATTAAAATTTTAGGACTTAAGTAATGAACGAGTATTAATTTTTTTTTTGTCGGTTAATTCGTGTAGAGAAAACGATCGAGATTTAGGTTTGAAGGAACGAAACACACTGGAAAATATATATTTTTTCAATTTTTAGAAACCTAACATGCAATTTCCAAACCACTGCCATTTTGTACTCAGAAACAACTAGTTTAAAAATCCACCCGATGAGATAATTTTCATAGAAAACAAAACCCCTCCGTCAAACCTAAATCGAGCGCAAATTATTTCGTAAAAACGTTCAATCATTCGAAATGATTGAATGATTGAACGTTTTCCCGACTAATCTCGTGTAAAGGACAAGCAATTCTAAATAGGCAAAGCAGATGTAAGTAAAATGTATATCACAAGTTTTTGTACAATTGGATATTGTAGGAAAAAATCTCGCTGTGATAACCAAAAATTGGATGAAAGAATAATTTTTACAAAAAAATAAAATAAAATGAAAAAAGGGTCGCTGCAAAGGTATTTAATTAAATTAATATACAGGGTGTGAGCTGTGGATTCTCTTTCAATTAATAGGGGGCGCGTGTTTTATCTGCTTTGCTCGTTGAACTGAGGGAAGGATTATTATTCAACAAAAAAAAAACCTTGCTAAATTCTACGATAAGGTTTTTTTTTCCTACTATTTGCACTGCTTCATTAGAACCTACTTGTTAATAACGTTGAAGTAAGATTGGGTGTAGCGATAGTAATAAAATGGAAAAAAAAATTATAAAATAGATGTAGACCCTAAGAAATGTTAATTGAACGACAGTTTGGAGGAATGTATCATAATACTAAATTCGATTTTCATTAATTCCATTCGTTACTGTGATTGTATTTATATGAAGCTACTACTAAAAAAAAAAAAACGCTATTCCGAAAGTACTTTGTATGTTGTAATATTGGCCTTTTATATCTTACTACTACAGCAAACAAAAATCGAGTAGATATGAAAATAAAACTAAATCTACCGGTTTTTATTTGCCGTAGCGCAATTTTCTGAAACTAAGCCGTGACTTAAGTCTCAACCCGACGGTTCCGTTCGGAGCGATTTTGCTAAATAAAAAAAATCAAATCTGGGACTCTTCAATGTTTTTGTAGCACATACACACAATGACAATTGACAGTCTTGTTGTGGTCTGGTCAGACTAAGTTCACCGCACAGTTAGGTATGTGCTTTTCATTATACTTAACGTTGTGTTGCTTGTACAATTCATAATATTTCAATAAAAATCGTAAACTGAAACTAATCGTCGTTTCATTTGCGGGAATTTCTAAGGTAAACGGGATAATGTGTTATTTTTTTTTTATTTTAATTATTTCGAATTTAATTAGCAGACATACCAAAGTACCAAATACGTACTATACTAAATATCTAAAACAATAAAATTGTCTGGATAATAAATACCCACTTGTACGTTACAAATATAACAATAAAGCCTATTAATTTGTACATTCACCGTAAATTATCAATAAAAAAAAACATTCAGTACGAATTTTTTCTTTAAAAACACCTATCAAATCAGCGTATTTATAACAACAAATACTCGAATTAATAATTAATAACTTTATCAGTTTTTGAGCCTTTCCAAATAACTAACAACCCAAAACATTTCAGTTACGCAATAGAAAAAAAAACAACATTTAAACAATATCTAAGATTAAAAAAAAAACAACTTTGGTATTCGACAAAAATACGTAGTGTAAGCAGCACAATGATAAACCCCTCGCAAATGCCCCCATTTCGACTTACCAAAAACCCGAAGACCTCCCTCCCGGCGGATGGGTCACCCTTATCGAAGACTTCGTATCCGGATCGAGCTCTTCTACAAAAACCAAAACAAACACACAATCAACACGTTATTAAAACTAATCAAATAATGGCCGTCCATTTTCGTTAGACTAGTGGATATCAAGCCGGCCGGTTGCAACGTTGCCGGGTTGTAATTGATATCCTTGATGTGACAGATATATTCGATTTGAGGTTATGTTTACTTTCGTTGTTTACAAATTAAAAAAAACGTCTTAAATGGTTGAATTTAAATATGAAAAAGTAGATCAGGAGGAGATGTGAGCTTGCGAGCATCGATTTAACAGAACGTTATGTGATTTTTTTTACGATTAGGTCAATTATTCCAATAGTCTTCTTCCTCTAAACCGTCCCGTTCTCTATCGAAATAGGTCGAAAAACAAACCGAAAAACTCTCTAAAACGAACGGAAAACACGAAACCTACTCGTAAACTTGCACGAATTGCAAGAAAAATGCGAAAAATCGCATAAAAAGTAGCGAAAAACAACAAATTCTAAACATAACCTGTCAACATAAAAGGGCGGAATTTTAAGACTAACGCAAGACAACATCGCTTCGGAAGTTCCAACCGCGCGTCGTAAAATTCCCCAAGTCAAATGGGGTGAATTAACATTAACACTAGGAACATTTCCAACTGCGCGGAAATTACTAAAAAATTACCAAATAGTCTAACGAAAAAATGGACATCCTTTAACAACCCACCGGTCAAACAGAACGTGCTCTCTTGGATGTTGCGCTGCCCCTCCGGCCTGTGGCCTCGACCCGTCGCCGCAGCCACGTGAGACTCCGGCAACGTCGGCGTCGGACAAGGATCATCCGCCAATTTAACCTACAAAAACATCTCATAAAAATCGAGCTCGCGCAGCGTTTCAAACCCCACCTACCTTTTGCATCTTCTGGAACACGTCGGCGTGTTCGACGTGCTCGACCTTCGCCGGTTTCAAACTCTCCAATTCGTCCGGATTGTACACGAACGGCGCGTAGGCGGGCGTCTCGACGAATCGCCCGTAACCCTCCACCACTCTCAGTTGGCCCTCGTCCAAGCACACGCGACCGTTCACGATCACGTAATCCGGTACTCCGTGACATGTCATTCCCTAAAAACAAAACACGAAACACCGATTAGAAAGCGACGGACGATCGAAAATTATGAGGTTTTATGTGATGGAGTGTTTAGATGTTCTGTGCATGATGGATACACGAAAGAATGACGTTTTGTGCAGTGACAGATAGTCAAAAGAACGATGTTTTATGCAATGATATAGTTTAGGTGTTTTTATGATTGACAGATACCCAAAATAATGATGTTTTATAAAATGACAGATACCTAAAAGATTGGCGTTTCATACAATGATATAATTCAGGTTTTCTGTGCATGATAGATACCCAAAAGAATACAGTTTCTCTCAATATCTCAAAAATGCACCATTTTTAAGATATTACAATTTTTTTGATATTTTTTGGAAAAACAGTCGAATGTATTTTCTGTGATATCTCTGTTAATAATGCAGGTAGAAGCTTGAAATTGAGTATCGATGATGTCCAGACACACTTCTAAATGAAATTAAACTGTATTTTCAGAATCCATGTACAGGGCGTTTAAAATTGTCTGACAAACTTGGCCAAATTAAAGTGGCCAAAACTTTGTTATTTCAAATGGATCACCTTGTATTTTTGAACAGTGACCAATGCAGTTTTTTAAGCCCTTTCGATCCATATGGGTATTCCCTATACCCAAATCCGGTAGTTTTTGAAATAATCGAAGTCTTATTAAATAAGGTATGAATTTTCTAGTTATCTAGTTGGCCATTTAATGGCCTTATGTCAATCCGAAATTGACATCAAAATATCTTAAAAATGGTGCATTTTTGGTGTTATTATCAAAGTCTAGTTAAAAAAAAGCCATAGAATTCAAAAATGAAGTTAAAAACGACACTTTCCATTTAAAATAATTTCATTATCGAGATACTTCTAATGGACGGTTACTTCTAATCTTTAGTTCTGTGTATATATGACATCTGTCAGTTGTCGTGTTACCTCGAATATGTTAAAATCGACGGCCTGATGATGGGTGGCGGCCGAAATGGTGCGAGTAGCGTTCGGATTCCACACGACGATGTCGGCGTCCGATCCGACGGCTATGCAGCCCTTTCTCGGGTACAAATTGAACAATTTGGCGGCGTTGGTGCTGGTGACGGCGACGAATCGCGACGGGGTCAAAATGCCGGCGTGGACGCCCTTCTCCCACACCACCGACATGCGATCCTCCACGCCGTTGACGCCGTTCGGTATCTTCGTAAAGTCCCCTTTGCCCGCCTCTTTTTGGGACTTGTTGAACGTGCAATGGTCGCTGGCTGTCAGTTGTAGGACGTCGCTAAAAATCATGCAAGATCGTTATCGAATGTTACATCCACGAGGTTTAAATTAGTATAGTAATTAATAGTATAGTATAATTATAGTAATTAATAATTAGTATAGTACAGTAGTGTGTTAGTGAGCTTATAAAGGTATGAAATGTTAAAGGGTATCCATTTTGCGTTAGATTATTTGGTAATTTTTTAGTAATTTCCGCGCAGTTCGAAATGTCCCTAGTGACAATGTTAATTCTCCCCATTTGACTTGGGGAATTTTACGACGAGCAGTTGAACTTCCGAAGCGATGTTGTCTTGCGTTAGTCTGAAAATTCCGCTCTTTTATGTTGACAGGTTTTGTTAACAATTTGTTGTTTTTTCGCTACTTTTTATGCGATTTTTCGCATTTTTCTTGCAATTCATGCAAGTTTACGAGTAGATTTCATGTTTTCCGATCGTTTTAGAGAGTTTTTCGTGCGGTTTTCGGTTTGTTTTTCGACCTATTTTGATAGAGAATGAGATGGTAGAGAGGAAGAAAACTATTGGAATAATTGACCTAATCGTAAAAAAATCACATAACGTTCTGTTAAATCGATGCTCGCAAACCCACATCTCCTCCTGATCTACTTTTTCATATTTAAATTCAACCATTTAAGACGTTTTTTTTTTTAATTTGTAAACAACGAAAGTAAACATAACCTCAAATCGAATATATCTGTCACATCAAGGATATCAATCACAACCCGGCAACGTTGCAACAGGCCGGCCCGATATCCACTAATCTAACGAAAATGGACATCCTTTACTGTTAGTTACACACTTACGAGGCCAACAAATCGACTAAACCGTCTCCCGATTGCGTTAGAGAAGAGGTAACGGCTTCGCCGAAGGCCGTCAATCCGTCGCTGAGGGAACCTTTCAAAATATCGCACGATCGGCGCGATCTCAATTGAGCCAGATAGAGCGGAGCGTTCACCTGAATATTACCCGAAGAACAGAAAACAAATAATACACAGGATTCGAGGTGTAGTTTTGGGAAATCGGGGAAACTCTATAAGCTCTATAACATGCGCGAACGAAAGCCGTGCGATAAAACGAAATACTTACTCGGCCAAATGATGCATCAGAGCGACGGGCGTGCCGGTATCGGGCCTCAGCGGGGGGCTCAGCACGTGCCCGGCGGCGTGATGGAAACATTGGTGTTTGTACTGCGACCCGTCCGCCCCCAAAGCGGCCGCCAACGTCTCACCGAACGTCCTGCGACCGCCTCCGGCGTGCCGCCGCAACGCCTCCGCCGCCGATTTGCTCATTACATGCACTACATACAGCGGACAGTCCACCTTGTTTGTTGCAAACGAAAACGAAAAAAATGCAATAAAAAAAAGTAAAAAAAAAAGCAAATTCGCTACTTAAACGTAAAGTAAAAGGCCGTAAAGTGTCAATTCGCTACTTAAACGTAAAGTAAAAGGCCGTAAAGTGTCAATTCGCTACTTAAACGTAAAGTAAAAGGCCGTAAAGTGTCAATTTACTATTCGACACAATCAGCTTGGCACTCGAGTCGTCCTACGAACATTTCGAGTGCCAAGATGTTTGTGTCGAAGTATAAGAAGCATTCGGGAGGGGGTGTCTTCTACTCGGTTATGCGACAGCCACACTTACTTGCTTGGCGATGACGCAGGCGCGATTGACCGCCTCGGCTTCCACCTCTTCGGGGCGCGACAGCTCGTGCCCCTCGGGGCCCGTCACCCCTTTGGCGAGCAGCCTTCGGGCGTTCTCGGTGAGCACGGGGCCGTTTTCGGCGTGCACTTGGGCCAAAGCGCCCAGTTGTTTGCACTACAAATAATACAATAAAAAAAACATCATCGAATGGCTGTATTCAGTACCTGTTCGAAGGCGCAATACAGCTCGGAATCGTCCAACATGAAATCGTACGCCATGAACATCTTGAACGAATTGACGCCGTGCTCTTTGGTGAGGAGTTCCATTTCTTGTTTCACGCGATCGGACCAATGGGTGACGCACACGTGGAAACCGTAATCGCAACAGGCCCCCTCCGCCTTCTGTCTGTAATCGTAGTAGGTGTCCAACAACGATTCGCCCTTCTCCGGGAACACAAAGTCAACTGAAAAACAACAATTTGATCCCATCAGAGCAATCGTACGGTGTACGTAGAAAGAGGAATATCACGGGACTTGTTCTATACCATCCTGACCAATTCTGTACCAACTAGACTTGTTCTGTACCAGCCAGACCTGTTCTGTACCATCCTGACCAACTCTGTACCAACTAGACTTGTTCTGTACCAGCCAGACTTGTTCTATACCATCCTGACCAACTCTGTACAAACCAGATTTGTTCTGTACCATCTTGAACAGCTCTACACCAACCAGAACTGTTCTGGACCTGTTCTGTACCACCCAGGCCAACTCTGTACTACCCAGACTTGTTCTGTATCATCTCGAACAGCTCTACACCAACCAGATTTGTTCTGTATCAACTTGAGCAGCCCTGCGGCTTGCGAACGAACGATTTACAGCGCGTTTTAAAGAGGAAAAAACGGGTGAAAAATCTTACTGATGGTGGTGGTGCCGCCGGCGATGGCGGCTTTGGTGCCGCTGTAGAAGGTGTCGGCGGTGCGGGTGCCGAAGAACTGGAAGTCCAGGTGGGTGTGGGGATCGATGCCGCCGGGCAGGACGTACTTGCCGCGGGCGTCGATGGTACGGGTGCCGCCCGGTATGATCAGGTTCTTGCCCATTTGCTTGATGACGCCGTCCTCGACGTAGACGTCGGCGTCGCTGGCGTCGTCCTCGTTCACCACCTTGCCGTTTTTGATGAGAAGGCGGTTCTGGGAGCTCTGCGCATAACACAACACAATTTGATATATATGTTTAGGATGGTACTCGTTCGTTAATTTTCGCTACTTTAGGTGTGTTAGAAAAGTAGCGAGAATTCAGGGTGGTGTACTAGATGTAGGGTTGTAGTTATACGTACTTCACTATCCATTTTTTTATGTTTAAACTGTACTATCTGGGTAACTTATTATCAATACGAGTACTAAATTAACTCAAAGTTATATATATACCGTAATATAATCAACAAATTTAAATATTTGTAAATAATGATATCTCGTTGTTTACATAATTTAGATAAAAATTACACCCTATTAGCAACTGATCGCTCGATGTATTATCGAACGTTTGTAATATAGTAAATAGTATATCGGACAATTAATGTTCGAACATCCGTTCGAATAGAGCATCTAATTTGGTATTCGAGCTGGGAGAAATATTAATTTTACGTCCATAAATAGATGAGCGCTTCCTTCATTAAAGAAACGGTTTCGAGTTGAATTATTCGAACAGGAAGTACATTATGGAAGGTTCAGTACACAAATTGTGCCGTTTTCTACGGAGAAAAATACGGCTCAGTTGTTTTGAGCGTGTCGGGAGACAATTAAAAGATTCTCGGGGGGATTTTAGTGATTAATAGGGATATAATGTTTTTTTTTTCTTCTATTTTTAAATTGGCTAAATTTAGACTTCATCCAGGCGTTATTTTTGGCATTAATCTCCGGTAAAGTGAATGAAAATAAATCCTACATGGTGAAACATTTACGTTATCAGTATTTAGGTTTCGTATGATCGATCAGTTAGGACAGGACTTGTATATTTAATTACTAGATGTCTTATCTTCACTTACATTTTGTTAGCATACGGATTACCTGATAAAATAAAGAATTGCTAAATAATAAATTAACCCATCAAAGAAACGAGATAGATTATTGTTTATTGCAGCCTATAAATACCGTTTAACGACCTAAAGAAACCTAAATTATCTATTAAAATCGATAAGAAATACTAATTACAAGTAACCTACTTATAAAATGTATAAAAAATTCATAAATAAAAATGCTAGATATTTTCATGTTTTGGCATGATTGCGTATCGATTTTAAGTAATTAGAGGAGTTAGAGGCTTAAATTACGTGCTGTAAGAGCTTAAATAATAAAATATATCACCTAATTTGCGCAAATTGTTAGACAAACAAAAGGTTTAGGAGCGGCAAATAGGTTTAGTGAAATATACAATGGGTACTTACTTGCAAATGGATCGGTACTTTTTTCACGGGAGCACTCATTTTTCCGTTTGTACCGGCACGAATTGAGGAAGCGCTTTTAATCGTCCTTAATTCGGATAGATAATTTTATAGTTGGGGGGAGTTAGTGCGAAATAAACGCGACTTGTTGAACGATTTGGGAAACTCTCATTCGATTTACGAATTAAAGCGAACTTATTTTATGCCGAGCTAGTTTTCTAATGTTGCAAACAACAAAAAACCGATGAAAAATTTCTCGCCTATGGCCGACGAGCTCTATTCTAAATTAAATCGCCGAATAACCCCTTCCTTTCTTCCCCGACTACCAGCCATAATCAATTCCTTCCTGGCCTCCTATGGCGAATCCCACAGCCCAATACTACGGTAGAGTTTAAATCGTTCATCGAGTAATATCCAATTACGTTACAAACTAATTTGTAAACAATAACATTAACATGTGTTGCGGTTATCGTAATCAAATTTTTTATCGCTGCGTAAAATAAATTTGAATTCCAGTGGGCTAGATACCTCAAAGCAAGAGGCTACTAAATACTTGTCAAAAAGAAGATTTCGTAATTTTGACAACTGACACTACACAAACATAACCACACTTATTTTATTGTTAAAAATAGAGAATTATAATGCCGTACAAATATATATGAAGGAAAACTGATTTCCTAGGGAAAACGCTATGCCAATATGCTAATTGCAAAAAAATTGTTGATTTATTTGACAAGAATCACTAACCTACAAACTTCTTCTTTTTTTTATTCGTTGATAAAAGAAGAAACTCAATGGTTGTCAAATGTCAATTACGGCCTTACATAACCAAGGTCTGGAAACTCTTCAATTGGTTTGTCACGGTACTTGTCTACCAATGTTATAAATGGATATAAATTTGAAAGCATAAATCGTTCGTACGACAAAAGAAACCAAACATTTAACTGAAACCCACTAAACTTTCGCAATAATTGTTAATTTATTAGCTAAAAAAGAAACCAAGAAGGAAATGTGCCGAGTGGCTATATTCCGACATAGTAATAGTACACGCCATGTTTGTTTCTTAGTTGTAAAAGAAGATAACCTAAAAAATAAATAGCATTTTACCCGACTGGAATTTTACTAATTTCACTAAAAAACTTAGTTCATTTGCTATCTAAATAGCGAAAATGTCCGAAGGATCGAGTAAAGAACCGCAGAAAACCCCCATGGTGTACATTTGCGGAGGTAAATATCAGAAATACTAACTTCTACAATAACCAATAAGCAACATTTTCTAGAGTGCCACAATGAAAACGAAATCAGACCGAGGGACCCCATTAGATGCAGAGAATGCGGCTACAGAATAATGTACAAGAAAAGAACCAAAAAACGTATCCTTTTTTTCCTTACAATGCAAACGTAGAATTCGTAGAAAGTATTTTCCTTACATACATCCATACAGTGGTGGTTTTCGATGCAAGATAGAAGACACAACCAACCGTAGGATAAGTTTAGATATAAGTTATTCTTCTTTTTTCCAATAAAACTTATTACGTACCAATTATGTATTACGATACCCGTTATCCTACGAAGCGAAAGATAATCCTCTTTAATCATCGAAAGGAATATATCTAGATATAAGTTTCACGTATAGTTTATGAACAAGAAACTTTTAGACCTATTAGGAACATTCGAAGACATTCTAATACATAAATAATACGGTAAAATAATCCAAACGTACACTAGTAAATTGGACTAATCGTCAACGTTGGGGGTTGTGGGTTGGGCGCCCGTCGCAATCCCTTCGATCGATTTCCACGATCCGGACTGCCCGAATGTTCAAGGTTTAGATATAAGTTATTCATCTGTAAGTGTATCGAATGTTTGTTTTTTGTAATAAAACTTATTACCCGTTATCCTACGAAGCGAAAGATAATCCTCTTTAATCATCGAAGGAATATATCTAGTTAAAAGTTTCACGTACAGTTCATGAACAAGACACTTTTAGACCTATTAGGAACATTCGAAGACATTCTAATACATAAATAATACGCTAAAATAAATCCAAACGTACACTAGTAAATTGGACTAAACGTTAATGTTTGGGGGTTGTGGGTTGGGCGCCCGTCGCAATCCCTTCGATCGATTTCCACCGTCCGGGCCGGCCGAACGTTCAAGGTCGCAAGGGCGCGATCGCCATCGCCAGAGGCTCGTCCCCGAATCGGGGGGATGTTTCAAGGTCGAGGCGAGTCGAGGGCGCAATCGATAGATGACTACCGTGTGTTCGGTCGGGTGCGTAGGCGCACAACACCGAACGCCGTGCGCCCGTCGAGATTCCCTTCTGTACGCGCCATATCCAGGTATGCCGGATTCCCCATTTTCTCGCGGTTTTATCCAGCCTGGATGCGATTCGGGTTAGTGCCAGATTCCGCTGGATTGTTGTTGTTAATCCATGTGCGATGTGCGATCTATTGAGGATCTGAGAAGGGTGTTTTTGGGTTTTCTGATACGCACTACTCATCAGTAAGTATCTGGTGGTATTGGCGGGAGATGGGGTGAAGCTGCGTTTTGGGGTTTTTTTTTTTTTGCGATTTTAGAAGGGGGTTTTCTGAAGCGCTACTTCCTAACTTACTGTAGAATTAGTTATTTTTTTTAGTACGCAAAAGTACCCGATAGTTTGCTATTTGAATTACTCGAGATTATCAATCGTTTGGTTACCATCAGTATCACTTTTTTAAGAAGATTTTGTGACTAAACTGGTTGTAAAAATGTCTCAAAAAAATAACTGCAAATGCTATTCCATGCATAAAAATACTATTAAAATCTTTTCGTTTGCATAATGAAGAATGGTAATATTTACGTTTAAAATACTGCGTACTTCCCCAATTCTCGGTAAAATGAATTACACACATGCTGTTGTATAAATAATAATAAGATAGACTGGGGTAAATGTAATATTTTTACCTATTATGTTAATGTTTTTTATATTTTTACAGTTCTTTTGCGCATTAGACAGGCTTTGTTTCTTATTTTTTCTTTATTATTTTGTAGTTCTGTTATTTTCTGAAATAAATAAATAAACCGCATATCAAATTTTAGAGGAACCAAATAGTTTTTTACAGTTGCCCCATATAATTGTAAGGACTCTTTAAAATTGTCAACATTTTAAAAAATACGTAAAATCGTTTTCTTCCTTTTTCAAAAAAAACTTTTTAATACCTCGATTCTATAGTTTAGGAAGTTGTGAATTTAATGTGACATCAGCATTTCTAATAAGAGAAAAAATAAACCCACATTTTAGGATTTAATTTGAACTATTCAAATTTTACAACCGATTTGCCCCAATCTACCTTACTAGTACATTTTTTTCTCTTGCTTAATGAAAAGACCAATTTCAAAATCATGCTCTTATACTTTACTTATACTTACACCTCATGCTAGACCAAAAATCCTAACAAACGGCGAAATCTAAATAAACTTTACAATTTACAAACAAATTTCGAAACATATACAGAACGACAGCAATAGCCGGAGACGTGACGTGCGCGACATATTCGCGTCTCCAGCAATTCCTATCGCACAATAAGCGTAAATGAAGCGTATTTTATTGTTTATTGCAGTCTCGCCTCGTCGTCGAGAATCGTCGCTCCTGCGGCATAAAATTCAAGGTTGTTTCGATCGACGAGAGAGGACCAGAAGAATATTTTCGATATATTAGTGATATTCGTTCGTAGCCCGTGCGATGGTAGAAAGACTAGAAAGACATAAAACAGGTGGGTACGTTCTACCGGTACGCATCGGTCGAGGAAACGCGAAAAACGCCGCCGAAAAGCGCTCTCACTCTCGCCTCTCTCGAGTAAAGTAGAGATAGTTTACAGCGCACGCGCGGTCCCTAATCGCTGCGAAAACCGAAAACGAAAACCTAGACACTTATAACCCATTGTGTGTTTTCAGTTTTGTTGTGTTTCGTTCGCGCGTCGTGCCCGAAATCGTCGTGTGTGCGGTTCGAACGTGTGGAAAATATCGCAGGTTTTCCCTGGGTTTTTTTTTTTGTGACATGTGCGGCGGTTTTTTCGCTGGAATTGTTCGTAAGGACGTTCGCAACGTCGGGTTTTTCGAGCGTCAAGGACTCGAAGGCGATTTCGAAGGAGGTACGTAGTGCGCGGTACTCTCGCCCGGCATCGGCATTAGCCTTGAATCGGTTCACGATTGTTTGTTAACCTAGGACAAGGCGCTGAAGGCGACCGAAAAAATGAACACATTTACGCGCTAAAGAAACTCTTCTATATGCGTTCAATTTCATTAGAATATAATTAAAATGTATATACAGGGTGGACTAGTATTCGCGTAATTATTATTGCGTAAAAAACAAATAAACAAAAACTCGTCTGCCAACTTATAAACAACTTTCTATTGTAATAAATTGATCCAAATTAAGCTCGGGTACGTTCGAAGCGATTATTTTCTGTCGGTTTTTGCGGTTTGCAAATGGGGCAAAATAGAGTGTAATCTCTGGGAAGTACGATTCGAATTTTATCAGGTACTCGGTAGCGAAAAAATTACATCGATAAGACGATGACCTTTTCCATTTTTCGAAACGTAATTTTTGTTGGATGGTCCCGTTGCATATATTATTATATAAATTCCGCGATGATTATATTCTGTAAATGCGCATTGAAATCTTCAAATCGAAATCGAGTTGTATTATTTTTATCTACAAGCGTGCGATAAAACGTGTTTACCTATTTATTTGTTTGAATTTTAGTTATTTTGTTATACCGAAACTACGGGGTTCGTTCCATAATTAATTCTTCTTGAATGATAAAAAATTAATGCCGGATGTATTCGTTTTGAAATAGGGTAGGGTGAACAGTTCTCGGCCTGAATCATTTAGAACTCTCTATAACCGTTTAGGACGCTTCAAAACCATTTAAATCAGTCTGGAACTATTTAAACCGCTCCAGAATCATTTAGAACGCTCTAGAATCATTTGTATAAAATCCTATAGAATCATTTTGAACGCTCCAGAATCATTTAGAACTGTCTAGAACCATTTAGAACGCTCCAGAACCATTTAGAAACGCTCCAGAACCATTTAGAACGCTGCAGAGTAGTTTAAAACTGTCTAGAACACTCCAAAATCGCTCCAGAATCATTTAGAACTGTCAAAACCCAATTAGAACACTTAAGAACCATTTAGAACTGTTCTGGATTAAAGATTTCGACATAATTAGAAGAATAATGTAAATTTTCAACTAAAAATCTCGTTGTTAGGCCGAGTACTTTTCACTTTACCCTTGTAGAAATTGACAGTTCGTAAAACTAAAAACAGCTAGTAACTGGAAATTAATTATCTTCGAATAAATCTCTCGAACAGGAAGGAAACGCGCGCGAAGTAGATAATTCCGAGCATAATAATGCACACAGTAGTTATGATTGTTCAATATAAATTATTCCTGTAATATACTCCGCGCTTAAACGTTTTATTTATTTATATCTTTTTGAAATTTCAGAATCCTAAGTGAACTAATCGCACGCCATGTCAGCGGAGACCGAGCTGAGCATGCAGACCGGATTGTCGCCGGTACTGCTGCCGGTACCCGACATTACCACCCTCAGTTTGATCGGCCATCGAACTCAATCTACCCACCTTGCGGCTCATCCCCCTCAAACGCATAACAACATTCAGGCGAATTCCAATAGTGAGTACCATTTTTTTTTGCAGGAATTTCGGTATTATACCGAAGGGTCGTACTACAAGACGGTGACGTCATTAACCAACGAGAACTCTTATTGGTTGGCAATACAATCGAGCACTGTGATTGGCTAGATTAGTGACGTCACTGTCAACAATTAAGACCTTTTGGGTTTTTTTTTGTAATCCTGAGCTTAGGAAGATAAAATTTTAGTCGGGAAAGAGTTTAGTACTATAACGTAGGCTCTAATTATTATATAAATTTATGTACCTTTTGATACTTCCATTTTTGCTTAATTATCTTGACAGCTGACAGTTTGATTGTCATTTTTTGACTTTTAATAAAAATTTATATCTTCATCGCTGTTTATTTAAATTTAAATTCAAAAGGAAGCTTACTAATATTAAGTATTACCTGGGGTACAATGCCTTGTAACAATGCTACATTATCCTTTTAATCACCGGTAACTTTCGCTTTGTATTTAAAGCTTTCTTGTAGGTACATCAGGCTTCAGGTAAATCCGACTCATCGATAACTTGAAATTCCATTAGAACCCTAATGATGTTTTGATACTTTTTCGCTGAAAATGTAAACTAAGTACCTAAAATTAAAATAATAATCAGATAATCGTACTGTAATTACGATTTAAGCACTTACAATCTATCTAGAATGCGCTTAATTTATAAGCACTGCCAACGTAATTTTTGGTGTAGCCAACTTTGCGAAATTAAAAACATCGCAAATGTTGCGTAACGAACGAATTATTTTCGGTTGTCCCTGTACGATTTGAATTTGTGTTAGTTCGCGCGCGGCTATGGTCTCTCGCCAGATGTCCTTGGAGTTTCGATCCGAATGAAAAATCGATTCGAAAAGCGCCACATTGCCGCGTGTGGCCGACATTTCGAGTTACAGCGCATTTGGATTTCGACTCAACAAGCGGCATTGCCAAATCGCCGTTCGCTTTCCCATCTGTCCGAGATTATTAATTTGACATTTAAATGACACTAACGACGTTTTGTTGGAATAACGAAAAGTAATTAATACACTTGTGTCGTAATTTTAATCTGTTTAATTAACAATTAACCCTCGCCAACGCCTCTGAATTTTGTGAACTTTCTATAAATAAAATTCTAATTGTCGCTTTCGATCCGTCGAGTACGTGGCAACGCCGCATCGATTACTTCAATTCGTTGGGTGACGTCAGTTTGCCAAATTGCAAATGGCCGATCTCTTTTACAACTAGATAGACAATTTATCGAAATTTATATATAAGTGGTGTGCTTTGTGTGCCTGTGTGTGTAATTTATTATAAATTTTACATTGATTAAAAATGTATCCCGGATCAGGAGGCCGTAAGTAGCTTTGGGAAATTCGATTATAATTTAAAGCGTCGTTGTTTGTTGACGAAAAACGAGGTCTCTTCTATGGGTAACAATTTTCTTTGTTTGTACAGTTTTCCGCTTATTAACGGGTTATATTTCACTTTTTATCGTTGCTAACGCATTAATTGAAATAACGTATGAAATTCTAAGCGAAATAAGTGGAAATTACTGTATTTAAATGGTACTTAACCTAGGAAAGTGGCTTTTTACCTATCTGGTTACTGGTTAGGATTGTTAGGAAATAAGGTCATTGAATGTGTTTCTTTTTAAATAATTCGATTAAATCTTAGGTAACGTTATAAATAATTAGGTTGAATTTCTGTTTTTAAATATCAATGAAACGCAGGAAATGAGATTGATAGTGTTTATTTTCGGAGATTTTCAAGCTTATAAATTTGTTTATTTATTTATTATTCATATCTTAGGTATTTAATTTTGTTATAGAAAGAGTAGTGTCGTTTATTATTATAAATATTTACTTTTATTTAACGACACTAGCAGCTTATCCAGGTGTCATTTATAGATTTGTTGTTATGAACAATTTTTTTAATAATTAACCAATAGTTTTATATAAGAGAATTTGTTTTCATTTTTGTTAATAATTAATTGGTATTAATTGGCTACTTAGTATTTCGATACACTCAAAGTGCATCAAAGGTCGTTGACCTTATGTCATGGCCCTATTGATTTCGAATGTAAAGTTAAAATTTCACATTTATACAATTTATGCACTTAGTACTTATTACTTTTAATTCACACATTATTAGAAACGATTTATTTACATTGCAAAGCCCGGATGATTTGTTGAGATTTCTATCGATGCGAATATTAATTCGTAATTTTCCGAAAATAACCGAAAATGTACAATATACCTACTCTAGAGTAGGACAGGCCAAGGGTAGAATAAGGTAGAATCTACTCTAGGGCAGGACAGAACAATGCAATTCTATTCTACTCTTAGAGCAGGACGGAACAAGGCAGATTCTACTCTACTCTAGAGTATAATACATGCGTTTTTTTACCATTATGAAATTACATAGAAAAAGTTTTTCCTCAGAAGCTTGGCAGACTAGTCCTCCTAGACAGACAAGCCCTACCTCCCAAACCACATTCGCAGAATCTTTAACAGGTAAATTGTTTGATTTTTACTCCGTTTGTTTGTAGTTTTTCTATCGTAATAATTGTAGATTTTTCATACATTTCACAGTGTGGTTTGTTAACCGAATTACTCGAAAGTGTCTCTATTTAAATATGAAATTTCTCTGTCGAAGATAATTTATTTCATTACAACGAACGTTTTATGAATGATTATACTGGGCGTTTGGTTGCTTTTGCACGAGAGCGGTTAATTTACTAAATTTCCTGTAAACTAACTCTTTCCATGTACTCGAATAATTGCAACAATACAAATAATACTCGACGATAATTGCAATCACTCGAAGCGATAAGGCGTACTACATCGTACGATTCCCAGAAATCGAACGAATCCTAATTGTCGATCGGTTACAGCAGGCGCATCGGGTACCCCATTGGGCGCTACCAGCACCGCCGTCGCCCTACCGGGCGCCGCCGGCGCCGTCGCCGCCGTCTCGCCGCCCGTCGAACCGCCCGTTTTCCAATGTCCCCGAAGGCCGAATTTGGGCCGCGAGGGCCGCCCCATCGGCCTCAAGGCCAACCATTTCCAAATATCCATGCCGAGAGGGTTCGTACATCACTACGACGTCAACATACAGCCCGACAAATGTCCCAGAAAGGTAAACTAACGACAACTTACAAGCGTAATAATAATACTCGCTTTGTTTTGTAGGTTAACAGGGAAATCATCGAGACGATGGTGAAGGCGTACGGGAAGATATTCGGCAATCTGAAACCGGTGTTCGATGGACGGAACAATTTGTACACTCGCGATCCGTTGCCCATAGGTAATTCGAGAGAAGAGTTGGAGGTGACGTTGCCGGGCGAAGGAAAAGACCGATTGTTCCGCGTCAGCATCAAATGGGTGGCGCAGGTGTCGCTGTACGGGCTCGAAGAGGCCCTCGAAGGTCGCACGAGACAGATACCGTACGAGGCCATTCTAGCGCTCGACGTCGTCATGAGACATTTGCCTTCGATGAGCTACACGCCGGTCGGTAGGAGTTTCTTCAGCAGCCCCGAAGGGTATTATCATCCCCTTGGTGGCGGTAGAGAAGTGTGGTTCGGTTTCCATCAATCCGTTCGACCTAGCCAATGGAAAATGATGCTCAACATCGACGGTATAAAATCGTTGAATCTCTTTCGTAGGGAATTTATATAACGAATCGTTTTTTTAGTGTCCGCTACGGCGTTTTACAAAGCCCAACCTGTGATAGAGTTCATGTGCGAGGTGCTCGACATCAGGGACATCAACGAGCAGAGGAAGCCGCTCACCGACAGCCAACGGGTGAAGTTCACCAAAGAGATCAAAGGCCTGAAGATCGAGATCACCCATTGCGGCGCCATGCGCAGGAAATACCGCGTGTGCAACGTGACTCGTCGCCCGGCCCAGATGCAATCGTTCCCTCTGCAATTGGAGAACGGCCAAACCGTCGAATGTACCGTCGCCAAATATTTCTTGGATAAATACAAGATGAAGTTGCGCTATCCGCACCTGCCGTGCCTGCAGGTCGGCCAGGAGCACAAGCACACCTATCTGCCTTTGGAGGTGTGCAATATCGTGGCGGGACAGAGGTGTATTAAGAAATTGACCGATATGCAAACGTCTACGATGATCAAAGCTACTGCGAGGTATTGAATTTAATACGTATTTCGAATACGGACGATGTAAACGATAACTAGGTTTAGCTGGTCGGATGCGACGTATCGCAAGAGGCCATTTTAACAGAAGAAGAAACTGTTCGTTAACTCTTTGTTTGCATCGTTCGTACAGTTGAAATGTGAATAGTTTTTTTGGTTTATATGCTGATGTATTGTGTTGGTTTTTAGGTCGGCTCCGGATCGAGAAAGGGAAATCAACAATTTGGTGAGACGGGCGGATTTCAACAACGACGAATACGTGCAGGAATTCGGCCTGACCATCAGCAATAGCATGATGGAAGTGAGGGGTAGGGTATTGCCGCCGCCGAAGCTCCAATACGGCGGCAGGGTGGCATCCCTCAGCGGACAGGTGGGGGGCTGGCACGTTAGTTTCCAGTTGTATTTTTTTTTTAATTTTCCTTCGATTTTCCTTCCCCTTTTTTCGATTTTTTTTAGCTTGTTTGTAGCATGAATTCGAAGGAAAATCTCGTATGTATGTACGTGTGTGTATGTATATGTTGTTGTTGCGATGCGTTATTGTGAAAATTTTGCTTATCGTATAACTAGATTTCGAATTTTATAGTAAGAATAAGATTTCTAAATTAGTTTGATCGATGGTAGATAAACTTTAAACGAGAGAATGTTGATGTCAGTTAGTGTTTCGTTGTGTTTAACGTAGCGTTTAATCAATTCTATGTTGTGGAGTTTGCATAACTATACTCTAATTCCAAAATAGTAGGCAATAAATTATCAGAAATGATTGCGATAATGGGTCTCTCCCAGTGGCGAACGAAAAACTCAGCAGGAGACTAATAATTAAAAAAGCAAGGATAATGTAATAAATAAGTAAAGCGACAATATTTCCGAGAATTTAGTGCCTACTATTCTGCAAATAGAGTATAGTTAATACTCCATAACAAAGAGTTGCGTTTATTATCAAGATTAATGATTGAAAATTGAAAATTGAAATGGTCTGTTATGTTATAGAGCAAACAGCAAGCGATGCCGAACCAAGGCGTGTGGGACATGAGAGGCAAGCAATTTTTCACCGGCGTGGAAATAAGGGTTTGGGCGATCGCGTGTTTCGCCCCGCAACGGACGGTCAGAGAGGACGCTTTGAGAAATTTCACGCAACAGTTGCAGAAGATCTCGAACGACGCCGGTATGCCCATCATCGGGCAACCGTGTTTCTGCAAATACGCCACCGGGCCCGATCAAGTCGAACCGATGTTCCGTTATCTCAAATCGACGTTTCAAGCGTTACAACTGGTCGTCGTTGTGCTACCGGGGAAAACTCCTGTTTACGGTATTAATTTAGTTGATTTGTATAAGAGGGATGTTGCCAATCTTTCACCTCGAAAGCGACTTTAATGTACCGTCGATAACTTGACAGTTGTATATTGTTGTTATGGACTATAAAGTAACTAAGGAGATTCTTTCAATTGACAATTAACTTGGTTGTTATGGAGTAACTAAGGAGATTCATTCACTTTTGACAGTTTTACATTGGTTGTTATGGAGTAACTAGGGACTCTGTTTATGTTAAAGTGACTCTTTTAGAGCCATGTTTAAGTTAAAGGTGGGGCAACATTGCAATTATCTAGTGAAAGATTGTTCATTGTGAATTTTGGAAACATCCCTCTGGTTAGAAACGTGTGGGGTAGTAGTGGTTAATGGTTTGTGTATCTTTTTTTAGCGGAGGTGAAAAGAGTGGGCGATACCGTGTTGGGAATGGCCACCCAATGTGTTCAAGCGAAAAACGTGAATAAAACATCGCCGCAAACGCTGTCGAATTTATGCCTGAAGATCAACGTTAAATTGGGCGGCATCAATAGCATTCTAGTACCATCGATCAGACCAAAGGTACGTTTAACATTTACACCCAACCATCGCGTTGCTAAATATAAAAAACCGTTGGTATTTTTCGTAGATTTTCAACGAGCCGGTGATATTCCTCGGCGCCGACGTCACCCACCCGCCGGCGGGCGATAATAAAAAACCTTCGATAGCCGCCGTGGTGGGTTCGATGGACGCCCATCCGTCTCGATACGCCGCGACGGTGCGCGTCCAACAACACCGGCAGGAGATCATCCAGGAACTGAGCTCGATGGTGCGAGAATTGTTGATCATGTTCTACAAGTCGACGGGCGGCTACAAGCCGCACCGCATCATCCTCTACAGGGACGGCGTCTCCGAAGGGCAATTTTTGCAATTGTTACAGCACGAATTGACCGCCATAAGAGAGGTAATTTCGACCGGTTAATGTATCTCGATTGTCGCGTCTCTAACTCGATTGTTATGGAGTTAAAACGAGGCGTTGAATACGAAATGATTTGCTGTTACTTATCGTGTGCGTTTTTATAGGCTTGCATCAAACTGGAGGCGGATTATAAACCGGGCATAACGTTCATAGTGGTACAGAAGAGACATCACACGAGGTTGTTTTGTTCCGATAAAAAAGAACAAAGCGGTAAAAGCGGTAACATTCCGGCCGGTACGACGGTAGACGTCGGTATCACCCACCCTACCGAATTCGATTTCTATTTGTGCAGTCATCAGGGTATCCAGGTAATTTTGTTGCGACTAATTGTATCGCTGGAATATTATTGAAAAACGTAATCGTTTCTCTAACAGGGTACCTCGAGACCGTCGCACTACCACGTATTGTGGGACGATTCCCATTTGGATTCGGACGAATTGCAATGCCTGACGTACCAATTGTGTCACACCTACGTCAGATGTACGAGGTCCGTGTCGATACCGGCGCCTGCGTACTACGCCCATTTGGTGGCGTTCAGGGCTCGCTATCATTTGGTGGAGAAAGAACACGACAGGTAATATATATACAGTTTGATACCAGCTCTCGTTTAGTGTCTTTGTTGACTGTTGTCTAGTAAAGGAAGGGTGCGTTTTGTAGAAGACTCGACGAGCAACTGGATAAATCGAGAGTGTAGATAGCTAGAATTTGTTCCAGAGGCCTCGCGAAGGTGTAGAGCGGGCTTGTGGGATTATTTATTGGTAAATCGCATTGAAGTGTTATATATTTTTTGTATTTTTTCAGTGGGGAAGGTTCGCACCAGTCGGGTTCTTCGGAGGACAGGACGCCGGGGGCGATGGCGAGGGCGATCACCGTGCACGCGGATACCAAAAAAGTCATGTATTTCGCTTAAGAAACTTGAAAAGGCGACGTTGCCGAATTGCGTAATTGATTATTTGGATATTCTACTTTGGTCTTTCAGTGTTTTTTTTTTTCATCTATTTTTCTTCGCGGTATGAAAATTAATTATCTTATTTAATCGATTACTTATGCAGCGCTAATAAGCAGCTATAGTAAGGGAGACAATTGCGATTTATTGTGTATTTTTTTTTTTAATTTTTTTTGACGTTCCATTTTTAAATTATAAATAATCATATGTTGTATGTTTGTATGTATATGTATGTATGGATATAATTGTACTCTAACTTGGTATATGAAAGTATGTCGCTAATTATTCACTAATTAAAAGTTTTATTCCAATAAAATGTCTAGACTAGACAATAAACAAATTAGTTTAGACGAATTTCCAAAGCACAATAATGATACAACAATTGTTACTGTACTTATTACGTTACATTCTTAATATATCTTGTTAGTATATTACTTTAGTCCTCACAGTAATGATTGTACATCTATTAAGTTAGAGTATTTATTAACAAACAAAAAAAAATGTATATTAGTAGATAAGATATAAACGTGTTTCGGGGCAGTCGAGTCGTGGTTTCGAGCAAATGGAAATTCACAAGCAATATAAGCATTGTAAAACGATATTTTGATGCGTGGAAAAGTCGAGCAAATTTTTTTTCAGCCGAATTACGCGTCAAGTTTTCAGAATTATAATGAAATTTACTCTTCATTGTATCGACGTACTTTCAGAAACTTTACTACTCGTACAATCGCAGTAAAATCTAGTTTGCTGTTACTATAATTTACTATTTTACAAATCTACTTATGCAGTAGAATTTTAACGATTATTCCCAGTACATTAATTCATAACGATGCTATAGATTGTTGAAATGAATCCGTAATGTGGCTAGGAAGTGAAAAATATGCGCGACTTGTGCTTAATATAATTATGATCTCGAATTGATTTGTTTCCGAATGCAAATCTTAATTTATTTAATTGACCTGGTTAGATTGTCGCGATTCGATCGTCTCGTAACGTTAGGAGGGAAACAGAACCGATTAAAAAATATGTAATTAGCTTTTAAGGAGAAAATTTAAACTATTCTGAGCCGGGAAAAAAATATATTTTACGCTGACATTCGAAGGGACATAGAAATGAATTACGTATCATAAGTGTTATTTTTAATTAACTGTCGAGGGTCGAGAGAAATTATTTTCTCAAGGTAATATTCGTAAATTGTACGTTTTTTTTTTTCGAATCTAGTACGAATGGAAATTTGTTTTGTCATTTTTTTTTAATGTTTTGTTGTAAATCAGGATCACATATCAAATAATTGCTAGGTATATTTTTAGATTTGCAACTAAAAATATTGTGTTTAACGAACTTTTCGAAGGCCGATGCGATTTTAATTATTAAGCAGTATTATTATTTTATTTTTTATTGATTTTTATGTTTTTTATTTTCAATAGTAATTGTGTATGATTGACGTACGTCAATTGACAGTTCGCGATAATAGTTAATAGACAAGTAAGTTTGAAGAAAAAAACTCTCTAATATTTCGAAAAGGTTTTTTTTTATCGATTTTAGGCCTCGTGCGTGTTTATTAACTAACATTCCTTTAAATCTCTTGATTTTTGCTTTACATTGGAAGGTAGGGAAGCTTTAATGTTTGTTCCTGAACAGTACAAAATTGTTGATGATTCCATGGATAGTCCGTTTAAACGATAACAATTAGTGAAAGTGCAATTATTGTGTATATTTGCGGATTATCCATTCTTTTCTTATCTAGTCAAAGCGGTGACAAATTTCCGGTTTTTATTTCGTCGAAATTTGCGCCTGAATTTTATTTTATTCATACAGCAAAATCCATTTAGCGTTATAGAATTATGGTGATTTTGTTTTTAGCAGAAGTGACATATGGATAACTGGATTTTGCTGTAGAAACCTCAATTATATTATTGTCGGATAAATAAACTAGTCGTGTTCTTAGAAACGGTGGCAAAACAAATAGTTCCTTCAAATTTCTATTTCTACATCAACTCAAACCAAACGAATTGCCATTTTTTAGATTATAAGTTTTGCTCGAAAAGAAAAAAATACTTTTTACTATTACCTTGCGTTAGCGACGAACAATTTGTTGTCGAGTTCGAATGTCTAATGCAGTGAGACATAAAATTGTTTGTTGCTAGGAAAAAAATAGAATTAAGACACATACATAATCTTTGCCAATTTGTTTAGCTAAATACGGTATTACGTTTTTAATTGTCGTATGAAATAAGAAAAATCCAAAAGTTATGTATTTTACGATTTTTTAGTCGTATTTTCGCATATCATTTACTTGCATTGTTGACTAACCAAAAAAAAATGGTTTTAATGATTTTTTTTAGTAATTAAGTTTGCTGCTTATTATTTTCGAAATACTTTTTTTTAGTCTTTAGTAATACGTTAGATGAAGAAAATGTTTTATTTTAGATTTTTTTTGTTAGGGTCTAAAATGTATTTTAATTAAATTATTAGTTAACCGTTCGTTTTGTTTAAAATTTTTCGTTTTTACAGCGCAAAGAAGAGCTTACTCGACGAATTTAGTTAATAAATATATTGCATAAATAAAATCACATTATTCTATTTATAGAGAATAACAAAATTCAAAATATATTGGCAAAAAAAAATAATACAACAGTCCACGTAAGTGTTGCAAAGAATAATCTTCGAATAAACCGAATCACAAACGAATTCCAGAACGCTTTGATGAGTATTCAACGGCTCGAGATCCTCCCGACGGACCTCCCTCCTTCGATAAATTCACCCCTCGAGCGAGGCCTGAAATTTCCCGCAATTCTTCGTAACGATAATAGCCAAATCTTTCACTGTATTAGGAACGTCCGGATGGTTGACTAACTTCTCCAACAACTTCAATCCGCCTTCCTTCTCCACCAAGGTACAGTATTTATCCGCTAAAAAATCGATCAATATTATCTACTGTAATATACAGGGTGGCCCAGAACTCACGCCCCACCACCGGCAAATGCCTTATGGAAACGACAATGGAGATGCCAAAACTGCAGTCGAAAACATGAAAAAGTTATTCCTTTGGTAAATGAAGAGGTTTAAAATTGACCATAAGGCATTCCTATCCCGCGGTGGGACGTGAATTCTGGACCACCCTGTACGATAGTACGGCGACTTACGATAAACTTTCGTCAAATTAGCCAAGGCCCAAACGGCCCAATGCTGGCACTCGGGCGTATGGAACACCTGCACCAAACACAAAATCGGCTCGAACGATCTGTAATTGATGTTCCTCAACGAATTCAAATCCCACCGTTCGATCGCCGACACCATTTTGTTCAGCACGAACGGCCTCGACGGCTCCTGCACGTTCCACACTTCGGGCCCGTCCGACGCGATGTGCGATATCACTCCTGCGGCGTTGTAGCTCACCTCTATACCGTCGCTGCGCGAATCCAACAGCCCCGAGAACACCGTCAGGTATTCGGGCGTGATGAGGTAGCGCCGCAGCTCGCGCACTTCCGCCACGTTGCCCAGCAGGCCCATCATGTTGCGCAGCAGCTCCTCTTTGTCCGGAAATTTCTACAAAGAAACAACGCGATTATAATATTTCGTCCGAAGCGACCGCACTATAGCTCGCTGTTATAGTAAGGTCGCTTAGGCGCAAATTTATTTCAATGCGATAATATTTCGTCCGAAGCGACCGCACTATAGCTCGCTCGTATAGTAAGGTCGCTTAGGCGCAAATTTACTTCTAAACATTGCAGGAAGTGCTCCATTCCTTTCTGTTCGAGAAATTTCCTGCAATTCAACGGCGTTTCGTCGGTCACGTTCCACATCGTCGACCAGGCCACTTCTAACACGTCGTCGCACAGTCCTCGTTCCAACCTCTCCTTTATCAACCATATCATTTTCTGTAACACGATTAATTATAGCGAGCGAGCGCCTCCTGTGTCGGGGCCGAAATCTTACGTTTATCGCCCCCAATTCGCCCAATTTCACCTTCTGGTGGCCGTCGACTTGGCATGCGAGCGAATTCAGTAAATATATACCGATCCTTTGCACGAAGCTCAGCTGCGCCATTCCGTGCACCGAGTAGAGCAATATCTTCACCAGCCGCTCGTAATCGAACAGCTACAAAAGAGTATCGATCGATATCGATTCTAGCGATTCAAGCTAATCGATTACTCACCACGTCCTGTGGTATCCTGAACTGGCACAACGTCAGGCAACCGTTCCTCATCATCGTATCATCGTTCTTGTGGATACTCATCCCGTTTAATAGAGTGGTTATAATTTTTCTCTTTACTTTAACGTCGTCGTGCAACTCCGGCCCGGTGCCTTTTACTATATAGAACAACGTAGCGCTACAAATGCATTTTAAATCAACCACTCGACACACTTGCGAACGTATCGTACCTTCCCGATATCTGGATGTGCCTCTCGTACAAATGCCTGCTCATCGCTTCCAGCACGATATTCAAAGCCTGTCCGAGGTATTCGATGTTCTCGAGCCTGAACAAGTGGAACAGCTCGTTCATGACCTTCTGGAGCATATCGGTGCGATCCAAGTAGGCCAAAGCGGCCACCAGGATTTGTTCTTCGTTCGCGTTACCGGCCACCTACAAATCGAACCGGTTAACTACTAAACTAATTCATAGGATAAAAACTTACCAGTTTGGCCGGGATGTCGTGCCTGAGGCAGGCGTCGTGCGAGGTCTCGTACAGCCCGAGGTATTGGAAGGGATTGTTCGCTCGAGAGGTCAAGCCCGGTATGTCGCAAACCGATTCGTTCAGAGTCTCCGCTACGCCTCTGCCGGCCAGATTCGTGCCGGATATATCCAGGGAGATCAACTTGTGCAGGCTCTCGACGATGGTTTTCAGTATCTTGTCGCCTTGCTCGTACTTGCCTTGGTCGTCTCGGGACTGGGAGATGTCCAGGTGCTTGAGATTGGTGAGCTTGCAAATGGCGGGTATCATCGGCTCGATGCCGTGCACGTTGTACAATATCAACGAGTTGAGATTGACGAGTTGTTGCGTGTAGGAGAAGTCGTTTAGGTCGTGGCAATTCGATAGATCTAAGTGGGTTAGATTGGTTAGGGGATAGAGTAGAATCATGAAAAAGTCGGGATTTAATAAATGTAAACTTCTAATGGTTAGTCTTCTAAGGTTGGGGGTGTGAAAGATGTATTGCTTGTTGTAGAGTTCGCGGTCGAGGGGGAATTTGCCGAATATTCGAACGGGGAAAATGTCGGTGTCTTCGCCTATGCTCAAACTTAATAAATTAGAACAATTATCCGTAATGTATTGGATACAATCCGAGGTTAGATTCGAACATAACGATAAGTCCAATTCGCACAAATTATGTTTTAAAAGTATCTCTAAATCTTCGTCGAGCAACTCGGACTGTCTTAATTTGACCCTTTTCAATCGAGTACAGTCCGTGTTTCTAAATATATTTATAAAATTCGAGTCAACTGGCGTTAAACTATTGTTTCGAACGTTCAGTAACCGTTCGCAGATCTCCACGGGGAGCGATAATCCCTCCATTAGTTGCAGCCCCTTCATGCAGAAATCCGGATTACATATCGTTTTCGGGTGTTTGTTGATGTAGTCGAAGCAAATGTCTAAAAGGGTCTCAGGCGTTGTCGTGTTGCAAAACGAGCATATTTCATTTGGTAATATACTCGAATGACGACATTTATTTTGAAGCATCTGAAACAAATTAGCATATATTGCGAGCGAAATCGTCGCCTATTCATTAAATATCCCCACAAACCTTTTGTGTTATTTTCGATTTTCGTTTATTACATTACTAAAATGCCATTCCAGCTACGTTTTTAATATGGTTTTTGCTTTATTCTTGTTAAATCTCCATATGTATATATGTAATCTTGACTATTTTTGTTATGAAGTTTAGATTTGACGTTTTAAGATTTTCTTCTTTTTATTTTTAATCATTTTTGTCAGGTGAAATAGATGTTTCTGAATTAATTAATAAAATAAGGCCTCAAAGGTTTACGCTGATTGGTCGAAAAATCATAGATGTCATCAGGATTCTTTAGTTACCATGACAACTAACGTCAACACTAAATCGATTTTTTTCTAATTTGATTAACTGAAGAAAAAATGGTGCACGTGAATTGTTTACAATAAAATATAGAATAAAAAGATTTTATCTACTTCATATAAATCTTTCCGAGTTATATAATTGACTAATATACAATTTTCTAAAAAAAAGAAGATCTTCTTTTTGACATGCTTTAGACAGATTTTGACAGTTGGTTGTTTTGTTTCTTCATGACGTGTCTGTGCGTGGCACTTGCGGTAAATTTCGTTTGTTGAAAATTCTCGATTAGTGGGGATCCCGTTCTTTCGATGTGATAAGTGAGAGGTGGCGGATAGCGCGCTTCGAACATACGTTACATATCGAATAAACCGAACCAGTAACTAGGAAAAGAGAGGAAAAAATGGTGAAACCCGTCAGGAAATCGAGCAACAAGAACCCGCCGATCTTGAGCCACGAATACATCATTCAAAATCATGCCGATATCGTCTCGTGCGTTGCTATGGTGTTTGTAGTCGGCCTTATGGTGCAAGTAAGTACCTATAAAAGCTGCGTTACTCGTTATTAAATCGATGTAATTCGTTTTATTTTAGGCTACATCTCCTATAGCATCGCTTTTTATAACCCTGCAACATAACGTTACGGAGGCTGGAGAAGTTATATTTTACCCCACTGCTAAGGATTGGGGTTGTGTGTTCTTTTATTGCCTCATATGCATCATAGTACACGCCGTTATCCAAGAATACTTCATAGACGTAAGTGTGTTCGACTCCAAATCGTTAGCATATGGTTGTACAGTTTCGTTCGATTCCAGAAAGTAACGAAGAAATTGCACTTGTCCAAATCGAAGTTGGCCATTTTCACCACCAGCGGGCACCTGTCGATATTCTATTTTGCATCAGCTGCATTGGGTTTGGACATTGTCGTGAAAGAGAACTTGCTGTTCGATGTAGCCAAATTGTGGACGGATTATCCGGCGCCCATGCTGATGCTCGCCAAGGCCTACATAATAGCCCAATTGGCCTACAATTTGCACGAGATACCCGAGCTCTATTTCCAGAAGGCCAAGAAAGAGGAGTACTTTGGTAAAACGGTGCAAAGTATCGCAGCTATCGGGCTCATTTATGTACCGTATGTCTTGAAGTAAGTACATAATCAGGAGTGTATAAATATATCGAATACTATACGATTTGTTTTATAGTTTCCATCGCCTACTTGTGTTCTTGTTGGTGCTTCACCACGTTTCGGAGTTTTTCTACCACATCGCTCAGCTGATTCAAACCGTCGATAAAGATGAGAAATACTCGAAAGGTGAGATAACCGGTACTAAATAACCGTTTGAGTCAATTCTAAATTATCTTCTTCTTTTCTATTTTGGGCTTTATTCTTTAGGATAATTCACCTAGAAGTACTTTCTAAATTATCTATTATTGCAGGTACTAAACTGATTTCTAACGTTCTGCAACTATTGGCTCGTTTGGGTAGCATTATTCTGGCGGTGTTGACTTTGTGGTACGGCTTGGCTCTCGGGGAACAACGGGAGTTGGACATTCAAGCGGGTTATTACAATACTCCGATCGTACGACTGGTAGTTTTGTCGGGAATTTTGGGATTGCAAATGTATTTGACGTTTAACGTGATCCATCAAGAATTGGCTAGATCCCGCGAGAACAAGGACGCCGTTGTGGCCAAACCGAAGTCCCAGAAGAAGGATAAGACTAAGAAAAGTAATTATTTAGTTGTGTTAGGGGTAATATTTTATGGTAATTTGTGTTGGTTTTAGGTAAGAAAAGCGAAGAGTCCGATTTGCCCGAAGTAGACCAAAACACGAACAAAACCTTGAAGAAGCAAAAAGTGAAATAAATCCATTTTTTAAACATCCATTCTTTCAGCTCGTACGTTATTTGTATGAATGTACTCATTTTAAAACCCCGCATTTTATTAATCCATGTCATTTCACGTTCGATTTCTGTTGAAACTTTTTAAAAGAAACGTTTATTTAAGTATAATATATTTTTTTATGGAAGTACAAGTTTGTGAAGTCCCTCCAACTGTGAATTTTGAATAAATTGTTAAATCATTCCTACTTGTATTGCGTGTACTGTCGAAATTATCGACCATTTCATGTATCTTATCAACCAATGTTATATTATTTATAATAAAATCGTAAATATATTATAAATGTTATGAGTGATTTATTTGAATTGTAATTAGTTGACAAAAATATTTGAAATTTACTTTTTCATATATTCTTGGCCTCAGCTGCCAGAGCCAATCAGCCAACTTTCTATTGGGATAATTGTCAGTTGTCATTTTTAAAATAAAGAGAAGAATTTAATTAAGGTTATGTTGTACAATTTGACAGTGACATTACATGACTGACTTGTTATTTGCTCGTCAATTGAATGATTTATCAAAAATCTCACGATTTTAGCGAAATTAAATAATGTCAGTTCCAAATCCATTTTCAGCTCTTCTAGGCAAAGACGAGGCCAGCCGTTCGGCCAACGTGAAACTGAACGATATCCTAGAAAGCATATTCGGATTCTCCATAAATCCAAAAAACAGCGATAATACCAACGTTTTGTTTTTAGACGAGGTGCACAAGGTGCACGAAAAGGACGATTTAGATTTAAGTTTATTACAGTACGCCTTGTTCGAGAGGCTGTTTATGTGCAACGAAAATTCCGAGTTGCGAAATGCCAAAAACAACGGACAGGAAACCAAAGTGATAGCCTATTTGTTCGGTTGTTACCAGAAACTGGCCAATCTACAAACGAAACTAAGCGCTGAAGAGTACGCCGATGTGCACGACAAGATATTCCAAAATATTTCCACGTCCATAATACAACCGGACTTGTATTCCGGCCAGAACATCGCCGAAGATATGCTCAATATCGTGAGACACGAGGAAATCGGAGCTGACGAATTTTTCATCGAAGCAGCTAAAAGAGTACACCAAGAAGACAATAGTAAACACACATCATATTCTAAATACCTTTTAACAACTCGTATAAATTCCAGGCTCGGAATGTTTGAAAGAATTCATGGGAACGATCAGCCAGGTGTTGGTAAACGAGCTCACCAAATGCTCCCTCTCCGATACCAGCCCGAAAGTGTACAGTTACCTCCAAGTGGTCTCGAGCAACGAGTTACTCGGCGAGATCTTCATGGACACCAATTTCCCGAAGAAGCCCAATGTAGGTTCGGAGTACTCGCACACCGTCATCGGCGCCATTTTGAACCACTCTGTGCTACCAGCGACGCCTGTGGGTAAATACGATTACTTCACCAACCCGATGGACCAAGTCAGTGAATCGAATATAGTAAATCGAGCGTATTACAATGGTGTGTTTTAGGCGGGCAACGCGGGAACCGAAGAGTACTTATGGTCGTATCTACAGAATCAGAACCAAAATTTGCATAAATTCTTTTTGGCTATGCTGAAATGCGGGGCCAAGGTGAAAGAGAAGACCCTGCTTTGGCTGGGGACTTGCCTGAAAACCAACGTGAATAGAGGCAAAATTTGGAACACCCACGCGCCCGAATTGAACCCCGCTATATACATAAACGTAACCGATGGTTTTATGTTGAATTTGTGCAACTTGTTACTAAGCCTGTGCCAGCCGTTTTGTAGCAAAGGCAAGGACGAAAGAGTGTTGAAAGTCGATCCTACTTATTGCGCTGTACCCGTAAGTACCGACAACGTTTGTAAAAAAAAACGAATTTAATTTGGCTGTATGCGAGTTTAGAACGAGGACTGCGAACAAAAGGGGATTCACATGGCCGACATGGCAACCGAAACTTGCTTCTTACCCGTTTCCTCCGACGATCAATTGGAAGAGAAACGGCTGATGTCCGATTCGTACAACTTCATCACGGAGTGTTTCTTCATGGCGCACCGTTCTTTGGATATCGGCTACAGGGTCGGAGTAGATAAAATTATTAGGCAAAATATCGTAAGTACAAGTATCGCTCGAAGCGACATCTTGCTGTAAACTTTGACATAACTGTCGGCTGTCATTTGAGACAAATGGATTTTTTTTTGTAATTTAATTATACCCAAGCTCGATGATTATGAAATTTTTAATTTAACAGATGCCTGTTTACTTCTAATGCCTTATTTTTGCTAATATTTGTTTAACATTTAAAATATGTTTAATTGACAGCTCATTACAGGTACCTTTTTTACCGACACAATTTTTGACGTTTCCTAATGTCAAAATGGCGTCTTTTTAAATTTAAAATTTCAAAATTGTTTAATAGGAAATGGGGCGCATTCAGCGAGCCTTCAACGACGCCCTACAACAAGCGGGCGGCAATTCGGACTTGATCGGCACCATTAAAGATAGGATGAGCGAAGAATTATCCAAGCGAGTAGTTATATCATTCCATCGAGTCGTCTCTAATAAGTTAAATTTTTTGTAGATACTTATCGTTGAAATGCGTCCTATCCGATCCGGACGTGCTGGAGAAAATGTTCAACATGATATCGGCGACGTGCCATTGGCTCTGCCAGGTGTCCGTGCACCAAAACAGCCCCGATTCCACCGCCTTCGCCCCTTTGAAAGAACTACCCATACATTTCCCGTTGGACAACCGAATTCCCGATACTTTAAAGTACGCACCGATCACTAGATTACTACGTAAATATACGAGGCCGCTCGATTTTTAGATGCATTCCAGAATTCATGGTGGAAAACGTAGTGTCATTCCTAATATTCGTACGTAGATTCTCGCCCAAGTCCTTCGAAGAAGAGGGCTACGATAAATTGAGCCCTATATTATCGTTCATCTTGGTGTATATGTCTTCGAGAAGGCACATGAAGAACCCCCACGTTAGAGCGAGGTTAGCCGAAGGATTGGAATCTTTGTTACCTTTTCACAAAGACGATTCGACGGGTCTTAACGTTGGTAGTACGCAAAGGGCGAGATTGTTCACCGATCACCCCCACAGATTAAACGTACGATTAAATTTATCGGAGATTTACAGGATTTTGAACGGGTGTACTTTCAGATCGTGGAAAATCTGATGAACGTGTTCGTGGAAATCGAAATGACCGGCCAGAGCGTGGAATTCGAACAGAAATTCAACTACCGCCGCCCTATGTACGCGGTGTTCGACCACCTGTGGGAGCTGCCCGAGCACCTGGGCGCTTTCAGGGCGCTCGCCGAACACGCCGAACGCAACATGGAGGCCGTCAATCCGCCGCTGTTCCTCAAATTCGCCAATTTGCTCATCAACGACGCCATATTCCTGCTCGACGAGGCGCTCGCCAACATGGCCAAGCTCAAAGAGATGCAACAGGCCCAGTGAGTGGCCTCTCCGATATAGCCCTACTCACTAATCCTACCGAATTTTTGTTTGTAGAGATACCGGAGAGTGGGCGAGTTTGAGCGCCAGAGATCGAACGCAGAACATCGCCTATATGCACCACGTGGGGAATTTGGCGCGCTTCGATAACATTTTAGGCAAAGATACGATCGGGATGCTCGAGAAATTGACGTCTAAAATCGAGCTGGTGTTCACGCACACCACGATGGTGGACAGGATAGCCGCCATGTTGAACTACTTCCTGCTCAATCTGGTCGGGCCCAACAAGAAGAACTTCAAGGTCGGATCGAACGCTGTCGAATATAAGGGATTATTTGTACGGGGGTGTGTTTCAGGTGAAAGACGCCAAAGACTATCACTTCGAGCCGGCGGTGACGGTGCTGGAGATATGCAAGATCTACGTGAATTTGAAGTCGAGCGCTTCGTTTTGCCTGGCCGTGTCGCAGGACGGTCGATCGTACAGCCCGGGTTTGTTTACGTTGGCAGAAGACGTTCTTATAAGGATAGGCGGTGGTACGTTGGTGGAGGAACTGAAAGAGGTGGCCTCTAAAGTGGCTGAGATAGCTAACAAGCAAATGGCCGACGAGGAGGCCTTGGCGGAAGCGCCGGAGCACTACTTGGATCCCATCATGAGTACATTAATGAACGATCCGGTTATATTGCCCAGTTCGAAGCAGATTGTCGATAGGAGTACTATTGCTCGGTGAGTGTGTTTTGATTATGATGTGGATGAAGAGTTTATATGTTTGGATGTTGTGTGTAGGCATTTGTTGAGCGATCAAACGGATCCTTTTAATCGATCGCCGTTGTCGATGGATCAAGTGGTACCGCACAAGGAGTTGGCGGAGGAAATTAGGAATTGGATAGACGAGAGGAAGAGAAAGTGTTGTTAGGAGTAAAATTTTATGCAATTTTGGGACACGTGGAGGACGTCCGATGTTAAATTGAAGGTATCTTTTTTCTTATTGGAACGTTTGGGAGGTACTGGAAGTAAGTGGTGTTACTAAATAATGTCTGTATATCGAGAGTCATTCCTTCGAAAAACGTGTGTAAATTTTTTTTTTAAATAATTTCTAAGTATTTTAATAGAGGTATGTGATTGGTGTTTTCGCCACGAACATATCTATTTGTTAATTTTATTTCAAATTATATGTTTTGTAAGATACTTTTCGTTTGGTGCTTTACTTGATTCAAAACGATGATTACTGAAAGTATTTAATTCGAATCGATACAAAAAAAAACAACTGCAAATTCACCTTCCCGAATATTGGAAATTCCTCTCTTTCGATTCGAAACGAACGATTTTTTACAAATGCGCCGGCATTTATGAAAATTCGCAGAGATTTCCAATATTTTTTCTAACACAAAAGTCAATAAATAATATGTACAAAACAGATAAACTAATGGAAATAAATAAATAAATAATAACTAAACAAACAGCAGCATTAAACTAACAACTAACAATAGCCCGTTTTATACAGAGTATTTCATAGACAGAAATTCGAAATAGCAAATCCTCCCGATGCGAAGAGAACGAGCAAAAGTCGTGGTAATTCATCCAGCACCAAGTCTATTACCAACAACCCTTTGGTCACTGAGTAGTCGCTCTGCCCGTGTACCCCGAATCCGAATACCTCCTGCTATCCCTGACCAATTGATCGATGTTCTTCCCGTCCCCGTTCACCCCCATCAACGTCGAATGCAACTTGGAAGCCAACCAGCACATGACGAACGCCGAGAGGAACAGCAGCGCCCCCAAAATAGCGGCGATAACGAGAAACGTGCTGCAACTTCCATCGACGCCGGGATTCCTGTGGTAGAACTCGCTCGGCATCAGCACCGTGTACTCCAAGTTGCCCTTGATCCGGGCTAAATGCGTCGAATTGAGGCCCTGCTCCTCGATTTGGGCGCTCCTCTTCCGCCTGCCGTGGCCCGAGGGCTCGTAGAGGTCGAGGCAGAAGTCCGGCTGGCAGTCGATCGCCTCCATGCAGGCCTTGATCTGCGAGTGTATCCACAGCGTCGAGCGCTCCTTCATCGTGCTCAGCAGGAACGCCTCGAAGTCGAGGAAGACTTCGTTGGGGCGCTCCCTGTACCTAGCCGGCTGGTGCGGTATGATCGACGAAAAGTCTTTGTTGCGACATCTGGAATTTTTGAATTTGATTGTAGTGGTTGTACAACTGATGAGTCGTAGATTAGTTGACAAAAAATGACGGAAAATGGAGGAAACTACTGATGAGTCGTAGATTAGTTGACGGAAAATGGAGGAAACTCGTTTTTAGGGTTCATGAGGAATCCGTTTGGAATGTTAGTATCGGGTAGTCTGTGTTACACTTCAAAAATATCGTGAAATTAAATTAAAATTGTCGTAAATTAACACCCCCGCACAAGAGTTTCCTGACCTGTTATATGCGACCGTGGTTTTCTTACAAAAAACATGACATATGACAGAAATTTTTTCGAACTGGCCTTCATCTTCGCGGCCAACCGACCAATTCGACGTTCAATATCCGTAAAAACGCCCGCTACCGTAACAGTACTTATGTAAATTACGCGTAGTTAACGTTAAATAATTAGAGTAGCAAGATATTTAGGCCACCGTGTTAACCGTCCGTGTAGATTAATGCATACAAGAAGGCGAATAAAAAAAGTTACGCACGCTGATTCGCGACGATTTATTCAAATATTTCTGCACGAACACTCTTACATAACTGTCAACTCCAATTTAACGTTCGTTAGTGACCGAATAGCCCCGACAGATGAGGCCAAAAATACACGAAGAATAATAGTATAACTGGGGGAGGGGGAATCGCACTCACCCGTCTTTGATCAAAGCCACGCTGCCCATCATGTGGGGATCGTCGGGGTCCGGGCTGACGGTGACCTCCATCAATTTGACGTACTTCCAGGCGGAGTCCGGGCTGATCCGCGCCCTCAGCTGTAACTTAGTACCGATCGGTACCGCCTGATCGACGGGCAACTCGCTGCCGCCGGTCACGTTGCTTATCCTGGCCGCCGGCGCTTCCTTGTACAAGGCCACTTCGTACTCCAAACGGCCCGGGGTCTCCTCCACGACGCCCGACACTCGCGCCCCGTGCGGACTGCGAACGAATTTATTCGTATTACAGGGTGGTTCAAAATGAAAACTACCCCGTAGTTCGTTGGAGTTCAGATCGAGCGAACTGTTTGGGTATATATATAATTTGTTTTCTCGTTATTTTTACGGTGCAAATAGTGCTATAATTAATTTAAGCCTGACTGGCTTCTTCTTGGCATTAAATTGCGTTCGAATAGGAGCCTGCGATTCTTATTTTTTAACGGTTTAAAACCAACAAACGTTAACCGAACCATGTGGTCAGTTAACTTCCATTTAATACATTATAAATATACTCTTTTTTTTTATGTAAAAGTATTTACGAGTTAACTGAAAGTTTGCATACAGGGTGGTTCGCGATACTTACAAACTACCGGCGAATCCTGCCGCTTTGTTTTCAATCACAGTAGGCTCGGGCGGTTTGCACATGATGATCAACTCTTGATCGGATTGCATCACTACCCCGGGAAATTGGGGGAACCACACGCGCACGTGCACGAATCCCTGCCAAAATTATACCAAATAATTAGCAAAACGAAAATCTGTAAATTCTACGGATCGACAGCCGTAGCGAGAGACGCCTAATTCTACGGATCGATAGCTATAGCGAGAGACGCTGGAACTTACGTTTCGCTTGAGGACGCCGCACCGGCCGAAATCGAGGATTTTCAGGTTGTACTTTAGGCCGGCGGGGTCGCCGAGATCGGGCCTGATCTGGCAGGCGGCGTCCGTCTCGGCGTCGACGCCCCTGTCGTCGGCGAACAGGGGATGCCCCTTGAAGCCCTCCGGTTTCTTCAGCTTCGCCACGATGGAGTCCCTGGTGCCCTGCAGGCTGGCGCCCAACGCGAACGTGCATTGGATTTCGGTGACTATAGATAACATGTAAGCGTTAGTTTGGGACAATCTGTATTAGTGAGAATTGTTCTAAAGCGTAAGTGGTAAGTGTGAGGTGTCGTTGGATTCCTCTCGTGCAGGAGGTTTCGAATATGTTGAAATATATAGGGTGTTTCTTACAAAAAAATTGAAATTACGGTACATTTTGTTGTAATATTGTCTGTACTAACTCACCTTCATAATCTTGTGCAAACGATGTTACCTAAAAAAAAAAAACAAAATAATTTTGAGTCAAATATACAGGGTGTCTCAAAAAAGTGTATCCCAGAGTAGGTACAAATTATCGCACCGTGTATAAATATAAATTTCCTATATCACGTTAATTACAGCTCGTGTCTAAAATTGTTTAATTATGGCCGATTGCGCTGATAAAACGGGCGATTTTTCGCCATGTCGTTATAACTGTACAAGTTCAATATGTTCGCCTCGATAAATCGGTTTGAATAATTTGCCGGTGCTCCGATACGATCGGAAAAAACATCAAGCAAACTGTAGAAAAAACGCGAAACAGTTTCGCGAAAATCTCACGATCGGGCTACAAAGATTTTATTTTCATCGCTACTTTGACAAATAAATGGTTCCGTTACCTGTCAAATTCTGTGATATATTGATTGAATCAATTTGCCTGCCTGTCAATTGTCCTGTCAATGTCATCTGCCAATTTGTGAAAAGCAGTCTAATCGAATATAAACGAAACGAATATGTCTAATACTAATAACATAAGGAATTAATAATAATGTTCCCGATATTCCATATATTAAAACCGCTCATACTCGGATGTAATTTGTCCGATGCGAAACTGTAAGATCAAGTTGGAAACGTCGAAAGTAACGCAATTAAACTGAAAACTAGTTGTCACCGAACGTACGAGTAACAGTATAAAGAGTTTACGGTAAGATTCGAGAAATATAAAAAGAGAACCAACTCGCTTATAAGACTTTTGTAGCGTTTCATAATTTCTTCAATGCAATTCGAATTTTTCGAATTGACGTAAATTACTTTCCCCTGTATACGCAATGTTCTGCCATATGGCTTTTTTTTCCTTATTTAACGGGAATTTCGAGTCTCCGCTAACGCGAAAGTTAATAGATCGTAAACATCAATTTAGCTGCGAACAAAGAATATAATTACGAAATTTTCGTTTACAATTCGCTTTGAATTGAACCGCGTCTCTCGCTATACCCGTCGAAGTGTAGGCAATAAGTGTATCTAGCTATGCGATTTGAACTGTAAGCGAAAATTTGTACATTTTATTGCATCTATAATAGCTACGAGTGGTGCATCATAAGTTAATTTAGGTTAATTAAAGCGAGTGCTGAAAGGAATCGTGAAATTTCGTTTCGACCGCAAATTACCATTTTCTCGGCATTCAAATCGACGGTTTTATTATCTTTATTCGCTTTAATGGTTCCCATAAAATTCTACGGTTTTTTTTTCGCCATTTGATAGATCGTTTTCGTTTGCCACACTTCACGGCGCATTTTAGCAAATTTTCGATGAAAATCCGGTACTTACAGACCGACGGGAATAGCTGGAGTCTCGCGTCTCTCGCTATTTCTACCGCAAATGGCGAATATAGAAGAAAATAAACCGTTTTAAAATGTTTTTGTTCCATTTACCTAGCTCCAGGCCAATTTTGTTTCACCCACATATTGCACAGTTATTTCGTGTTTATTAAATGGATTTTATTAATTATTTGCGCGATTAATCGAGTGGATATTGCGATTCTTCGATTTCCATTTAAGAGGTTTCTTTTGTACCGATTTAATTGTAGTTAATTGTGACTGTCGATCAATTTAATTGATGATATCGAACGAAGAGGTTTTTTTTTTTGATTGATTGTCGCGTTTGTTAGATTTAAATTGATTTTACGCGCCTACTTTGTGTGTACTATAGAATTCGAGCGATCTGTCAGTACTCTGAATCGAGATTATTAATGAGAGAAAAAAAAAACGACTAAAGAAATGCTATATTAATGAAGATTTTTTTGGTATATAATATGTGTAGATTCAATTTAAAATTTAATTGGGTAATTCCCCTAGATTAAAACCAACTTACCGCGTGCAACAAAACCAAAACCACCCCGCTCGCACAATACATCACTGCACAGTACCACAATCCCTTATATCGCGGTAGTACCGAAAAAAAAAAAAACCGGCGAAGAAAAATAAAAATCCCACGAGCCGGTACCTTTCGGGTCGTACTAGCGCCGATCTCGTTTCGTTCTATCCGCAGCAGTGGTACTAATCCGCGGTACTGGTACTGCCGGAGTACTCGCTGGAGGTACGTCGATCGTCGCGCCCCGCTACGCTAGAAAAACCCGGAAAAAACCGCGTAAGGCCGGTACTGTTAGAAGGCGATATTTCGCGTATCGGGAACTTGTTATTATAAGGATTATGTGTTTCTTAGGAGTACCGAGGATACGCGGGAATTGGTGTTGTTGCGCATTTAGCGTGTCTTGCTATACACTCCGGTCTGTACCTGGTGAATGGTGTTGTTGTTAACACTTTTTCTACGTCCGATTAAATTGACAACAACTTTGCGATGAATGTAACGGTGAAAAATTGAAAATCGTCGTTTTCTTCGTGTAATAATGTGTTTTTTTTTTCGTCCATCAAAATGTAATTTCGAATAGTTATGAGAACATTCTTCGCGTGCATAAATTACAATTATAGTAATGCTATTAAGTTTTTCGACAATAACAGTACTTTAAGAACTTTCATTAATTATATATACATACAATCGTTAGAAGTTAACGACACGATGACGTCATCTCGACTTAATTTTTGAAACACTATATGCGATTTTTAAATTTTTCTGTTGTACAATCTACTCGGAATAGATTCGAAACAAAATTAAATGTTACGGGTAATAGTTAGACATCAAAACAGTTAAAAAGTACTGCTAATATTTATAGAAAATTGGTTTTATACGGGACGATGCACATCTAAATCGAACTGTTTTCTGTAAATAAATATGCAAAATATCCGCGAAATTATTGGTCGAGCAAATTCGTATGTCCGTAGAAAAAAATAGTACCGAGTAATTACCTGGAATTTCAACGATCTATAGCAATCTGGGAAAACTGTACTTATGCATTCAACTAACAAACGGTTTATTGTTTAATTAAACGGCGAATTATGCGTTAATTGCGTTCATAAATTACCAATATAACTCGGACGTTCTATATATAGCTAACATCGAGTACAGACCGATGGGAATAGCTGGAGATTAAACGTCTTTTGCTATTCCTCTCGAATTGTAACTAGTAAAATGTACCTAATGAAATTTCGAGGATGGAAATTTGTGAAATATGAGTTAATATACTAAAGGATCTCGAATATATTTCGAGTACAGTCCAGCAGGAATAGCTGGAGATTCACGTCTCTTGCTATTCCTGTCGAATTGTAACTATACTATGGAAATTCGTCGAAAATTAAAACCGGGTTAATATGCTAAAGGAACCCTGAGAGTTTTTTTCTAACTATATGAACAATAAATTTTCCTTTCAATTACCGCGCAATTAAAATCCGTAGATCCGCCGTTAGATAGTGTAATTAGGTACTTACGAGCCTGTAAAATATAACCCTAATTTAGGATGATGGCTCAACCGGCCGAAACTTGCCCGAAAACGGTATATTCTAAATAAAATATACGATTGTTTGTTTCAGTAAGTACTTAAAAAATATACAGGACAATTTAGGTGAAAGTACCGAACCGGCTGGACGAAATCAAATCAAAATCCACCGAATAAACTACAAACATGTATAAAAAATTTCGTCCAATTATCCACCGCGTCGCCTCCACTGTGAGTTCAAATGAGCACCGGTACTCTCTGTTCGTCCATTGTCTTTCTTCTTCAATTGCACTGAATATAATTACTTGATCCACTTTTAATGCCGGCCCGGGCTAGCTAATTCAATTTCGTACGATCGATTCGTCAAGCGGTACCCCGAATAGTACCACATAAATTGTTCTATTGGGTAGAAAAAGAGACTCTCGAGTTGAGGCAATTTGAATTAAGTCTCTCTAGTAGATAATTGACGTTCTCCGATGCGTAATTGACTCGTCGGAGTATACAGAGTGAGTCATAAACTCTTAACTAATTGACTTTTTAAGGTTGAAAATACAGCTTGCTCCATTTTTGATTGCAACATAGGTTGTACAGGCTGTGGGTGCGATAAAGACAACTTACATTAGACACTTATAAAGGAAAAGGAAAGAGTGACATTTGTGTAATTGCAAATTTTCACTCTGACAACTGTCATTTTAATAATCTTTCTTTGTTCAACTCATTGCAATCGGAAATGGAGCAAGGTGTAGATTTTTGCTTTGAAAGTTCGGGTTAATAGTACCTACCTTGTAGGTTATTTGTGAACATATACGAGTTGTAAATCGCGCCGTTTAACCTACTCTAGTAGTACCGCGAGACAATTACGAACGGTAGAAGAAAAAAATAAACGAGAAAAATTGATAAGAATTAACGACGGGGAGCAGCCTCCTGCGATAGGCGGTTTATCTACGAGCGCTCGAGCGGATTTATTTCACCTGTTCCGCCGTAAATTCGAGGCGAATCCAGTTATGCGGCTCTCGTTACAGTTCATAGGTCACTCGATCGCCCGAATCCGGATTTTCCGTTCTCGTTTTTGTCGCTCTCGCGAGGAATTTCCTCGAAATTTTTACAATTTCGGAACGGTTATTTCCCGAAGCGCCCATCTCTACACCAACGCATCGTTCCCTATGCAATTGACACTTTTGACATTTTGACAAGTGCGCGTTATTAGAGATGGACGTTTCGATAGGTAACTGAAGTAATTGCGTTGTTTTAACGGTATATTACGCGATTATGTTTCATTCTAAATTTAATGTAAATTAATTCGATTATTTAATGAACATAACCCAGATTAAATTGCAGTTAATCAATAACTTAACTGTGGATTGATCTACATATTTACGGTGCGTTTTAATTGCAAGCATTTCATATGGTATTTAAATGCTTAAAGGGAATCGCTCGATTTGTTTTAGGACATTTATACAGGATGGCCGGTGAGTCCGGTGACTTAACGCACTTCCTGATGTTTCCAAGATGTATACAGGATGTCCTAAAAAAGTGATACAATTCCAATCTCTCTCTGCTCATTGGCCGGTAACTTTTAAAGCAGTTCCTGTTACTTCTGACATGTATACAGGACGTCCCAAAAAAGTGATACAATTCCAATCTCTCTCTGCTCATTGGCCGGTAACTTTTAAAGCAGTTCCTGTTACTTCTGACATGTATACAGAACGTCCCAAAAAAGTGATACAATTCCAATCTCTCTCTGCTCATTGGCCGGTAACTTTTAAAGCAGTTCCTGTTACTTCTGACATGTATACAGGACGTCCCAAAAAAGTGATACAATTCCGATCTCTCTCTGCTCATTGGCCGGTAACTTTTAAAGCAGTTCCTGTTACTTCTGACATGTATACAGAACGTCCCAAAAAAGTGATACAATTCCGATCTCTCTCTGCTCATTGGCCAGTAACTTTTAAAGCAGTTCCTGTTACTTCTGACATGTATACAGGACGTCCCAAAAAAGTGATACAATTCCGATCTCTCTCTGCTCATTGGCCGGTAACTTTTAAAGCAGTTCCTGTTACTTCTGACATGTATACAGGACGTCCCAAAAAAGTGATGCAATTCCGATCGCTCTGCCCAGTGGCCGGTGACTTTGTGGTGCAGTCTCCTGATGGCTTCCATAGTAGGTATGTGGGTCGTCGGAAGATAAACAATCGACCGCAGAGGCGGAGGCAGGTGGACAGGTCTCGCGAAAAGGAACTAAACGACCGCAAGGTAAGAGACCGATCAACTCTTCCGCTCGCTTTATTTTCGCCTTTATTTCGATTTCGACCTTATTAAAGTCGGCCTCGGGCTGCCGGATTCGATTCCTCTAACGAACCGTGTCAATGGGACTCGTTTTATTCTAATATTACCATTTCTTCTACACAGCCATTCAAACTGGCGCGTTGTATGTAATAATTCAATTCTTCCGCTTGGGAATTATTAACGATTTTATTGTTCATGCAAATCCACCTACGACGTAATAATATATTAAAGCGTTGGCACACAATCCTAGATATTCTACATACATTTTCCATTTATCGATCATTTCCCATCGCTTATAATTAACTATACAATTACATCTATCGCGTACTCACATCAACGGTAAATAATATACGCCCCATATACGAATATACTTTTATTCTCAATTAAAATCATTAATAAAAAAAATGAGTAATACATATCTGGCATGCAAAACGTTAACATATACTTGTCGTTCGGTTACACTTACTCCCCGTATATACACAGGAATTCAATTATTCATGTTTGTACTCTAATAAAAACATGTTCGAAGCTCACTTCAAATCGTAGCAGAAGTGATAGTGGGGCGGATCGGGCGGAATGGGCGGCGGGTCCTGCGGAATGGCCACCCCCTCGGCGTCCAACAGCCTCAGTTTGATCTCCATGCTGAGCAACGTGTCGAGGTCCTTCTCGGTCTCCTTGCTCTGCATCCTGTTGCCTATCAAAGCGTTCAAGCCGTCCGTCCAGTAGGCGAAGGCCTGCTCGTCGGGGGCTACGCAGTCCAACGATTGCAAATCCGCTCCTGCAAAACGTGTATTTCGTTTGAATTACGAATCGATTCGCGGGGTATCAGTACCTTCTAATGCGAGGGAAAAGGCTAGGTGGTAGGAGGCTTTGCGGCCTTTCATGTGGGGACAATCGCGTCCTACGAGTAAGGTTTTTATATCGGACACGGCTAACTTCGATTGGAGTTCTTCGGTCGAGGGGGCGCTCTTCTCGTCGCAGTCGCCGTAGTGGAGTACTTTGTGGTTGGTAGACAGGCGCATGTACCAGAATTTGTCTTTTATGCGACCCCTCGGCGAGTACTTCGTGAATCTAGTACCTACAAAAATTGCCATATTTAACACCATCGAGTGCGTTTGTAAATAATCGAACCTTCGACCAAAAAAGCGAGTCGTTGCTGTTTAATCAGCTCCATAATATCCGGGGTGATTTGCTCACGAAGTTCCACCACCGGTCTAGCGTGGGATTCCCATTCCTCTCTCGTGTTCCTCTCCGATTGCCACAGTTGCGTGATTTCGTTGTAAGTCAACGTATGCAATTTAATCTACAACACAACGATATTAAAAACGCTCCAACTCTATTATATTATATACTTTTAATTGATCCAAAGACACCGGTACGGTTTCCAACGCTCGAACGATCTGCTCCTGAGCCACGCTGGCCACTTTCTGGAAATCTTCAGCAGTAGCCCTCATCTCCTTCCACGTTTTATTCAACAGTATTATGCAAATGCAAAAACACTCTTCGAATGGATGATCGTGCGTGAAGAACAGCGGTTGGTACGTAACGCATTGCTCCGAAGGCGGCTCGCCTAAAACCCAACAGGTTATACAGCCACTATCAACATTTCAACGACCCCCATTTACCGATTTTCAAAATGTCGCAGAGTATCCTGACCAGCTCGACGCCGGCCCTGCCGAAGGGGCACTCGTGCTCGTCGGCCCTGCAGCTGTTCTCCAGCACCAGCTTCGTGTAGTTCTCCGGGTGGTTGCGCGCGAAGTAGACCATACAGTCGAGGGCCAGCAGCCCGGGCGGGGTCTCGTTGAAATCCAGCGCCGGATTGATGTCGTTTTTGAATCCCAGTTTCTTGTAGTCCCTCGTGAAGCCGCCGGGGCCTCTCAAACTCGACGCCCCCTCGCTCTCGAAGGCTATGCGGCGCAGCTCCTTGATCTTATCGTGACCGTCCTGATCCTGCGTATCGACTCATTAACACGAATTACTAATTAATAAGATGTTTTGTGATCACCTGAGGGTCCATTTTGGTCATCATGCGTTGCTCGAGCAGGCCTAACATGAGCGTTTGCAGAACGTACAGTTGATGGGCCATTTCGTTGCCTTTCGCAGCGCCCGTTTGGAGTATATTATTCTGTATAACAGTGCGGACTTGTTTCGATGTTAACGTAGCCACCAGAGTCCTTCGTTTGGTCACATCGGCTCTGGATAGTAGAGCGTTTATGAGCGCCACGGCGTTCTGTTGAACTACCGGAGTGGATTGTAAATGGGTCACTAAAGACCCGATGGGGATCTCGCGTTCGACCTGGCCGTAACCTTCGGTGCTATTCAGCACTACGTTCTCTAATATCGACAGAGCTGCCTGGGTGACTTGCGCTTCTTGCGGAGTGTTAACGAAGTTGGCTACTTTAGAGATGAATTCGCCGTTGAGGATGTCCCAGGAGACGATGCCGTGCTCCATGAGTTCGACGAAGGATATGAGAGTGTGCGCGAGGACGACGCCCTTGCATTTGGCGCCTTCGATCTGCTTGATGAGCAACGACAGGCCCTGTTTGTTGATGAAGTCCAAAGCGAAGGTAATGTCCGAGCTGAGTATCGATAGTTTGTTCATAGCTGCGGCTTTTTCGTCGGGCGTGCCGGTGTTTAGTTTCAAAAGGATATCTTGGGCCGTCTTCGATGGGGAGAATTGCAGTCTCAGTACCGAGCCGTTTTTGATTTCGTTGCGGTTCTTTTCGGTTATGTAATTGTTGTTGTTGTTTTCGTTGAATTGCAGAGCGTACTGTTCGGGCTCCGTGAGATTCCAGCCGTTGCACAATTCCTGTATTATACCAGCCAGGGGTTGCTTTTGATTGAATTCGATCAGCTGCGGTACCTGATCGGTCATTTCCACGGCTATTTTCACGATGTTCGCGTCCTTCATGGGCGCCATTTCGAGATTAATTAGTGAGATTCTTCGGTGAGTAATTTACATATTAAAATATATTAAGTAATTACTAAATTTGTACTCCACCCATGATGATTGTTGTTGTTGTTTTCATGTTTTTTTTGTCATGTGTCAAGTTAATGTCAATATCATCTTCTTCTTCAATTTAGTATATTGTTAGCTTTTAGCCAGCTCGTTTATTATGCATTGCCATTTGTCTTACTTTTGGCAATTCAATTAGGCAATATTAGTATAAACTATGGTTTTAAATAATTTTTTGTTTTTTTTTTGTACTTTTCGGGTTTCTAACGTCAATGTCAAGTTTATGGTGGTTAGTTTTCTGATAGGTAAGAGTCGTTCAGTGTACGTAGAAGAGACGTCAAAATCAGCTGTAAGTGTCAATCGTGCCAGCACAACTGTCATTAGAATTAGATATCCATTTAACATTTCCATTTTTTAGTTTATAAATAAATACTTGTTGACTAAACAGATAAAAGTATAATGACATGCGATCAGATATAGTTTATTATTGTTTCCTTTGTGATATTAGACGAGAAAACGATGGTTTCCATAATAAAAAATCAATTGCTGAAACATCTATCCAGGTACATATTTTTTAAATAAATTCATTGACTAAGTTGCTATTTAATTAAACTACTGGACTAATTGTTCTTGAACAACCTTCCTTAGATTCACCAAAAACCTTTCCGCGGACAAAATAAATCTCAGCACGTTCAAAGGTGAAGGTGAACTGTCCAACTTGGAACTAAATGAAGTCGTTTTGATGGATTTGCTCGAATTGCCCTCCTGGCTGTCCCTAAAACAGGCCTGGTGCAATAAAGTCACATTTCGAATACCCTGGACGAAATTGAAAAGCGTACCAATATGTTTAGTAAGTAATTTAACACATAACTAAATGATGCAATATTGTTTTGATTGCCTGTTATCGCCTTGTTTATTGTAGAATTTGGAGGAAGTACAGATAGTAGTAGAGACCTGCGATGAACTTAGGATTCCATCTTCACAACCGGGCAGTTCCTACGCCGGTGCACCGGGAAAATACAGTTTTATCCATAAAGTAATCGATGGCATTACAGTACACGTTAATACAGTCAACATCATATTCAACAGCCCCGCTTTTACTGCTTCCGTGCAAGTACATATATAACAATCTAAACGACTCATTGTATTGATTATATATTCGATTTAAGATATCGAGGATCGTGGTGGATTCGAAGAACCACAAATTCCAACCATCCGATTTGCGAATGACGCGCTTAAAAAACCAATCGAAGGGCCAGCTGTTGATATTCAAGGAACTGAGATGGGACACCTTGCGGATCGAGGCCAAATCCACCAACGACAAAACCCTCACGCCTCTACGACTGATCATAAACGAAGCCAGGTGTCGAATCGTCATAAAAAAGCGACTGTCAGGTGGATTATACGCTTAAAAAAACATTAATACATCTCGTTTTATAACGCTTATATTGCAGATTCTTTCATATTGGGTTCGAGACTGGCCGTTATACTGAACGATCTGATGTGGTGCTTCACGGATTCCCAATTGAAAGCGGCCCTGTACTTCGTCGATTCCCTCACGGATTTGATACAGAAATCCACGCAGATCACGCGCAGAACCAAGGCGGCCCGAAAATTGGAGGAACTCCCCGAGTACCAGGCGCAGCTCTCCCGAGAAGGCCCCCACGAGGTGCCCGACAAGTACAAATTGTTCGCCGCCCACGACGTCATCGAAACCTCCTATCATTTGATCTCCCACCAGATCATCCTGCACTTCATCGACGACGAAGGAGGTACCTCGAAACGATCTCTTATAACGCTAGTTTATGAATTTTCTGAGCGAGTTATAAGCGTTCTAAATGGTTCTGGAAATGGTTGATGCGATTCTGGAGCGTTCTAAATGGTTCCGAACAGTTCTATAGTGTTTTCAATGGTTCTAAAGCGTTCTAAAAGTTTCGAGAGCGTTCTAACTGATTTTGGGGCGTTTTAAATGATTCTGAAGCGTTCTAAATCGTTCCAAACAGTTCTAAATTGTTCTATAATGTTTTAAATGGTCCCAGACCGTTCTGAATGATTCTGGGGCGTTTTAAATGGTTCCAGACGCAAACCAAAAACCTCGTAAACTAGTCTAATCGAAAGAAATACATTTAAATCTTGTTGTGTTCCAGCCGGTCGTTCGTCCCATCCGAATCTCAAAAACGGAGACGCTTTGCACATATGCTTGAAGAAATTCCACGTCGACTATTATCCATATCACTTAGCTAAAGGTACTCCGATTCGCAAAGTAATCGTAATTATTTCATCGATTAATTAATCGTAGGTAACAGAAAACATTGGTTGAAGTACAACACGAACTTCGTGCCGCACGCTCTCTGGCAGGAACAAGCCCTGAATTCGTTCAGAACGACGTTTCTGAACCTGATCGATCAACACAAGCCCCTGCACGCCCCCTTGAATCGACCCAAAAAGGTACTTCTGGACCCACTGGAATCGATTGTGTTGTATTAATCGAATCGTTTCAGAACCCGGACGATGCCAGCCCGGAGGTGAAATCGCCGCAGGGCTCCGACTTCAAGAGCAACAGGCGAAAGATCGAAGCGATATTCTCGAAATTGATGACCAGTTGCATCGTGTTGCGCATCGAAGATTTCACGGTGTTCAAGGTGAACTCGTCGCAGAAGAAGGGCGCGAAAGAATTCGTTTTCGGTACGTATCCGTGCGCCTAACGGTACTGTCTTGTCCGCGATAGTACCTCGTTGAATCTATTCCTCTATTTGGGATAACTATTGTTTTATATCTAACAGCGCGACGAACGAACAGGAAGGATAGAGTTTATCATGCAGGTATCTATGCCGTAACAACCACTTTTAGAGATTGTAGAAGCAAATATATATATATAGAGAATTGGTGCTTGTGATTTATTATACACTGCTCGTACGGATTTGGTGAGCAGTTTGAGTATTTGTCCAGTGTTCGATGCGAAGTTGGTGTTGCTAAAAACTGTTCGCTTTTAACAGCATCGACTTTCGTCAGTAGTGCTTTAAATTCGTTGAAATTAGTAGAATGATTCGCGAAACAGTCGGTGTATTCGTACCCAAGGAAAGTGTATTTTGAAAAGTGTATGTTAAAAATAATCGTTTGGTTGGTTTTTACAGGCGATAGAAGCCAGTTATCTCTACCGGCCGATTCGAATATGGTCCACGCCGAATTCACCTACTACTATTATCCCAGTGACGTCCCGTTTCCTCGTAAGCACCCCAGCCACTCGCCACTAAATCGCCACTACTAATCTCTAATTTCATTCCCAGTACCACCACCGAAATTCTACGTACAATTAAACCCGGTGTCCGTCATGTTCGACGTAGATACCTGCTTGTGGATCAACGCGTTCGCTTTGAACCTCTTCAAATCCCTAGCGAACTCCACCAGCGAAGTACCGGTGTCTTCCTACACCTACATGGACATCAAAATCGAAGCTATATTACCCCGAGTGCGTGCTTTCCTTCCCCAACAACCAATACACTATCAAGTAATTGGTATTTTTAGATTAATTTCGAGAGTGCTGCTGAGCACCCGAACCAAAAGGACCGGCCGAAGTGCCTCAGCTTCCAGGCCACGCGGGCCACCGTGACGAACGCGCGCAACTTGGAGCAATCCTCCCGCGCCGACCTGGCGCGATGCGTCGATTCCTTCCACATGGGCTCGCTGTTCTTCGGCGGCGAGTTCCCCTCTCGACCCGACGACTTCTACGTGGTCACCCAGAAGTTCATCGATCACATCGAAGCTGTAGACAACATCCGAAACGCCCCCGAATCGATAGACGCCTCCGTAACGGACGATTGGGTGAGGATAAACTATCGTGTATCGTGCGTATAGTTATCGGTGTGAGTTTGTAGATGGCGCAATTCACTAGAGAGATGTTGTGGACGGACGCGAAGGACGTGTGGTGCATCAGTTTGGATCCCGTTTGGGCGGATTTCAACGGGACGAGGGCCATCGGAATGGCCAAAAGCGTGCCGTTTTTGGATACTCTACCGGTGACGTTGTGGCTGCACACCCACATGGATCCCAATTCGACCATAAAACAACCTAAGAGCGACGAGGAAGAGGCGCCTTCGTACGCTGATATACACGCTTTGGTCTACATCACCAATTTGGTGAGCGTGCAAATCAACCACTATCAATATTTGTTTCTGTTGAGATTGGCCGAAGACGCCGCCCTGTTGGCTACTTACTTGTCTATCGATGCCGAAAGGATACTCCAGGTACTCGATACACTACTCGAGCGTTTACAAGAATATTGTTCGATGGTGTTTTTTTTTTAGGTCGAAAGTAACAGTTCGATCGCAATGGGGGTGATAGTACCGCAATTAGAAGTAACCTTCGTCATGCCATCTAGCTCGCCCGGTAAAGAATCCTCCGGTGGCGATATCGATTCCGTAGTACCGGATACATCGAGTATAGCAGATGACGTTCTAATAGGTTCCACGCCATCGGTATGGCAGAACAGCACGTCATCGGTAACCCCAAGGAAACTAGCCAACGGATCGTCAAACCAATTAGATCTACCGATAAGCCAATCGTTGGATCCCCTACAAACCGGCCCGAAGTACGCCCCGAACGACGAGCACAGCTCGTTGCTCCAACAAAAAGCCAACCTAAACCTGCAAACCAACCTCAACATGGGTAACAACGCCGCCGTTACAACCTTAACACGCCCTCGGACCCTTTACGATTCCGCCGTAGGTCTGACGTCGATGCGGAAGGGCATCACCAGCCTGATGTCGTCGATCGACAGCGCGCTGAAGGCGAGCCCCGACGACGCCAGCGACACCGCGTCGATACGCAGCGACGTCTCCAGCGATTCGGAGAAATTCGTCCACATCAATTGCGACCTGGACATCGCCGGCGCCGAGATACTCTTCGTCGTCGCCGAGTTCTACGAGCGGATCGAGGAGGCGGCCGAGGTGGTGGAGGAGGACCACACGGCGACGACGACCACCAGCGAGCGATCGGCCACCAGCACCGGCCGACGGAAGGATTTGGTGAGGAACGGTTATTTTTCGGAACGTTCCGTTCCCGACATCTCTATACTACTAAATCGGTTCGCACCTCTATTAAAGTGCTGTCACTAATGTCATATTTTTTTTTTCGATGTCGTGACTTCGGCTAGTGTGGTTATTCGGTCTAATGTCATATTTGTGTATGTATCATCGTGCGCAACTTAAAATCCTCGATGTCGTTTTTAGGTGTCGGTGTCTACGTTTAAATTGAACAAAATCGAAGTGGTGTATCAATCGTTAGGATTTCGATCTTCCATTAAGGTGCAGCTTAATAATTTGCTCTCTGAGGATTGTTCTTGTATATCGTGGGACGAATTACAGGTGAGGTGTAAGTTTTTTTTTGTCGTATAAATTGTAACTTGTATTCATTTTGTTTGTAGAATAAGTTCGGTACGAGGTCTCGAGTGTGGACGAGCAGCCCGCCGAGCGATTTTACATCGCCCAAAGTGAAGTTGCGATTAGAACACGACTTGGCTGTGGACAAATCGCGTTTGCTCGACGAAGATCTTACAAACAGGGACGTATTCGCCCGATTGTTCACGGACCTAGTGAATATAACCGTAAAGGATTTATCGTTGAATTTGAACATGAGTACAGCGATCGGCTTGGCCGATCTAGTAGAAGACGAAGTTATACCAGTACCACTCCCTATCAAGGTGAGATGTAGTGTTAATTCGCATGAATATTAACAGTTTGTTTTGTAGTTGAGCCTCGAAGAGGTGAAGATCCATTTGAACGAAGACAGACCGCCGGTTAATATCACTTCACCGGGTCCCGTACCGATCGATTTGAGCATTAAACATTTGTACATCGCTCGAAGCGAAGACGGCGTGTTCAATTTGTTCCCGAACAACAGCGAGTCTTCCTCTAATGAATTGGAACAACGCGAAAATCCTTCTCCGCCGGTACACGAGAAGAACAACGAAGATATACGAAGACTGATGGCGTTCGAGAGGATATCGGAGGAGAACCGGCTGCTGCGCAAATCGAAGGAGGAGAACGACAAGGAGCAGGACCTGTTGAGGAACTATTTGAAGAAGTCGCAGGACGAGGTGAACCGGTTGCTCGACGAGAAGCGGAACATGCTGGACGAGATCAGGCGGTTGCAGCACCAATGCAACGGTTCCAAGAGATAGCAATATTGTTTCGATTGTACCAAGTGTTTCTGCAATGATAAACGTACTCAATAGCGCGTATATAGGCTGTTCCGTTGGTTTTGAAAACGTAATATCAGATGTGAAATATATATATTTTAAATTTTATCTAGATTATTAAGCTTAGAGTGATATCAATACGGAAATAAATATTGTTAATTATGTGTAATTTACGCGTCATGATTCACATCTACTAGTTAATCGATGTTATGATGGAATTAATCGATTCGGCGACGAGTCGATTGTGCAGTATGCTCAAGTGATTTCCATCGAAGGTTTCGATGTCGATCGGCGATTCGCTGATCCTCGACAGTCCATAATCCTCTTCGATGTCCTTCGTCAATCCCACGGCGGGTTTCCACAGCCTCAATTTGGATTTCAGTTTGTCGTAGGACGGGCTGTAGGCGTCTATCGCTTTGATTCTGTTGTAGAAACCGTTCGCTAGCTTCGTATGTAGCTCGAGTTTATCGGGCGTTATCGGTCTGATGATGTCTTTGGCCACTTCCAGTCGCTCCTTCCACGTGTCGCACTTCAGCAATTTCTCCTGAAACGAATCCCTATGTATAATCGACGTTTCGTCTCCGGTAAATTTCATCTTCAGGGTCAAATATGCAAGTAAATGAGTTTTTTTTCTCGAAATAACTCGAAATATCTCGTAAACGGTAAGATTTACGAAAAATTTTCGTATTTGCAAAAAGATTGCAAGTACTTTTGTCGATCTAATAAAACAAACCGGGTGTTTTTTCGATAAGTACTTTTCGAGTTTTTTCAAAAAAAATCGTTTGCTTATTTTCTATAAGTTTGTACCGCAAAAATTCGGAAACTATCATGTTTGAGAAAATTTTGAAAGCGTAAATTTACAGATTCGACATTTTTCTATCTACCGGAATTTTTTCCCGATTTTATCGAAATTATTTATCGAATTATAAAGATTTTTCTAAATCCATGCACATTTTACCGGCTGTCGTTCAACCGGAAGTGAAAACGTTCAAATCGACGCCATGACGGTACGATCATTCCCGAACGAAATACGAAGTCGATGAGTTTTGACATTTGACATTTAATTTGTTGTACAAGATGTTTCTAACTTAAGGAACGTATAAAGTTACCTGGTTTTCGGATATAACCTCGGTGGGTAAGTAAAACGACAGCAAATGGGATAACAACCCGGTCTCGAACATCCTCTCTGACTCCTGCAGCCAACTTTGAGCCAGCTGCTTCATCAACACGGTACCTCCATCTATAATCACCACGTTACCCACGTACCCTTTGAGCTCCAACAAATGCACGATTTCCAACCCTATCAAGCTACCGAACGAATACAAAACGAAGTTGAACTTCTCGCCCTTCTCCACGTGTTTCTCCACCGCCTGCAAACACAACATATATAACCAAATCCAGATGTGCAGTGTAGTGTAAAAGTACCGGCAAAAGCGACCGGGCGATGTCCTGGATCGTAGCGAATTCAGTGGTCTCCCAAAACTGGAACGCCACAGCAGGAGCGACGAGATTCGCGGCGAGAATTTTGAACTTCCTAGCGAATCCTTCGATACCCGGAAACAGCAGTACTTTCGTCGCAACGCCGGCGTCCAAATCGGGATTCAATCGCACCTCCACCAACCTCGTCTCTTCACCATCACCCACGTCTTCCAGCACCAATTTTATATCGTTCGATTCGCTGTCGTCGCTCGAGATGCACTTCTGCTCTTGGATTTCTTTCAACCTACAACAAACCGATCAATCAAACTCGTACGTATATAACCTATAATACACTCACTTAGCTAACGTCATGCTTTTGATATCTTTAGGCGTGAGGAATATTTCGTATTCCCTTTCGAGCGTCTGCTTGATCTCCACGCCCGTCATGGAGTCCATGCCTAGCTCGGGCAGAGTGGCGTGGTGACTCACGGCCTTCGAAGTGTTCAAACCTAAGATGTTGATGACGGTGTCGACGATGTTGTCGCAGGATTCCAGGCCTCGTTTCTCGGCCACCACGATGCTCGACACTACAGTCGCTTCGGTTTGTCGCAGGAAAGCGTTCAAAACGTTCAGGCAATTGGAGATTTTCTGCTGGAGCGTACCGCCGATTTCGAGGGCTACGTGTTCCTCTTGCAGCTCCGCGACGAGACCCACCTACGAATAAACGAAACAGGTAAATGTGTATAGTGTGTTAGATGGTTAATTTACATCTCCTACGGCGCCCCATTGGATGGCTAGTGCGGGATAACCTTCTAGTTTTCTCTTCTCGCATATTCTCTCCATGACTGAGTTGGACATGCCGTAGTTCGTTTGGCCGGCGTTGCCCCTTCCGCAGCTCACTGAAGAAAACACCACGAAGTCCCTGCGAAATTCCGACGATTACAATCGGTACGCCCTGTATATACGCAACGAGGTACCTCAATCGGGGACAGAGCTTCCTGGAGATGTTGTCCAAGTGCATCGTGGCGATGGCTTTGGGGCCGAAGGAGGTTTTAAACGTAGCATCGGTTTGGTTTTCGAATAAGGAATCGGCCAAAACCACTGCTAAATTGAATATGGCGTGCACCTCGCCTAATTTACCGGCCTCTTTCAGCATATTCGCGCAGCCACTTTCGCTGGTTACGTCCTCTTTGGATACGCGAACGTTCACTCCGTACGATATCCAAGTACTGAAAGAGTCTATGAGTAAATTGAGTAATCTTTATCGTGCACTTACTTTGTCCTGAGTTTCTGGTAACCCGTTGTAATTCCTCTTCTAGACGTTAGAACGAGATTTTTAGCTCCTCTGAGCACCAACCAATCAGCCAATTCCAAACCGAAACCTCCTAAACCACCAACGATTACGTACGTCTTATCAGGATAACAATAATATCTAAACAATAATGATCGTTTATGTTATAGACAGAGGTACTACTAACACCAACTTACCTAGGAATACCATCGAACTTCTGCACGCTTTGATCCATCCCGTCTCTCACCCGAATCAACACCTTCCCCATGTGCTTACCCGTCGACATGAACCTAAAAGCGTCCTCGACTTGCTCGTAACCGAAGACGGTACTAGTCAAAGGCACCACGAACTTCCCGATGTTATCGTTCAAAATCCCGGTGATCTCGCGCTTCACCTCCGGCGTGCAGGCCATCAGCGAGTCGAGCATCACCCCGTGGAAACTGGCCCCTTTGTCGAGCAACAACAGGCTCAAATCGCTGTTGCTAGCCAAATCGAACTTGCCGATTTCGACGAAGCGCCCGCCGGCGCCCAGACAGCGCACCGAAGCGATTTGCTTCCGCTCGGCCAGCGAATTGATCACCATGTCGACGCCGCGCCCGGCCGTGCCGGCGATCACCATGCGCTCGAACGACAGATCCCTGGAGTTGCCGATGTGGCGCTCGTCGATCTCCGGAAAGGTTCTCAACAGGTACTCCCTCTTCTCTTGAGTACCCACCGTGGTGAATACGGTGCAACCGTAGTGCAAGGCTAGCCTGATGGCCGCTTGTCCTATACCGCCTGTACCGGAATGGATCAACACGCTTTCGTTCCTTCGCAATCTACCACGCTGGAATAGGAAATACGCAAGTAAATACTTTTTTTGTTTATATACAGTTTACTGATACTTACTATAATCATTCCGTAGATGACTGTACCGTAAACGACCGGTATAGTAGCAGCTTCTTCCAACGACATGGCGTCCGGTACATCGAACACCAGGTACTTATCGGCTAGTATCAAAGATGATAGAGCACCTTGTGTTACCATACCCATCACTCTTCTACCACTAAAACATTTACTACGGTTATATATACGATCGGTTTTGCTTTCTACGATCACTTGCTTTCGATCCAATCCGGAGAACTCGAACCCCTGCACGCACTCCTGCTCGATCCTGTCGCGCGTGATGACGTCGTTGTTGATCTTCCCGGAGGCGGTCATGACGTCGCGGAAGTTGAGGGCGGCGTAATGGACGCGAACGAGCTCCTTCTCGACCGGAACAGACATGTCTTGTCTGAGGTAGCTCTCGATCCACCGTAGGCTGGAGATGTCCCCTCGAACGGTGGTGTTGGCGTAGCAGTGTTGGCTGCGGACTGGGGGCGGTTTGGGGAGAGGCAGGTGCCGGTAGGTGCCCCACTGGGCGTTTTTCCACACGTTGACTGCCATGTGTTTGTCGAGCTGGTGTTTGTAGAACGGGTTGTGTGGGGAGAATTCTTCGGTTGGATCGAGGAGGATGAGGGCGCGGACGAAGGGGCTGTCGGGCTCCCTGCGCAGGCAGTTGACGAGGCCGAGGCAGCCGGTCAACGGGTCGTTTTCGGCGTAGAGGAGGAGGTTGTCGGTTTTTTTCAGTTTTATTAGGTCTTTGGCGGTTTCCAGCCAGGCGAAGTCGCTGGAGGAGACTTTGATTGTTGTGAGTTCCTTGGTGCCGGCGGTTTTCTTCAGAAACACTATAATTTCCGAAGGTGTTGTGTGAACGGTGAAAATTGTGAAATTTTGGATGTTTGTGTTCGATACGTCCGCTTCTAGGTTTTCTCTGGATATGATGAAACCGTTGTCTTTTAACGAATCGAACGCCGTTTTAACCACCTGAAAGTACCATACTGTTGAAGCTCTGCAAAATTGACTACAATCGTGAAATTTTCAGCATAAGTAGCCTCATATCTTGTCTTATTATCCCCCAATTACCATCATCCCTACTCAACCCCAAAGAGTCAAACCACCCCTTTGTATATAACACCTCAAAAAATCCCCTTATGATCCATATCCTCATTAATTCAACCCCGTAGACTCGACTAGGGATAATACTACTTAGTAGACATCAAGACAATGCACCAATCTCTACTTCCTGAAAATTTCACTACTCCAGCTCGACTCTAACCAATTTTACAGCGATTGCAAAAAATCGTTTCTAACGATCAGTTCAAAACCTACCGCAGGTCTGCTAAGCAAACAAGTCCCGACGATAATGTGACAATCCCTTTCGCTCTTCAGCTCCTTATCTTCGATTTGAACCGTCGTTTCCACGGCTTTCTTCGACAATACTTTACACAAGGGCGTCATCAAGGGCTGGTCCTCGAACGCCGATTGCACCAGCGGTATAACCAATTGCTGCCCGTCCACGGTGAATTCGTCGACTAATTCCACGATTTTCAGCTTCTTCACCAAGCTGTTCTCGCAGAAAATCTGCATGTTCACCCGCATGGACTCGCCCAGTGTCAATTCAGCGACGTTCGGTACGAATTGGTAGCTTTCCAGGACCGGCACGCCCAGATCTTTGCGCTTGTTTATCGAGCTCGCCATGAGGCCTTTTATTTTCAGGTAACCGCATCTAGAATTTACATCGCGAGTAATATAAAGAAAGAGTCGAAATAAAATGGTGTTATCTACCTAATTTCACCGGTTAAATCATCGCAATATGCTGGTAAAACTGGTTTCCTGTTGAGCTTCAAATAATTGGTGTTTATGAATTCTAATTGTTGTTTCGCCGGTAGGACGAGTTGTTGTATGTATGTCGGTACGTACAACAATCTCGTATCGGTTTGTAGGATCCTCAATTGGAGCAAATTGTCCATGAAAGTCGTCCAATTGTCCTCCCATTTGATCAGGCTTCTCGTAGCTGTTACGTTACATTGCTCGATGCTTCTGAACCCGCCGCTGTTGGAATCGTTAATAGAGCAATTACCAACAAACTACTCGGTAAATATGATACTTACGAGTAATTGTACCCTCTGAGCCTCAGCTCCTTGTAGACGTCCTTGGAGGAGAGCGTCAGCTCGTCGGATATCTCGTAGAAATTCTCCGATCGTTCGAAGTGCTCGTTGTCCTTGGAATGGATCTTGCCGCTGACGACGATCGAATCGCCTTCGGTGATCTCGAAGCCGCCCGACAACCGGTTGATGGTGATGCGGAAGATCAAATAGCCCCTCTTGGGCAACGTGCTCGCCCGCACGAATCTAACATCTTCGAACACCACGTTCTTCACCGTCATCGGCATCTCCTCGATCAGCGCCATCGTCTCCCACACCAAGTACAAGTAGCCGGTGGCCGGGAACAGCACCCTGCCTGCAATCGGGACGAGTAAGAGGCCGCTCATGGGGCGTCTAGAGATAGAAGATGCTTACCGTCGATGACGTGGCCTCGGGCGAAGGCCCATTGTTGATCGCCGAAGTGGATTTTGACCTTTCGGGCGCCGTGTTGGGCCGAATTGGTGGCCTGCAGGTCGTACGATGGGGTGAACCAGTCGCGGTGGTGGTTCCATTTGATGAAGGGCGATATCATTCTGGTGCCTCTGCTTACCGGGAACTTCACGTCCGGATAGAGCTTCGATATCAACGGATTGTAACCGTTCACGTACAAGCTACCAAACGATTCGGTGATTTTAGATTTTAGAACGCCATCTTGTGATGGCTGTTGGTTACTCACTTTCCTAATATCCTCAAAAACGACACCAAATTGTCTTCGGTGTCGCCGATTTGGATGATCCGGACGTCGTCGGGGACGGCGTCCGGGGACGGTACCACGCCGCAACTGAGTACTATCGAATTGCTCTCGACGTACTCGAATTTGGCGGCGCTTTCGGATTTTAGAGCGTTGAGGAAGTATTCGGCCGATCCGAATTTCTCTTCTTCGCCCTTTCGCCGGTTCTTCGGCATGTCCAGCACGTTGGATAAGTTCGACAGAAGGTTCTTCTCTGGAATTTACAACGTTAAATCGAGTCGAAACCTTACAAACTGGATCAGGACCAAGATAGGAATCAAGACTACCGCCTGGATCAAGTCCAGGACCAGGAACCGGTACAGAATCAAGACTAACACCAGAACTAAGTCCAGGATCAGGTCTGGAATCAAGACTAAGACCAGGACCAGGTCTAGAATCAAGATTAAGACCAGAACCAGGTCCAGAATCAAGACTAAGACCAGAACTAAGTCCAGGACCAGGACTAGATCATAAACAAGCGATTTAAAGACAACTTACTGATTCTGGCGCAATCTGGGGATTTGAAAGCAGCCCGGAAATTGGCGAATATCGTGTTCTTGTTGTTACCCTGCAATCGACAATTCAATACAAACAAATTTGATGCCTGAGAAATGAATCCTTACGCGATATTTATCCGGTAATTCCCCGACTTTGTCGACGACGTCGTCGATGACGAAAGCGCAAAGTACCGTTTGTTTGAAGGTTAGTATACCGTCGAAATAACCGGCCAGTATTTCGCCGAAGGAATGGCCGAAATAGTTCGTCGGGTTGATTTGTAGCTGTTTGAAGACATCTATCAGGCCCAATTGGACCAAAATGCAACCTAAAGTTTGGTGTTTCGCTTTCGATTCGGTACTGCCGAATACGCTGTCGCCTACGTCGACTCCTTTGGGCAGGAGGAGCCTTTGAGCTCTGGAATTTTACAGATTTAATTACTTTATCTTATACTTTGTAACTGGTTTTTTATATACTTTTCTATTGTAGCGGAGAAAGTCGGTATAATCATCAGTTGCTTTCCCACTTTGTACCAATTATTGAGTTCCCCGAAGGCGAAGTACAACGGCGTTTTGCTGCCCGGATAATGCTCGAAGAACCTGCAAATCTCTCCTGATTTCGTCAGAATAGAATAGCCTCGGTACACGTGATTCGGTATGTTCTTCCTGCAAATACCGCGATCAATTAATAGCTGTAAGATGGGAATATTCCCGTTCTGATGATGGTAAGTTTACCTAAAAACATCGTGCAACAATCTGATGTACTCTGCATCGATTCCGTTCGATTTCAGCTCGTCCAACAGCGCAAGAATCGATTCTTCGGTACGTCCGCTGACGCAGGTAACTCGAGGTATATCATCGTCGGGTACGCCTCGGTTGAGCTTCTCCTTTTTGTTCGATTTCAACAACATGTGGCAATTACCTCCACCGAAACCGAAGCTGTTTATCCCCACCAAACCTCTTTTATCCTGGAACGGCATCTTCTCGGCCACCACCTTCATCCTGCCTTCGACTATACCCTGGATGGATTCCCTGGGCGTCGTGAAATTGATGTTGGGCGGTATGAAACCGGTCTCCAATCCTATAATACACTGAAAACAACAACAACAACAGGAGTGCGATGGGGATGTATAAAATACCGTACCTTCACTATGGAGCACATTCCAGACGCCGGTTCCGAATGCCCTATGTTAGACTTAACCGAACCCACCAGCAGCGGATCGTCAACTTTCCTGCATTTAGCCAGGACCTCGTCCACTCCGGAACATTCCTCCGGGTCGCCCACGAACGTGCCGGTTCCGTGCGCCTCCAGGAAGCTCAGACTAGCCGGATCCACTCCGGCGTCTCTATAAAACTCCGTCAACAACTGACACTGAGCCTCTCCTGAAGGATAAGTGATTCCCGCCTCCTTGAACCCGTCGCAATTGGTTTTTACATACACCACGTCCGAGTACTTCCTCTTGGCGGTCTTCGATCTCTGCAACAGCATCGCCCCGATGGCCTCGGACCGAGCGTAGCCGTTGCCCAGCTTGTCGAAGACCTTGCATTGCCCGTCCAGGCTCAGCACGCCCAATCTGATGACGAAAAAATCGTTCGGCGACGAGTTTGGTACATTAAGAAGCGAGTTACCTGGAGAATTGCAGCGAAACGAAGGGATGGAAGCAGACGTTGGCTCCGCAAACCAACGCGTTGTCCACCAACCCCAATCGCAGGTCCCTGAAGGCGGCTTCCAGAGCGAACAAGGAGCTGCTGCAGGCCGTGTCCGATATGAACGACGGGCCTTTGAGCTTCAGGAAGTAGCTGATCCGGAACGCCATCGAGGATCTGGTGCATCTGGATAATTTTATCAGCGAGTTATTGGTGTGTTTTTGGAGTTGTTTTAGTATATACCCGGTGAATCCGTATTTGGGTACGGGTCCGACGTTGTCGTGGAAGATGGATTTCTCGCTTTCGCTGAAGCAAGTACCGACGTAGACGCCGGTGTTGGTACCTTCTAAATCGGCGAGAGAGAGGCCGGCGTCGAAGATGGCCTCGACGGCTTTCTCGATGAGGATCCTGCCCATGGTGTCCTGGGCGTCGGCTTGCTTCGAATGTACACCTTTAATGGAGAGAGTATGGAGGTTGAGGATGTTTGAGGGGGTGTCTGATTTTATCTACCGAAGAATCCGGCGTCGTATTTGGCGCATTCCGGTAGAGATCCGGAGCAAACTGGGATTTCTGGATGTTCGTAGTCCCATCTTCTGTTCGGTAAGACCATGTTGATTTTGTTGAAGAGGTTGTGTTGGAAGTGGTAGACGTCGTTGGAGTTTGGGAACGTTCCGGCGATACCTGGATGAGTTTTGTTTAATAAAATGTTATAAATATTGTGTGGATTGATTGGTGAATACCCGATATGACGATTTCCTCGCCTGGCGGGGGATTCGCGAAGATTTTCCCTTGGATGTGATTGTAGTCTTTTTCTTCGTTTGTAGCGGCATTTTCGCCAGACTGGACCTCTTCCTTCATGATCGTTTCTGGATTGATCGTTTCTGGATTGATCGTTTCTGAATTGATCGTTTTATGGAATCGATGAATTTTCGCGCGTTCTGTGTTCTGTTGAATTGAAATGAATATTGATCGATTCGAAATTTCGCGGAAGTGTAATGTGCATTTCGAATTGTATAAATCGATTTGAATTGAAGAGTAATTTTGGGGAAATTTTTAATTGAATAAAGCGTTTAAAACTTTCTTATGCGGTAGAAATAACTACTAATAAAAACGAATTGCTTACTTTTTAATTTATATGATCAATTAAATTAAAACGACTACGGAAGTTTAAACGGGCAATAAATAAAAAAATTACTTAAAAGAATTTAAATTTAAATATTTTTTATCGAAATTAATAAATGATTTTTAGATAAAAAAAAATATAACTTACAGTGGATTACACTGAAAACTCGTAACAATCTCGCTTTATTTCCTGTAACACCACTAAAGTAATGACCTCTGAAAATTTGTATTTATAGTGTAAGGGTTCAGTTATTAACCTTTTAAGAACAATATATCACACACAACATTTGCATAATTTATTTTTCCACTGTTCTTTGAAATGTACCCACATTCTTATACACAAACAGAGAGGCACATGTGCAGATAATAACATGTAATAAAATGGGTAAGAAACATTCAAGTTAATATCGTTAATTTTCTTGTTATTTTCATTTCTTTTCCATCATCAAACTGTTGATCAGAGTGTGATTGATTAATCAATGAAGTATTAAGAGCAATTCATTATAAAAGGGAAGATTTTGGATTTTTGGTTGTAAAAGTGGGTAAAATAATTGTTACAATTAAATTGGAATATAATAAATAAAATTAATAATTATGATTGTTACTTAAAAATAAAGAAATACGTAACACACAAGGTTTTATTTTGAACTTTTTACGGTAATAAGATGCATTATTCATGATATTATTGAATATAATAAAGTTCAATGTCTCCAGAAATAACTATAATTAATATTCTTTCGATGCTTTTAACGAAACCGTCCATTTTTATTTCTTCATCGATTTATCCTAATTACCGATTATTCATTACCAGATATCTCTAAAATATTTCCGAAATTAATCATTCGCTAATTGACCGTTATTTTTATTGATTCATCACCATAGACAAACACATAAAAATTCAATTAATGCACGAAATAATAGACAATAACTAATACAATGGAATAGTAATAAATTTACACGCAAATTTCCAGCACTTACTCCATTTGCATTCGAAACCACTTACAAGGCGGCATTAAGGAAAAAAGAAACAACAAAAAAAATCAAAACAATACCAATTCACATTCGCCATACCAACCCCAACTCAAAATCCCTTTCCCGGCCTTCCCCGACACGAATCCCACACCACCAAACGTTTCGACGCCAAACCCTCGCATCATCAGCACCGAGCGCTTCCATCGAGCCATCCTGTACATAACCAAATTTTCGCCCAGTCACAGCCTATTTAAATCGAATTACATAACCCTCCGCGAATTACAATCCACCGAACCCAGCCATGTTCAAACCGAAATCGCCCACCGCCATCCCCGACTTCTACAAGGGCAAGAGCGTCTTCGTGACCGGCGGCTCCGGCTTCGTGGGCAAGGTGCTCGTCGAGAAGCTGCTGCGCTCCTGTCCCGACATCAAGACCATCTACATGCTCATCAGACCGAAGAAATCGGCCACCGTCGAGCAGCGCCTGGAGCAGATCAAAGGGAATGTAGTGAGTGTTGTTGATCAGCGAGTAAGTTCTGATTCTAGCTTTATTCGGAAGCTTTTCAGCGTGCTGAAGGAGGCCCAACCGAAGGCTTTGGATAAACTCGTGCCCGTCGCCGGGGATATCACCAAAATCGGTCTAGGTGAGTGCTAAAGCGAGGAACTAGATCCCTATAAATGTTCCTTTTAAACCCCTCGAAGATGGCTCCAAAAAACGCAGCCATTTCACTCCTAAACCCCTCGAAGAAGACTTCTAGTCCCTCTAGCAATCTAATCCGACACCTAGAGCTCTACGAAGATGCCTTCTGACTCTAAAATCCGCAGATTTGAGCGAGCAAGACAGGGCGATGCTGGTGAAAACGGCTACGATAGTGTTCCACGTGGCCGCCTCCGTGCGCTTCGACGACTTCCTGCAGGCGGCGGTGTTCACCAACCTCCGAAGCACCAGGGAGACGGTCAGGCTGGTGGAGCAGCTGAAGCAGGTCGACGCCTTCGTGCACGTCTCGACGGCCTATTCGAACTGCGAGAGGAAATTCGTCGAGGAGGCCTTCTACCCGGGGAAATGGGATTGGCGCGAGGCCATCGAGGTGGCCGAGCGGATGGAGCCCGAGCACCGGCTGGTGTGCGAACGCATCTCCGCTAAATTCGTGGAGCCGATGCCCAATACTTATGTCTTCACCAAAGGTCTGGCCGAGTGCTTGGTGAAGGATTTGTGCTCGGGGAAGTTCCCCACGTGCGTGGTGAGGCCTTCTATAGGTAAATGGGGTCGCTTAGATTGGTGCGATGTAATTCTATTTGTTTGTATTGTACAGTTACTGCTTGCATAGACGAGCCTTTGACGGGGTACCTGGACAACTTCAGCGGATCCACCTCGTTGTTGGTGGCCGGTGGAACGGGTAAATTTCTGAGTAATTCCTGAGTAATTCCCTCGATTCGATCGGTTGTGTGTTTTTAGGCGTTGCTAGGGTGATTAAGGCCGATCCTAATGGGATTAACGATAACGTTTTTTGCGATAACGTCGCCAAGGCTCTGATTATGGCATCTTGGGAAACGGCTATGAGGTAATTATCGCGCGGCAGCGAACGTGTTATCGTCGAATTCGAATTGTTTGAATAATCCGATACACCGGACATCATTTGCTTACAATATTTTTTTTTCCTATTGAATACACAACAATGGTTTCGCATAATTAAAATGGGATTTTTTGAACTGTGCACCTACGAGTGTAAATTCGATGTTCGCAGGAAAACCACCGACGATATTAAAGTCTACAACGTGACGTCGGACTTGACGTGCACCAGCAGGGAGCTGGTGGACATCGGGGAGAGAATTCTACCCCATTACCCCAATCGGTACTACATAGCGCCCATGAACATCGGCCTCGTAAAGAGCGATTACGGGTTTTACTTCGTCAATTTGTTCTGCCACTTTTTCCCGTCGCTATTTATCGACCTCATCCTAAAACTAGCCGGCATCAAAGTTAGGTAAGCCGTTGCATTATAATAGTTACGTTGGAACGTTAGTAACGACACCTCTATACTCGAAAATCCGCTTCCATCTTTACACTTCGAGTGACTTTTGACAGCTACTAGACGTGTATACTCGATGTATACTCGTGTATACTCGACACACGGTCTTACGTACAGATCTGAAAACTTTATGGTAGTGAGGGTGTTGCGCAAATTGCGATAAGGAATCCGCTAATGTTGGGTAACGTTAATTTATCTATTTCGTACAATTAAACACTACCTGATACTAGCGCCATCTATCGAGAGTCACGTCATCCGCGACGAGTTTCCTGACCTGTTACATACGACCGTGCTTTTGACAGTTTTGACAGCGTCTGCTCGACCTAAACTCGGTGGTGTCTACTCGACCGCAATAACCGTGTGTTTTGCAGTATTTTAAGGTTGCGCAGGAAATTGGTGACGGCCTGCCTGGCTCTGGAACCGTTTTCGGTGCCCCGGGGGGGTTCGTGGACGTTCGTGCACGACAATTACGTGGAGTTGGAGAAGTCGCTGGTGGACAGCGACAGAGCGGCCTTCTCGTACTCGTTCAGGTGCAAGAACAAGAAGGAAATGTCGGAGGCCTTCACCAGGATGATCATTCACTGTAAGCAGTACTTGTTCGAGTACGAGAGGGGCGAGCAGAACCTGGACGCGCGGCGGGCGCTTTACGCTAAGTAATGACGAAAATGACGTTTATGGGGGAATTTTATTTTATACGGTTTACGATTTTAGGGTGAAAATCGCGTACCAGTCAGTGCAGGCGCTTGCTGTGATGTACGTTGTGTATCTGCTGGTTTGGAAAACTAGCATACCGGCTATGTTTTTCGGCAGATACTATAACTATCTGGTTAATGTTTAAAAATAACTATTACAATAAAATAATATACATCACAAATTCTTTTTATTAATTCGAAAAAATATATGAGAATCATCCGAAATCGTAGTGTGCCCAATGACAGTTAACATGACAGTTGATCTATCTTTTTCTGTATAGCCTACTAGATTTACGCGTTTCTTATGTTAATTACGAAATAAAAAAAAATTATCAAAATATTCCTCTCTAAAAATAACTGCTTCGTGAATATCCCATCAGCACGTCCTTGGCGTGTAGCGATAAACGTCGATAGAGAGGAGCGAGAGTAAAAGGCGTGGGGGTGGCGAAACAACGTGGTCCGATGATATCAAACTATCATGCACATGCGTTCAGCCGAAATCGTGCGCGACGTTGCCGCATTTACCAAAAATTCAACAGGTCTTACTAAATTATAGTTTGCACAAAAATTAAACGTCTAATGTCAGATTTAATAGAACGGTTACATCTGTGAGTGAAATGGCAATTTCCGGTCACTTATTTCTTGTAATCTGCACTTCCGGATACAAATATCACAGCCTCCCACCAATGACATCTAGATTATTTATCGTAAGTATTATTTATCATAAGTAAATATTTTAGTAAACGTGACAACGTCGCAAAATCGGATTGTGTATATTTCCAATAAAAATGTCAAGACGATTAGTACAAAATAGTTAAGTAGTAGAAAACGAGACCAAAGTAGCTGGAAACATTTCGCATATTATACAAAATAGTTAGGCGTACTTAGTGATAAAGAGTGCTGTGATTCCTGTCAGTGAGAAAACTAAAAATCCGTACAATAAACTCAAAAACATGCCGGAAAATACGAACATGCAAAACGGCCACAAGAAATACACCAGGGTTTGGTGCGATGGGTGGTAAGTTTCCAATTAATTCGTCTTAATTAACCTTTGAAAACTCGTTAAAATTGCATAGTTAATCAGAATTTCGCACATAACCTATCTTTTTTTCTGATAATAAAATTACAATAGTAAGCATTATATCGATTTTTTCGCGGATTATTGATGTCATGGTCCACTCTATAAACGCTTATCTCATTACATTTCACTATTACAAATTACAAGGCAATAAAATCGCTGATTAATCATCAATCATCACTCTTCGCCCACCACATCCCTAACCTAATTCTTTTACATTTTGCAAAGCCCTTTTGGTAATTTTATTTTACTGTCAAATGTCAATTCAAAATTACCCCTATTTATAATTTACCCCAAAGGGTCTTTAATGTCAACAATAGGGCCCTTTTCGACTCATATCACTGATCTTAGAATAGATTTACATTAAAATTTGTTATCGAGAGACATATTAGAGGGGTAAAATTAATTATGTACAAGGGTTGGGTGAAAAGTTCTCAACCTAAATCGTTTAGAACTGGCTAAAACCATTTAGATAGAACGCTCCAGAATCAATTTAGAACTGTTTTAGGACCATTTAGAACGCTCCAGAATCAATTAGAACCGTCTAGAACTAAAAATTCGGACTTAATAAAAAGAATAATGTAATTTCCGAACCGAAAATCGCGGTCTATCATTGTCAATCTTAGAACTGTTCACCTTGCATAGATTATTCGTTTGTACTCGGTAACCATCTAATTATTTCGCTTCGAATTAACGTTAGAATAATAACAGAGACGACCGGATAATAACCACAATTTCGACGAGTAATTAATTACACTACCATTCCGCAAAAACAAGCAAAAAAAAAAAAAACCCACACCAAACTTTCCGTTAGACCAACCAAAAAAAAAATCGATTATTCAAACGCGTAATTTACTAATATATATGTCGTATATGTACCTTCGTAAGAGGCCACATACTTCACTTGTCATCCGGGGATTTGGGAGAAATGTCAAGACCGTTTTTTGTTTCAATCACAAACCACTAACTCTTAAGAGTTACTGGTTTTTTGTTTCAATCGAATCTATGAGAACTTACTAAATTACTGTATTATATGTTGAGTAAAGCGAATAAAGAGTAAATTAACAAGCATCGTTCTATAAAAAACACAATAATATATCCAGCTAAAAATCGCTTATTCAAATACATAATTAATCAATGTATTTCCAGCTACGATATGGTGCACTTCGGCCACGCCAATTCCCTCAGACAGGCGAAGGCTTTGGGCGATCGCCTGATCGTCGGCGTCCACACCGACGAGGAGATCATGAAGCACAAGGGACCGCCCGTCTTCACCGCGGCGGAGCGCTACAAGATGGTGCGCGGCATCAAATGGGTGGACGAGGTGGTGGAGGGCGCCCCCTACGTCACCAGCTTGGAGACGCTCGACAAGTACGATTGCGAGTTTTGCGTGCACGGCGACGACATCACGCTCACCGCCGACGGCGTCGACACCTATCATTTGGTCAAGGACGCCGGAAGATACAGGTAAATCGATTAAATCGATTGGATTTGTACCGGGATCTTTATTTGAAACTATCTAGAACCGTTTGGAAAGGCTCCGGAACCGTTTAGAACGCTGCAGAGTAGTTTAAAACTGTCTAGAACACTCCAAAGTCATTTAGAAACGCTCCAGAATCATTTAGAACGCTGCAGAGTAGTTTAAAACTGTCTAGAACACTCCAAAGTCATTTAGAAAGTTCCAGAATCATTTAGAAAGCTCCGGAATCCTTTAGAAAGCTTCGGAATCATTTAGAAACGCTCCAGAATCATTTAGAACGCTGCAGAATCATTTAGAAACGCTCCAGAATCATTTAGAACGCTGCAGAATCATTTAGAAACGCTGCAGAATCATTTAGAACGCTCCGGAATCATTTAGAAAGCTTCATAATAATTTAGAAACGCTCCAGAACCATTTAGATCGCTGCAGAGTAGTTTAAAACCGTCTAGAACACTCAAAAATCATTTAGAATTCGCTCCAGAATCATTTAGAAACGCTTCAGAATCATTTAGAACTGTCTAGAACCATTTAGACCGCTCCAAAATTATTTAAAACTATTTAGAACCATTTAGAAACGATCCACAACCATTTATAACGCTGCAGAGTAGTTTAAAACTGCCTAGAATCCTCAAAAGTCAATTAAAATTTCGCTCCAGAATCATTTAGAAACGCTGCAGAGTACTTTAAAACTGTCTAGAACACTCCAAAATCATTTAGAAAGCTCCAGAATCATTTAGAAACGCTCCAGAATCATTTAGAACTCTCTAGAACGATTTAGACCGCTCCAAAATTATTTAAAACTATTTAGAACCATTTAGAAACGATCCACAACCATTTAGAACGCTGCAGAATCTTTCGATGTTGGCCTCTTCTTCGATGGATGCTTGTTTTGGTCTCATAAGGGTCTCATAACAGGTGTTTCAATGATCCGCCTGTGTAGCACATCTCGAACGATCTAGGTCCTTTAAGAGGACATGGTTCAATCTTTCATCAGTCCAAAGAGGACTTGCTGCTAAGCGCTTGGTTATAAAGGCGCTTTCTCAGGTTAGGGCTGTCTTTAACTACTCCTTGGCAGTTTTAGAGCTGGCCTAGCTAGCATGTCTATCGGTAGTTGCGAATACTTGGGTGGCATTGAACTGTGTTTGGTACGATACACTTTGGGTGACCCTAGACGATTTTTTTCGCCCCCGAGATTCGATGTTGTTTCGGTGGAAATTTTCCTCGTGAGGAATACTATACGTTTCTACGACGAATCGTTTTGATAATGAATTGATAATTTTAGTTGTCACGTTGTATGTAGAACGGGCGTTTAGAGATAAGAATTGTATACGAGAGATTGATTACTAGAAATATTTCGTTGGTTATTTTCTAGAATTAATTAGTTTTTTGTTTGTTTTTGTAGAGAAGTCCAAAGGACTGCCGGCGTATCGACGACGGATTTGGTGGGTAGAATGTTGTTATTGACTAGGAACCATTTCAAACAAGGTCAGTATGAGTACGATGTTGCCAAAGAGCATTCATCGACGATGGGACAGGATTCATTCGCCAGATCTCCTTGGACAGGTTGTTCCCAGTTCTTGCCGACCACGCAAAAAATCATACAATTCTCCGACGGCAAACCGCCCAAATCTAGCGATAGAATCGTTTACGTGGCGGGCGCGTTCGATCTATTCCACGTCGGCCATTTGGATTTCCTCGAAAAGGCCAAACAACAGGTTAGATCCGACACGATCTCGAATCGAATCACATTTAATTTCTCGGTTTCTAATCCTCCGCAGGGCGATTATCTGATCGTCGGTCTGCACACCGATCCGGTGGTGAACAAGTACAAGGGCACCAATTATCCCATTATGAATTTGCACGAGCGCGTGCTGAGCGTGCTGGCTTGCAAATACGTGAGCGAAGTGGTGATCGGCGCCCCCTACACCGTCACCAAAGACCTGATGGATCATTTCAATGTCGATATGGTGGTGCACGGCGAGACTCCCGTCATGGACGAGAACGGATCCGATCCCTACCAATATCCCAAGAAGGTGAGAGGGCCCTACATAAGCGTTTTGAACGCTCCTGAATCGTTTAGAAACGCTGCAGAATCATTTAGAAACGCTCCAGAATCATTTAGAAACGCTCCAGAATCATTTAGAACGCTGCAGAATCATTTAGAAACGCTCCAGAATCGTTTTGAAACGCTGCAGAATCATTTAGAAAGCTTCGGAATCATTTAGAAAGCTTCGGAATCATTTAGAAAGCTTCGGAATCATTTAGAAAGCTTCGGAATCATTTAGAAAGCTTCGGAATCATTTAGAAAGCTTCGGAATCATTTAGAAACGCTCCGGAATCGTTTAGAAACGCTGCAGAATAATTTAGAACGCTCTGGAATCATTTAGAAAGCTTCGGAATCGTTTAGAAAGCTTCGGAATCATCTAGAAACGCTCCAGAATCATTTAGAACGCTCCGGAATCATTTAGAAAGCTTCGGAATCATCTAGAAACGCTCCAGAATCATTTAGAAAGCTTCGGAATCATTTAGAAACGTTCCAGAACCATTTAGATCGCTGCAGAGTAGTTTAAAACTGTCTAGAACACTCAAAAATCATTTAGAATTCGCTCTAGAATCATTAAGAAAGGCTCCAGAATCATTTAGAACTGTCTAGAACCATTTAGACCGCTCCAAAATTATTTAGAATCATTTAGAAACGCTTCACAACCATTTATAACGCTGCAGAGTAGTTTAAAACCGCCTAGAACACTCAAAAATCAATTAAAATTTCGCTCCAGAATTATTTAGAAACGCTCCAGAACCATTTAGATCGCTGCAGAGTAGTTTAAAACTGCCTAGAATCCTCAAAAATCATTTAGAATTCGCTCCAGAATCATTTAAAACTATCTAGAACCATTTAGAAACGCTCCAGAACCATTTAGATCGCTGCAGAGTAGTTTAAAACTGCCTAGAACACTCAAAAATCATTTAGAATTCGCTCCAGAATCATTTAGAACTGTCTAGAACCATTTAGACCGCTCCAAAATTATTTAAAACTATTTAGAACCATTTAGAAACGATCCACAACCATTTATAACGCTGCAGAGTAGTTTAAAACTGTCTAGAACACTCAAAAATCATTTAGAATTCGCTCCAGAATCATTTAGAACTGTTTAGAACCATTTAGACCGCTCCAAAATTATTTAAAACTATTTAGAACCATTTAGAAACGATCCACAACCATTTATAACGCTGCAGAGTAGTTTAAAACCGTCTAGACCACTCAAAAATCATTTAGAATTCGCTCCAGAATCATTTAGAACTGTCTAGAACCATTTAGACCGCTCCAAAATTATTTAAAACTATTTAGAACCATTTAGAAACGATCCACAACCATTTATAACGCTGCAGAGTAGTTTAAAACCGTCTAGAACACTCAAAAATCATTTAGAATTCGCTCCAGAATCATTTAGAACTGTTTAGAACCATTTAGACCGCTCCAAAATTATTTAAAACCATTTAGAACCATTTAGAAACGATCCACAACCATTTATAACGCTGCAGAGTAGTTTAAAACCGTCTAGAACACTCAAAAATCATTTAGAATTCGCTCCAGAATCATTTAGAACTGTTTAGAACCATTTAGAACCCTTCCGAATTATTTAAAACTATCTAGAACCATTTAGAAACGCTCCAGAACCATTTAGAACGCTGCAGAGTAGTTTAAAACCGCCTAGAACACTCAAAAAAATCAATTAAAATTTCGCTCCAGAATCATTTACAACGCTCCAGAATTATTTAAAACTCTCTAGAACCATTTAGAAGCGCTGCAGAGTACTTTAAAACCGTCTAGAACACTCCAAAATGATTTAGAATTCGCTCCAACTTCAGAATGACACTTTACACGAAAAAAAAAAACCTGTAAAATTCGCAAACTTTTAGCGTTATTTGTTACGAGAGAGGGTAACGAGATTTGTTTGTTTGTTTTTTTTTTGTCAGGTGGGTAAATTCATGACGGTGAATTCGGGCAACGACATGACGACGGAGAAGATCGTCGACAGGATCATCAGGAATCGTTTGGAGTTCGAGAACAGGAACATGAAGAAGGAGACGAAGGAATTGGAGGTGTTGAAATCGTTGGAGGCCCAGCGAAATGGCGCGTTGCACGCGAACGCCTAAGGAGAAGAAGATCGCTCGAAAAGGAAACGGATGATTAAATGTGTAAATATGGTTATTTTACGTTTTTATTTGGTAAGGTACAATGACGTTTTAGTACTTACGATTTTATTACTATTAAGGCGCGGGGACTATCAAGTAGCTAAAGCAAGTTACTAAAATTTAGTTACTTGTATGGCGTGGACAACTTCAAGTCGTACGAGTAACTAGATTTTTAGTTACTTGCTTTAGCTACTTGATTGATAAGCCTTTACTAAGCGAATGTTGTATTTGGAATATGTAAAATGCCAGGTGTGTGGCGAATACGTAATTACAGTGGATCTCGCTTTAATTGCCTGGTTGGTATGGAGTGAATGTTGAATATATGTCATGTAGAACTTGTATTAATAGGATATTAGCTTCCACTTTGTTTTTTTTTTGTTTTGTAACGAAGCGAAAAGAAATGTAATTGTGTAGTAATCGAGCCAGTTGGGTTCTAGTCAATTTCCCTGTCCTGCATATTTGTTATCGGAGTACTATTTGTATGTACATTTTTATTATTACTTTGTTGTCTTTATTAATCATCCAGATTGCCGGGCGCAGAGTTTTTAAAATTCCCATTTTAAATATTTTTTATTTGTTTTAGAAGGAACTTTTATAATGTATATGAAGCTTTTATTTAACGTTTTGGTTTTTTTACGAAACTCTTATTATTGTAACCGTTATATTATCAAATGTATATTGAATTATTTTTTACAGAACAGTACATTTTTTTATTGCATTATTATATACGCCATTATATTGTTGCTATATCAAGATACTACAATTAGTTTTATTTTAATTTAAACTTAACTCTAAACGCGCCAATACACGTATCAAGTACCTAGAGCAAGTTGCTAAATTTAGTTACTTGCATCGTGTGTACAAACTTGATTTAGTAGTTAAAGTAGTTTAGGTACTTGTACAAGTCATCCACACCATACAACTAACTAAATTTAATTACTTCCTAGGTGTATCTGCGCCTTAAACGTAATAAAATCGATCATCAATGCTCGGGATCATCTATCCCCCCTTTAGTAATCGCGAAACTAGCCTCGCTCTCCTCCAAATCGGGACTATCGTACACCGAAGCCACCCTCCTATTGCCTTTACCCTTCTTCAACGCCACCCTCGTGGTCGAAGAATGCGCCAGCACGTTGCCGCCCACCGGCTTGGCCGCCTCCGCCTCGCCCAAATCGCTCGTGATCTGATTGGTCACCAGCACGGCCACGCCGAACTCCTCGCTGAGCTTCTGCAACTTGGACATCGTCCTGCCGAGCTTCTGCTGGCGCTCGGCCAGCTCGGCGCGCCCGCTGAAGTCGACGCGGAACAGCGCCATCACCGAGTCGACGATCAGCAGCTTGAAGATGCCCGGCTCCTCGTGCAGCTTGGCGCCGATGCTGCCGAATGAAAACTCGTATAAAAGGATTGTCTGGTGTCGAGACTGTTGGTACTTACTTGCCGAGCAGTTGGTACTGGTGCTCGGAGGTGTACGCCCTGGCGTAGAGGACGTTCTCCAGGACGGAGGTGGGGTCGAGGTTGAAGCGCTCCGCTATGGGTTTGAGCCGATGGGGGCGGCTGTGTTTATGTGCTGGTTTTTAAGGAGAAATTTGGAGTTGTTGGTTGGAAGTGGAGCTTTTGGGGAAAGGATACAAGGTGTTTTCGGTGTCGATGTACATGACTTTACCGCCTAGGTAACCGTTTGAGTCGGGTATTTGGGCCGTAACGCAGAGGGTGTGGGATAGTTGGGTTTTACCCGTACCGAACTCGCCGAATACTTCCGTTATCGCCATGGATTCGATGCCGCCTCCTAGTAAATTACTATCGGAAAGTTTTTATTATGAAGCTCAGGGTAAGACGATGACGTCATTTCCCTAGTTCCCGGATTTCAATTACAATCCGGCAACGTTGCAACGTGCCGGCTCGTGACGTCATCGTCTTTTTTGAACGAGTAGGTTTTTTACTCACTCTAGATTCGAGCTGCCGGTTTGTAGCTTGAATATTTCCTTTCGTTGATCCATGACTTCGAGGGCCGTTACGAATCCGCTGTTGACGGAGACTTTGCAACAGGCCTCCATGATTTTGTCGATTTTGGCTTCGTCGAAGCCTTTCAGCGAGCGTAGTATTTTGCGTACGGTCATTTGCAGGCCTTTTATCGTGTTTATACCGATGTCTTTGAGGCATTTTATGTCGTTGATCGAGACGCCTTGGTCGATCAACATGTCGATGTCTTGGAAGCAAATCTCCTCTTCTTCGAGGTCCAATTGTTCGCAGGATTCTAGCGTTTCGGCTTCGGTCGCCGTTTGGCTGGAGTTGGCCGGTTTTTCGGCTACTTCGGACATCATTTTGCGTAAAAACTTTTAAATTCAAATTCAAACGCTCGACCGGCTCTGCAATTTACTACCAACTTTATAGATTGACAATTGACGTTTAAATTTTGTTACCAACTTGGCCTCTTGCTCAACGATTAACCAACTAGTTAAAAAAAAGAAGAATTCTTTAATGACAGTTGACATTTGCAATTATTTTCAAATTGGCGGTACACTGCTACAATTAAAAAAACAAATGTTTGATTATACAATTTTCCCTAATAATGGATAGTGCTAATGAAGATTTATATTTCCAAAAACTCGAAGAATTCGTTCGAGACGAAGATAAAATAGTAAGACACGTTCGAATTGCAAATGCGAGTAGACTAATTTTACAAACTTTTAGGTTACTATTCCCTACTTATCGAGGAATTTAAACATTTCGATACAAGAATCTCAGGATATACTCGCTAAATATTTAAAGGATCAACGTAAATTGGAGCCTAAAGAACTCAAAGCTACTTATATAGTAACCGGGAATGTTAAAGACAAGGGAAGAGGTGTGTACTTCGTGAAAGAGGATGAATTAAAAGACAAGAGGGCCCTGTTCGATAAGATTGATAGTGAGGTATTGTTTAGCCTACAGAAAACCCAGCAAGTTGATTTTCATGTAATATCTTTAGTTAATGATGTAGCTGAACCTTCCGATGAACCCTTGTAAGTTTATAATTGTATTTACACACTTTTATTCACTCTCTTTTGGTTAACAGATTGGGCTCGGTGATTGGCAAAAACTGCGTTAAAAGAGCCCTAAAGGTGAAGAAGCTCCCGACTCCACCTCCCAGCACAGTGAAAGGAAAGTCCTCCGCTTTCTTACCGAAAACCGATAGTTCCAGTTCGAATGAAAACACCCGAAAGCAAGAACCGAAGGTTCAAATACACTTCACACTACATTTCCTATAATTTAATACGATGCTTTTAGCCCAAAAATGAAATCTCCAGCACGCTGGATAAACCCGCCAAAACCCAAACTACCAAGGACAAACAGCCAACGAACGTCTCCAACAAATCGAAAGGGGTACTCTCGTCGTTCCTGTCGAAAACTTCCAGCTCTTCGAGCGTAAAAACCGAAAAAGATAAATCGATTTTCAGCAGCCAAGCCAGCGAGATCGAGGAATTGATGGAGGTCGATTTCCAAGAAGATTTCGACGAAAACACTAACGCGATCGAAGAAACCGCGAAGAAAGAGGCCAAAACATCGAACAAGAAGAAAAGGCAGAGGGAAACGAGCGGAGACAAATCGGGGAAGAAAAGAAAGAGGATAATCGAACGAAACGGTTCAGAAAGCGATGGTACGAGAAGTGTTTGTACGAACTATCGAGATGTTTATTTGTATTGCTGTTTTAGATATGTTTGAGAAAGATGAGAGCGATATTATCGGAGTATCGGACAACGAACAAGAGAGAATACCATCACCTGTCGCTACTAAACCTCTCGCAGCCAAAAATAAAATTAGGAAAGCTGTGGAAAATAGTTACATGGACGAAGAAGGTTTCGTGGGTAAATGTCTATTACTTAATTAAATTTTTAACGAATTTAATCGGTTCTATTATCTAGTAACAAAAACTGAGTACGTGTACGAAACTGCGATGGAAGATGATAATAAGGAAGTAGTAAGCGAAGTAAAGAAAGAGACGAAACCGAAGCTGGAAAAGAAGACTTCGTCGGAGAGCGATAATTCTACCAAAAATTCGAAGGGCAAGAAAGGCAAGAAGATGAACATGCAAAACCAGCCGACTTTGATGAGCTTTTTTCAGAAGAAATAGCAATTAATAGTTATTAAATTTACTTAATCTTTAAGGATACATCAAGTATGATTTTTAAAATCGGGGTTTTTCTTTATTTTTCCGACTCGCTAACGAACTGTACATATCTAACTAACATTGGCTGTTTATTTTTACGTTTTTGTAATAGGCCGATGAAATCGGAGTGCCCAATCCAGTGCTTAATTCCACCGTAGGTTTCTCGCCGTCTTTCGCCACTCTGTAGGTCTTTTTTAAGCTGGTTTGATTGTAAAATATTTCTAATTTAGGTTCTTCGCTTGTCCTGCCTTTACTCTCTTGGTTTCTTATTAGTAATTCTTTGAGTAACGGCGGAAATTCCATGGTTTTCGGCAGGATTTTCGTGTATTCTTTCGCCGTCGTTTTGCAATACTGTTCTTCTTCGTCTTTGGGTATCAATCGATAGTCGGATTTACCGCTGGTGTTTTGAATTTCGAGAGGTTCCGTGTAGGTTACTCCCCTGAAAGTGTTTTCCATCCAAACTTTTACCAATCTTACATCCTACAATAAATACATAAATAAGTTGTTTTGTTGTAATAGAAGCGTAATAAACTTACATCGTACGTTGGTTTTTCCGGATTCGGGAGTGTTTCAACTTTCAAAATTTTCATATAACATTTTTCCGGGTACCTCTCGAATCGACTTCGCACTATAATCCTACCGACTCCGAAATTTTTCAGATTTCCCACGATTTCCCATAGCGTTTTCCCTAGGAAATCAGTTTTCCTTCCTATATATTTGTACGGCATTATAATTCTCTATTTTTAACAAAAAAAAAGTGTGGTTATGTTTGTGTAGTGTCAGTTGTCAAAATTACTAAATCTTCTTTTTAACAAGTATTTAGTTGCCTTTACTTTGAGGCATCCAGCCCGCTGGGTAATCGAATCGTAATCAAAATTAATATATATAATATGAATCGCATCTGATAGAGTGAACCTTCCTGTAGGTCATAAGGTTCAAATTTATATCCATTTATAACATTTGTAGACAAGTAATGTGACATACCTTTCGAGAAGTTTCCAGACCTTGGTTATGTAAGACCGTAATTGACATTTGACAGCTATTAAGTTTCTTCTTTTATTAGCGATTAAAAAAAGAAGAAGTTTATAGGTTAGTGATTCTTGTCAAATAAAACAACAATTTTTTGGCAATTAATTTAGGGGGTTTGCACACGATTATAAGCCGGATTATTAGGAGAACAGAATGTGCGAGGAGGTTTATTTATGACGCTTATTAATCGCGCTCCTGCTCGATTACAAATACGTACAAAGGCAACCATTTAATCAAATTTCGGTAATTCTGGTTGCCTATCTATTGTATTAGTAAAGCGCGAGTAATAAGTATCAGGAGTAAACCTCTTCACACATTCTGTTCTCCTAATACGAAATTTTAAATTCGCAAATTTTTAACGAGAAATGTTCGAACGATGTACATAACTATTCTTCCGATTTTTATAAATTGCCTTGAAAAATTTTGCGTTTTTTTTTCAATAAATTCGACAAAAGTTTTGCGTTTTTTTTTTCAATAAATTCGAGAAAAGTTTTGCGTTTTTTTTTCAATAAATTCGAGAAAAGTTTTGCGTTTTTTTTTCAATAAATTCGAGAAAAGTTTTGCGTTTTTTTTCAATAAATTCGACAAAAGTTTTGCGTTTTTTTTTTCAATAAATTCGAGAAAAGTTTTGCGTTTTTTTTTCAATAAATTCGAGAAAAGTTTTGCGTTTTTTTTTCAATAAACTCGAGAAAAGTTTTGCGTTTTTTTTTCAATAAATTCGAGAAAAGTTTTGCGTTTTTTTTTCAATAAACTCGACAAAAGTTTTACGTTTTTTTTTCAATAAACTCGAGAAAACTTTTAGCATAAATTTCATCCAGGACTTTCCGTAGAAGTACCTCTCTCCATATAATAAATATCTCCTGTTACTAGACTTCCTAGCATATTCTCCTTGCCTAATATCCGAAATTAATCAATGGAGATCTACGAAAACTTGTGCTCAAATCTCGAATTAAAACGTGAATTTAAGAATTCGTATTAGGAGAACAGAATGTGTGAAGAGGTTTACTCCTGATACTTATTACTCGCGCTTTACTAATACAATAGATAGGCAACCAGAATTACATTTATCGATGGAAAATCGATTTACTGGTTGCCTATTAGGTAGGCAACCAGTATTTCGGTCATTAAAAACTTATAAATGCATAATCGTTGTCAATTTTTCAGAAATCTCAAAACGAAATGCCTTTTTATGTAAAATCCTTCAAACGTTTTATTTATTTATTTAAAAAAAACAATATTTATATGTAAAAATTTATACGACTTAAAAGCTTGTAACCAAATGTCTGAGTAGTAAAAGGCCATTCCTAAAGTAGAATTCGTATTGACATTTTGGCTTTGACAATAAATCTACGAGCAAATCAATCCAAAATATTCCATATTCCAAAGAAAAACAACATGAATTCCATAAGGCACTTATCGAAAACGGCATTGCGGTGAGTAACATTCGCATTAAACCAATCAATCGATAATAAATTCGCGTTTAATCAGCGCCAGCGCCAATTCCAAACACACTCTACCGGAATTGCCCTACGATTACGCGGCCCTGGAGCCGATAATATCCAGGGACATCATGAATCTCCATCACGCCAAGCACCACAACACTTACGTAACGAACCTGAACGCCGCTCAGGAGAAATTGGCGGCCGCCTTGGAAAAAGGAGACGTCAGGTGACTAAATAATTCCATACAAACATTCGTAAATACAATGAAACGTTTAGCGCCGCCATTTCGCTGGGCCCAGCGCTGAAATTCAACGGCGGCGGCCACTTGAACCACTCCATATTCTGGAAGAACCTGAGCCCCGACAAGTGCGAGCCCAGCGCCAAGTTGTGCGCCGCCATAACGGAGTCCTTCGGCTCCGCCGAGAACATGAAGAAACTCCTCGCGGCCCAAACCACGGCCATCCAGGGCTCCGGTTGGGGCTGGTTGGGATTCTGTCCCGCGTCGAGTGAGTTTGGCATCGCGCCATTAAACCGTTTATTCTTAGTACGTTTCGTTACTCACCTCGTTTTATTTTAGAGAAGCTGAAAATCGCGACCTGCGCTAACCAGGACCCCTTGCAAGCCACCACGAATCTGGTACCGCTTTTGGGCATCGACGTTTGGGAGCACGCCTACTATTTGCAATACAAAAACGTTCGGGCCGATTACGTAAACGCCATTTTCGATATTATCAACTGGAAGGATGTCTCCCAGAGATACGAATGTGCTAGTGCCTAGTTTGATTAACCACGAGATTCTATATTGTGTAAAATATACGTTAGATTTACTAATGCTTTGATTATTTTTATTCTAAAAAGTTGATTGAATGACTTATTGGTTAGAGGTCAGTAAATGGCTGATTGTGTTGAAGAAAAAGGCAACGTGAAAGTAGAAGAGTTAAGACTTATGTGCTCCTCTCTGATTGGTCAACGTATTTGGCATAATTGCCAAGTCAATTGAGGTTATGAATATCGTTTATTTCAAAAAATATGTATTTAAATGTAGCAAACGTACCGAAATACAAACGAATTAAATTCTCTCGGGAGGCACTAACATGAATATCGACTCGTCGTTTAGAACAGTTAATATAATTTTCGTTGCCGCATTAATCCTGGTGGTGTAAGTCGAGAATATAAATTTACCAATGTCATCGAATTACCATTTGTAATTTGCAATTCCAGACCATGTAGCGACACCAGCGACGAGCGAATCGAACCGAACGATTCGCTTAATTTAGATAGCAGTATTCACGATTTGCCAAACGGTGCAAACCACCCGATTTTAGAGCCCAGTCTCGAGGAGAACCTCATAGTTGCCATTGAATCCGACGTCACCGTCAAGGGCCCCGAAGCCTCGCAAACCGATAAGTCTGAACCACCAAACAGCCTCGTTTTAAACGAGGCTTCCCTGTCGGAGAGCTCCAACCAACTCGCCGATATCCCCGTAATAGTTTCTAGTCAAAACGAAGACGCGCTGCCGCAGGTGGAGTCGTCTCGAACGGTTGCGGAGCCCGAGCGTGTTCCAGACATTCCAGTTAACTTAACCGCTGCGAACGAAACCGACAGCGAGTCCGATACCCCGACGAAAGTCGACGATGCTCAGAAGCGGGATACGGAGAACAAGACTGAAGACATCCCTTCGTTTTCGGAGTGGGCTCAAAAGCGATTGGAGGAGGTCGAGAAAAGCGAACAGATCAATTCGTCCGCAAAAGGACAGATTCCTAACGGTAATCGTACGTACATATTTAGTACTCGTTTACTCAACGATCGAAATGTTTAGGTAAGGCTCAGAACGCGAAGCTCAGGTGGAAGAATTACGCTTCGTTGGATTGCGGGGCCAAAGTGGTGGCTGCCAATCCCGAAGCGGTCAGTCCGGGAGCGATTCTATCGCCATCTAGCGACGAATACAAGCTGAACCCGTGCACGGCTCGTATATGGTTCGTGGTGGAATTGTGCGAAGCCATACAGGCCAAAAAAATCGAATTGGCCAACTACGAGCTATTCTCCTCCTCGCCCAAGGAGTTTACTGTGTCTGTGAGCGAACGGTGAGATACACAAACAAGTATATATCTTAATTATTCGTTGTGATATTCGTAGATTTCCTACGAGGGATTGGAGACAGATAGGTAACTTCACGGCCGACGACGAACGGGACGTGCAAAGTTTCGATTTGAACACCCAACAATTCGGCAAGTACATCAAAATCGACGTCAAATCGCACTACGGCTCCGAACACTACTGTCCCATATCGCTGTTCAAAGCCTACGGAGCGTCGGTGTTCGAAGTGCTCCAGAAGGAAGAGGCCGCTAACAACAACGTCAATCGTCCCGATGACGATGACGACGACGACGATGACGATGAGAATATTACATCGGATTCGGACAAGAAGAACATATTCAGTTCGGCCACCGATGCTGTGATATCCGTTGTGAAAAGGGCCGCTCAAATATTGGGTACCAAAAGCAACGATTCCGTGAACAGTACCAAAAATTCCACCGCTAGCACTTTGATTAACACGTGCACCTCACCGAGGCACGCGATCGGTTGCATCGAATGCACCGAAACCTTATTCGGACAAGTACTAATAATCCAACGATAACTCCACCTAATTATAACACGATCTGTTTTAGATATACGAATTGTTGAGTTGCAAATCCGATGAAATCGAACGCATCGCTAGCATTCCGATCGTTTCGAAATCGTTGCGATCATCTACGATATGCGAATCATTCGGTTACCGTTTCGGCAACGTTTCGAGCGAAACCTGCATCATCAGCACCATAGAGTGGTTCCTAACGCCGAAGTACCTCGGCGCTGTTTGCCACGAAATCGCCATTTTAGACGCCAAAATAGTGGTGAACGTTAGCCAACATTTCACCAACATCACCGAGGATTTATCCAGCGATAAAATCGTGCATTTGGACGTCGAAGACGCGATAGTTACGAAAGTACCGGCGGTACTAGAGGGTAACGTAACGTTCGGTGAGGATTCGACGGAGGAACCGGCTCGAATCGAACCCACCAAAACGCTGGTACTCGACGAGAATCTAACTCGGACTGATGTATTAGTGGAATCTTCGGAAGGTGTAGTGGTACCGGTGGAAACGGAATATCGCGATATTAACACAAGTACTATCGAAACTGTAACCGAAAGTAGTTTATTAGTCGATGAAGTATCGGACGAGCAATTGAACAACATCATGGTGGATTTGAGCGCGGAAAATTCCCCCAAAGCGGCCAAAGAATCGATTTTCCTGCGGCTCTTCAACCGAATCAAAGTACTTTTACCGCTAACTTTTATATAACGAAACACTAATCGATATGATTTACAGTCGCTCGAACGGAACATGTCGTTGTCGGGCCAGTACCTGGAGGAGTTGAGCAAGCGCTACAAGCGACAGGTGGAGGAGATGCGCGAGGAGAGCCAGAAGCGCGACGAATCCAATCAATTGCTCGAAGAGCGCTTGGACAAATTGACGAGGATCATCGAAGACATGTCCGCCGAGCGGCGCACCTTCCTCTCGGTGATCTATTGTCTGTTGTGCTGCGGTTTGTGTTGCTTGGGGGTGTATTTCTTCTGCGGTAGCCCCTCGGGGGCGCCGATAGCTCGGAGTGGATTGAAGGATGTAGTGGAGGTGCAGCCGAGGAAGCGGAGGAGGAAGAAGGGGCACGGGCGGTCGGCGTCGCTGGGGAGCATCAGGTTGGGCGGGGATGTGAAGGAGCCCGAGGGGGCGGTGGAGGAGCCCGAGGGGGCGGTGGAGGAGCCGGTGGTGTTGGAGGAGGGCGATAGATTGATGTTGGAGGAGGAGGTGGAGTTGTCGTCTAGTCAGGTCGATGAGGTGGTCGAGTTGGGTGGGTTTCCGAGTATTATCGGTGATAAAGGTGGCGCCAAAAAGGATAAGAAGGGATTTAAAAGGCTGTTAAAGAAAGTTTTTTGAACGATTTTTTTTTAATTTTTAGTCAATTTACTCGTATGTATTTATTTCGAAATAATTATTTTATTTTTAGAAGTTGGTTTCATTTTTTTTACCTGCTTGAAAATAAAATGAGTGAAATAATTATAAACTTTTATTACTTTTTTAAATATACAGCGTTTATTTGACTAGCTAATTAGTGAAATAACTTAAACGAAAACCAGTGCTTAATGTTTGATTAATATTAGCCGTTTCGTAAATAATTATTCAACATATACGAATGTTCGAAAGTAATTAGTAATTTAAGTAGGTAAACCCCTAAACCAAAACGAAAATGAAACTTACAAAAATTCGGTAACCAAATAAAAAATGGCACGTTATCTATCTTATAATAATAATAACAATATAAATAAATACTGAATATAAACGTCGATTATCGATTTATAAAAAAATATTCAACTTCAACTTAACCACTAAACGAAATGTTTCATTACCACAAGAATGTATCTTTAGTAGTCTTGTATAAATTTAAAAAAAAGTATTTTTTTTAAGTTCTATCGTGTAATATATTAGTACGATTCCACCAAAAATAATAAATGCATTTAAAGTATTAACTCCACGAAAGACATATTAGGAATATCATGATAAGTTGTACAATTTTTCGAATTATTTTCAATCATACAGTACAAGTAGAGAAAATCCTGAGATATCATTTTATTGCGTGTATCAATTAAACGTAAATTTAATCCTCTAAGATATCGTCTGATGCATTTCATCGCTCGGATTACTATCCTGAGTATCAGGCGAGGTATACAATATATTCGCAGATATAATTATAGGATACTCGATGCTTTTATCGAACGCCATTATCTGCACCTCCTCCCCTTTGGTCAGCGATATTTTCAACATCTCCGACTGCGCGCTGTAAATAATCTGCCTTTGTTCGTTGATTTTAGTAACCGTTACCCTGCAACGCAAACAATCAATTACTAAATCGATTAAAACGAATTAATAGCTACCTAATAGCTATATGCCTGGTAGCTTGCAGGCTCAGCAGCTGCTCGAACTCCGATCGGTGGTTCCTTTTGATCGATATCGTGGAACCTTCGGTGATCATCAGCAAATCCACGCCGAAATGGAACCCGGTCCACCTCCATACATGCCTTTCGTTCACCGATAAAACTCTTCCACATCTCAGGCTGGTCGCCAGAAACACTTCGTTCGATACCTCACCAGGTCTACGATTATTCAATTAAAACAATAATCGATTCATTTCTATATTACACACCCTTTATCGTCGTTTTGGTTCACCCTCAGCACGTTCTTCCATTGCTGCAATATCACCGAATCCAGCCAAGTCTTCGGTACGATGTTGTCTCGGAGTATCAGCAACACGTCCAGCTGATGGGAGATGAGATTCTGCAATCGCAAACCTTGGAACACTGAGATAAACCTTTTGCCTTCGGACGTCAGCAAATACGGTAGAGTTTCTGAAATTTATACTGAATTAATAACGGTTTGTTGGCGAATTTTTTAGTTCTGGAGCGTTCTAAATGATTCTGAATGGTGTTAGAGAGTTCTAAATAATTCTGGAGCGTTCAAAATGATTTTAACACGTTCTAAATGGTTTTAGACAGTTCTAAGTGATTCTGTACAGTTCTAAATGGTTCTAGATAGTTGTAATTCGTTCGGAAGCTTTCTGAATCAATCTAGATAGTTCTAAATAATTCTAGAGCATTTTGAATGGTTCTCGATAGTTCTAAATGATTCTGGATCATTCTAATTACTTCCTAGCCAGTTCTAAATAATTTTACAGCATTTTGAATGGTTCTCGATAGTTCTAAATGATTCTGGAGCATTCTAATTACTTCCTAGCCAGTTCTAAATAATTCTAGAGCATTCTAAATGGTTCTCGATAGTTCTAAATGATTCTGGAGCATTCTAATTACTTCCTAGCCAGTTCAAAATAATTCTGGAGCGTTCTAAATGATTCTGAAACGTTCTAAATGATTTTAGACAGTTCTAAATGATTCTGTACACTTCTAAATGGTTCTAGATAGTTGTAATTCGTTCAAAAGCTTTCTGATTCATTCTAAACAGTTCTAAATAATTCCGGAGCGTTCTAAACTATACTAGACAATTCCAATTGGTTCCGGAGCGGTCTATAAACGTCCCCAGACAGTTCTAATCGAGTTCCAGAGAGTTCCGAATGGTTCGCACTAGCTTAAATCGGTACCTGTACGCGAAGTGAAATATTCGTTTACGGTGTTCATGGAAGGCTCGTCGGAATCGGGATGCAATTGCAGGTAGATCCAATATTTGAGCATCACGTAAATGGAATATTCGGTTTGTATGACGCAGAGATCGGGATGCGAGACGAGCTTCTCCATGAGCGCGACCGGAATGGTCTTCAAATCGGACAACGGGTGGCTGATGTAGTATATGTAGTAAGGCATCAGATTGACCAGGAACCATTTGAAACAGACGTCTTGGAGTTTCTTGTCGCCGTATTGGCAGGCCGCGTTGTAATAATTTAAAGACGTCTGGAATGGATTGATCGTTAGTTAATTTAAATCGATGAATGTGGGAATTTTAGTGTACTTTGGGATTGATCGTTTCCAACATAACTTCCGTACATTTTTCGATCAAACCGTCCAATTGGAACATGGTGGCTGTGGCTAGTATCGGAACGATTTCCAACGGATTCAATATTATTTCGCAGTTGTACAACGATCCTAATACTACTTTAAGAGCTGAAATAATCGGATTATTACACGAAACAATTCCACGAGTAAGCGAGTAGTACTTACAGTCTATCGTAATAAGCGGATCGATGATATCGATGTTGATGTATTTTTGGTTGGTTTCCAGCCAAGACCCGCCGAACATGCTGGAGAAATAAGGGCTTTGGCACAAGTACACTCTATGCAAGTGGAATTCCTCGCCTAACGCGCTTACAGTTACATCGGAATTCTGCCCTTCGAGGAACAGAGCTTGGTAGATGTATTTCGCGGTGCTTACCAGTTTCTTTCTGTAATTTCACGATTCAATTACGGGTTGAATTGGGATGATTGTAATACCTTTTTGGGGTGTGTAAAGCGATGTCTATCACTTTGTTGATTTCCTCGTCGTCGGAATCGGAGTGTTTTCGCTTTTTGCCCGTCACGAATCCTGCTACGTTGTTCACGAAATTGGTGGTTGAAATTTTTATACCCATCGCTAGTTCTATATCTTAACTGTTTGTGGATTTAATCATAGTTTTTTGAGCAGTTTATTTAACGGCATTTTATGCAATGGCTCGATAAATCGTCTGAAATAATTTAAATGAGAACTTTCTAATTCCACCAGTGTATTAATATGTAATAATGTAAACATTAACTTACTCCGAATTAGGAACCTGGTTATTTAAGTTGCTTGGGTATTGCGAAATTGGTAAATTTTTTGCAGGAAATTCTGCAAAATAGCTGCGAACAACAAAAAAACTGCGAACGCAAAAAATTAAAAAATATATGTCAAAAACAGCTGGCCTTCGAAATTAGGTTATGTCCTATGTCATCGCCAAAAATATTTTGCGAAAGATGGAACATACGCATTTCGCTAATTTAGAAAGAGACGCAATACGTTTTGTAAACAACACTGGAATTGACGAAATACGCTTAAAGGCGAAGGCCGATATTTTGACATTTGCAGTCGAATAATCGAGGCGTTAAATATAGATGGCGCTGTTTTTTTTTTGTATCGAATATTTAAAAAAAAATACGAATTATTTTGAATAACGTGCAAGAATTTCTCCGTTTCTTGCGCTGGAACATCCCATTTCACAATCGATAAGTCTCGAAATTTATAAATCTCCACCTTGAACAACCCGAAAACATCACAGTCGCCGTTGATGGAATTCCATTCGCCAATAAGCAAGTGTGCCTTGGCTTCGATTTAAGAACATTTACGTCAAACAAACGACCATAGATGTTCAGATTGAGGTTAGGGACGCTATAACGAATTAATTTTGTTGGTAAACAGCGAGTACAGTGACCAGTGGAAAACCAGGAAAAATCGATATTGCCATTATCCCAGCATCTCGCCTGACGACTGAGGCAGCGAGAATATCCGATGAGTTGTAAAAAACATGAGAAGCCCTATTCGACGAGATGCGGCCCCTTAAAATACCACGTGTGGTAAGTTCTCTCTTTATATTTATTAATATTGTTTAGGGTTATACATTTTTTTTGGTCTAGATCTAGTAGACTCTGGATGTTTCATTGATGAAAGTTATGAACTCAATTTGCATTATAAATTAGTTTATTTGCCTTGCCTCGTTTTAATTAAACTACGTTATTTTATGGTACATAATAAAGATATATTTTTATTTCGTAAAGATACAAAAGATATGACGTTCTTCAAACTAATTTTAGTTAACCTATGTATTAAAATTCCTTTATACAGGGTGTCCCGCTTAAGAGCATGCAAGGGAGCCTAAAATGTACAAAGTTATGCACATTCCTGAGAAGTTGTAGGCCTTTTAGTTGCAAATTGAAAAAATATCTCAGTTACTCGAACTACTAACAAATTTAGGAGGATTAATCGATAGTTAGGAGGGATCAATTGATCTATTTTAAAGTGTTCAACAGGGATATTTTAGGTATTTTAGGCTCCCTTACATTCCCCTGTACACTGTCGGTTCTTATGCGGGACATTCTGTACTAAATTTTATCTGATTTATTTACTTACATCTCTTGCATCTCATTTTAGATCGATAATGCTAGATGATAGGTGATAAGAATGTAATGCTAGGTGATGCAAGATGATAGGTTATATAAACTTCTGATACTTGTTTCCTGTGGCTTTTCTCGATTCTTTTACAATTTAAATGGTCAATTTGTAAGTAGGAACAAAATTTATGTGCTAATTATGTACAATATAGGCATAAATAAGATATTAATTAACTGATTACATATGTATATAGGCTGTAGCAATTTTATCTCATTCAAGTATTTCGCATTTATAAATGTAGATATAATAATTTTCGTATAAAAATTGGGTTCAATTTCGATGGAAATCACCTTAATATCCGCCGAATCACCTTAAATCAATTAGGATAAAACAGAAATATTTTTCTGTACATAATGATCGTGGAATTAAATGATACTTGCGGCTTTTAATATATCGACTCCCCGGTTATTATGGTATCGATAAGTATCGCATCAGTTTCATAAATAAGTTAAATTTCGTCGGGGACGAATTCACCGGTTTAGATGTACGTGGTTTATGATTTATTCAAGTTATTCGAAGTTATTTTATTGATTGCCCTCCGGCGTTTTCCAGCGTTAAAATGAATTTGTTAATTTCCATTTTGTCGCTCCGTTATCATGTCGAAGCATCTTCTCATGTCACACACTTGAATCCCTATACGAGGTAAGATACACCGTTTATTTTATTACTATAGTATTTTAAGAAACACTTATCACCGGAATTACCCATCGAAATCATAATCCCTATCAAGTGAATCAATAGAGTCATCAAAATATAACGATATACGAAAAATAACGGTTATTTTGTAATAGTCGTTACTGCACCTCTATGCCAACCAAATAATTTCCATCTCTATTCAACTTCTGTCATATGAAAATGTCATTAATGTCAATTTAAACAGTTTTGTTTGTGTATCATCGAACGCTTCTTAAAAAGTACCATTTATTCACGAATAATGCGATAGGAAACTATTAGTTTATCCTGGTGTAGTGTAGAATAGAGTAGATTCACACTAGAGTAGAATAAATTAGTCGAAGTAGAATTAGTAGAATAAAATAACGATTATTTTGTAATAGTCATTACTGCACCTCTATACCAACAAAATAATTTCCATCTCTATTCAACTTCTGTCATACGAAAATGTCATTAATGTCAATTTAAACAGTTTTGTTTGTGTATCATCGAACTCGTTTTAAAAAGTACCATTTATTCACGAATAATGCGATAGGAAACTATTAGTTTATCCTGGTGTAGTGTAGATTCACACTAGAGTAGAATAAATTAGTCGAAGTAAAATTAGTAGAATAAAATAACGGTTATTTTGTAATAGTCGTTACTGCACTTCTATACAAACAAAATAATTCCTATCTGTCAAACTTCTGTCATTAACGTCAATTTTGATTGGTTAAATTTCGGTTTACGTATCATCGAACGCATCTTAAACTCCCACCTATTCTTGTACTATTGTAAAATCGTAATAGAACGTGTACATTAAGGGTTTTCTTTTTCCAGGACGAAACTTCGCGATGCTTGAGAAACGCTCGTGGCAAAAACTCCTGCCGATCGCGCTCGCCCTGATCACAATCACCTTCATATGGAAAGAACTGAGCGACCTGCTAGGCCCCCCAACCGCCTCCCAAGCCCCTTCATCGCCTTCCTACACGCTCTTAACGCGCGACTCCGCCTCCTCCACCGCCTCCACCGCCTCCCGCCTGCCCGACGACGACTACAACAAGCTAATCGATCTATCTTTCGATTTCACATCGCTGAACTCCGAGCCCTGCAACTCCTCGGTGTTGCTGCTGGTGCTGGTGCACTCGTCGCCCGGCAACGGCGCCAAGCGTCGGGCGATCCGCGAGACGTGGGGCCGTCGCGACGCCGACGTGCGGCTGGTGTTCGCCGTGGGCGGCGTCGAGGAGGCGGCGTCGCGGCGCTCGCTGGACGCCGAGCAGCGACTACACGGGGATTTAGTACAGGGTAGTTTCTTGGACTCTTATAGAAATCTCACTTACAAGCATGTGATGGGGTTGAAGTACTTCGTGTATCACTGTCCGCAGGCCAAATACGTTTTGAAGACTGATGATGATGTGTTCGTTAATATGCCGAGTATGAAGAATTTTTTGAGGTACGATTTATCGCCTTATGGGGTCGGTGGGGGGTTGTTTTGTACGCCGAGATATAACAGTTTGGTGTTGAGGTCGTACCGGTCGAAATGGCGGGTGTCTTTCAGCGAGTACCCGGAGAAATTTTATCCTACTTACTGTCCAGGTTGGACGTTGTTGTACTCGCCAGATGTGGCGTTGGGGTTGTACAAAGAGGCGCAAATTTCGGAGTATTTTTGGATCGATGATATACATTTGACGGGGACTTTGACTAGGAGGTTGAATGTCACTCATACGGACATCGAGAGGTTGGTGTTGTCCGATAATAAGGTTTATTATATTTTCTATTATCCGGCGGGGGAAGTGGCGCCGTTTTTGTACGGGAGGGAGTTGAACGAGGGGCAGATTAGGGCGTTGTGGGGGTACGTGGTGAAGAGGGAGGCGCCGAAGTTTATTTTTCGGAAATTTGGGTGAATGAATTGTTTGTGAATGGGATTTTTTTTTGAGCGTCTTTATTAAACTTCTGTCATACGAAACGTCGTTGATGTCAATTTTGATTTATTGGGGATTTTTTTGAGCTAGTGAGCTTTGAATATGTATGTACTAAAAATGATGTTATCGAGATTAGTATTTAATCGTTACGATTGCGAGATTATTTTTTCATAAATTTTATGATATTGTGGCGATTATGTAGTTTTTTTGAAGTCAATTTAATTGTTTGTTGGTTAGTAATAATTTCAACAATGTCTACATTTTGTAATAGTAGCAAATTTGTAATTACTATACATAATACAAAGTAGATATATTTTTAGATTCCTATTTTTTGAGTTCAATGACAATTAAAGCTCTATTTTATTGACATTTTATAGTAATAGTCTAATAGAGTTATTAAACTGACTTTGGGAATACTATACACGAAAATGTCTATTAAGTGCAATTTTATATTTACAATTAGATAGAAATATAGAGCATTCTAGTTATATTATAAAAATATATTGTGATACTAAATCGATAAGTTTTTTGTTTATTGAAAACAGTCGTTTGGTAATATAATTTCAAATTTCATATTTTTTTTCTTTTAATGTACAAACTTTTAAGAGATTATTTTTATTAAACCTTTAGATTTTATCAGCTTAGGATAAGCAGTGAATATAAATAAACACAAACTTTTAGTGTACTTAAGTTTCGTAAATAAATAATGAAATATTTTTGTTACATATGGGTAAGTGCAAATTTGTTCGCAATACGAGATGAACAAAGAAAGGTTATTGAAAAAACCAGCGGATTAGAGCGAGAAATTTGCAATCAACCCACAACATCACCCTTTTTTTCCCCTTTATACAGGGTGTCCCAATGAAACAAATTTAAAAGAAGAACCTGTATAAGCTAATAAAAGTTATTTTTGTATTGCCTACAAATTTGCACTTATCTATTTTAAACCGACTTATTTGGCTTGTTTAAATGTGTACTTTAAGCGTATTTATTTACAAAACTCTAGCGACATGTAAATATGTAATTTGTAGATAAGTTATTTCGAAAATAATCCTCTTATAAATTCCCCGTTGTTAGAATACACCGAGAAAAATGTGCCAATATTTGCCTAACAATAAAAATCGAAACCTCCAACGATAATTTCATTTACTCCCTATCACAAAAAATCCTCTCTTATTTAACATTATTCACCACCATTATGATTCGTGATTCATCATCTAATAAACCTCAATTGACCCAAACGTTTTATATTTAAATTTAACCATCGCCTACGAAACCTATTTTTAAACGAAACCTGCCGAAACATTCCTGCTCCTGCAACCGCCCGAGCTCCACAAACAGTGACATTATAGTGAACATTGTAGTGATAACACCCGACCCCCGGGGGGGGTTACCATAGCACCGGCGTCGAAAGTTATTTACCATTTTTAACGTCGAGGCTTGCGCGTCGCCGTCGCGACGTCGAAACAAAATACGTGGCTAATTCGAGGCGGCCGGTTCGCTCTATTTGCTGCGTTTATTACGATTTTCGGACGCGTTTCGAACGCTCTTAATTCGACTTTACTATCGTTGTTTTCGAGATTCCGAGAAAGGTGAGTTTCTAATAACCAAAGTGAAATTCGAGTACAGACCGACGGGGATAGCCGGGGACGCGAGGTGCGCGACTCGCGATCGAAACGGGCCGGATATCGCGCAGGATATTCGCGCGTCTCCGGCTATTCGATGGGAACTTTAATATCGCTTTAATTGTCTGTAGGTGGCGACGAGCGAGGCGAGAATCGGCCCCGATATTGAAATGTCTACGGCGATAACGAACGGCCACAATGCCAGTTCGGAGGATTTCACCAAACATGTATTCGGAGGTAATAAAAATTCCCTTTTTTTTTTTCTCTCCAATTTGTTATTTAACCGAAACGACTTCGAATATACCGTTGTATCAACTCTTTTTTTGAGTGTAACTATACCGTCAACAAAAGACTTAAATGTTGAACACTTGGTATACGAGGGTAGGGTGGAAAGTTCTCGGCTACAATCAGCAAATATTCTTGTTTTCTCTTTTTGGACATTTATAAATGATTCTAGAACTGTTTAGAAACGCTCCAGAATCAATTAAAACTGTTTAGAAACTCATCAACAAAAGACCTAAATGTTGAATTTTTATCGTTTGGTATACGAGGGTAGGGTGGAAAGTTCTCGGCTACAATCAGCATAAATTCTTGTTTCCTCTTTTTTGGACATTTATAAATGATTCTAGAACTGTTTAGAAACGCTCCAAAATCAATTAAAACTGTTTAGAAACTCATCAACAAAAGACCCAAATGTTGAATTCTTATTGCTTGGTATACGAGGGTAGGGTGGAAAGTTCTCGGCTACAATCAGCATAAATTCTTGTTTCCTCTTTTTTGGACATTTATAAATGATTCTAGAACTGTCTATAAACGCTCCATAGTTATTTAGAACGCTCCAGAATCAATTAAAACTGTTTAGAAACTAAATATTTCGAGTTAATAAGGGGAATAATGTAATTTTCCAAGGTCTTTCATTGCCAGTCCGAGAACTTTTCACTCTACCCTTGTACATTTCTGTATAATGGTGCAGTTATAGCGAAACAAGTAACTTCTCGTGTATCAACTCGAATTCTCGCTCCTTTTCTAGTACACCCCTTCGCTCATGTAGATAGAAAAGGAGCGAGTGATATATATTTATGAAAAAAAAATCAATATACTTTTATTGTAACATTTACGATTATAATTAGAAAAAAATTATTTTGTTTTAGGAAACGCTCCATCGACATGTAAGTACGAAATACAAGCACATCAAACGAGTACACGAATTAGTAAGTAGTCGATTTATTTGATAAATGATCGAAGCAGAGGTCTTATTTAAAATGAATAATTCGAACCGAAAGGCGTCTATTTCGAGCTTTTAATTCTCGAGTACTCCGAATATTATATTTACGTTTATAATGGAAGAACGCTCAGAGAGCCTCATTAAGGGTTTATTTCCTATCGATTTTTAAATCAGGTTAAGTAATTTATTCATCGATATTGATTCGAGTGTACGGCGTAAAATGTAATAACAAAAATATGGATCGCGATGTTTTCATAAACCGATCGGTTTCTGTATAGAAAAGTCCGCGAGAAGGTCGCTTTATTTACATTTAAACCGGCACGTGTAATTATTTGAGCGGAAAGAGCGATTCGCAAATAGTTAGAGCTAGCATGAATTCCATTTAGATACTAATCGAAAGGGCCTATACCCTAATTTGCGGAATAAATCCCAATTAGGGCAGCTACGGGAAAGTTCGGTCTACTCGAGTCCCCATAGAAACCCATCACGTTAGAGCCATCTTCGAGTTGTAGGAGGCTCTTGTTGTACTACGTGTTGTTTGTTGTTCGCATATCTCCGAATCGCTGGAGGAATAATGAATTGATTAGTTCGTGGAAGTTCCAGAGTTTTCACATTTCCACATTTCCACCATTTCGAGTAGATTCAAAGTTGATTTGCTTTTAGAGTAGATTCAGAGTAGGTTCGCTCTTGGAGTAGCAGAGTAGAGTAGAGTAAAGGAGATGAGATGCGATGAGATGAGATGAGATGAGATGAGATGAGATGAGATGAGATGAGATGAGATGAGATGAGATGAGATGAGATGAGATGAGATGAGATGAGATGAGATGAGATGAGATGAGATGAGATGAGATGAGATGAGATGAGATGAGATGAGATGAGATGAGATGAGATGAGATGAGATGAGATGAGATGAGATGAGAGGAGAGGAGATGAGATGAGATGAGATGAGATGAGATGAGATGAGAGGAGAGGAGAGGAGAGGAGAGGGAGAGGAGAGGAGAGGAGAGGAGAGGAGAGGAGAGGAGAGGAGAGGAGAGGAGAGGAGAGGAGAGGAGAGGAGAGGAGAGGAGAGGAGAGGAGAGGAGAGGAGAGGAGAGGAGAGGAGAGGAGAGGAGCAGAATCTCAAAAAA